TACTAGCTTAATAACACTTTTAATATATTGCCTTTGTCATTTTTTGTGCTAATTAATTACTCAATTAAGAAAAATAGCGCAAGTTTATATTATATGACACATTTTATGATGTGTAATGATAATATGTAATAAAAATGTGTAATAATGATTCGAGCATCAAGCTTTGTGGTATTGATATATGTGAAGGGCATACGTTAATTATTATATCCTATTTAATGGCTAAAAATAGATCATAATATTGTAAGGTTTTATGAGTAGGTGACAAGAGAGATATAGAATGTAAATATATTGATCTTATCGAGATTGGGTCGCGCGCGAGTTTAACGTGTACTATGCTTATTTGTGTAGTCTTAACATAAAACCATGAAAGTTACGAAGAGACAAAAAGTTTAATGGGGAGGGAGTATAGTTGAATAATATTTTATTATTATTAATTATTGATTATGTAAAGTGTTTAGGGGGATTTTATCGTTGGATGTTTTAAACAAATTGTACGGTAAGAAGGTACTACATGTTTAGATTTTATGAACTCAATTCGCCAGATGTGATGTTAAAGTAGGAAGATTAAAACATTTTTGTTTATAAAATGAGATACAAATATTTTGGAATTTTCTTACATTTGTTAATAGTGTTTGTGGTGTAAAATGAACTCCTGTTATTGAAGTAATTATGACTGTATTGTAGTGGTGAAGTGGGATTAGATTTCTAGGAGTTTTAGGAAATGTGTACAAACTTTTACTCCAGGGCATAGACAAAGGTAAAATAGGTCATAAAGATTGTTGACATCATTAATGATTAAAGCAATGAGTTAGCTTCCTTAAATGACTTCAACAATACTTGATCAGGTCAGTCCAGGAAGTTAGAACTTGATAGTGATGATGATATAAACATGAAAAGTTTCTTAACAAAACTATAGTAATATATGTATGATAACAGATAAAGGAATTTAGTTTGTGATTTGGAATTTTATTGAAGGTTTTTGTAAATTGTTAACCAAATCTTTGACAGGGTAACAATTTTGGCAACTCAGTGGCATCCTGTACTTTAAAGGTTAGATTTTAGGATATTTTGTGTTCTTTTGGACTCCCACAAAGTGACATTCATTGTTTACATAGAGTGAAACAGAGTATTTTTATGACATCTTAATTTAAATACAAATTAGAATGCCTTAGTTGATAAGCGAAATCTTAATTTTTTATTTTAATTTGTTTCATTTGAGTTCAGATGAAGTTTTGAAACTGAAAGTTTTGTATTTATATTATTAGCAAACATGGCACATCTTTTGGATTTTGTGACTCAGTGGATTAGTGGTTTAGGTTAATCAGATTTTGAGTTACTTTCGCCTGGCTGAAATCTGGTTAAGTAAGTGTTTAAGTTGAAGAAATAAAATTTCGTGTATTACATGTATGAAAAGCTGATATTTTTACAAGTGTGTTTCATTTTAAACAAAGAAATGAATAATTAAAAGAAACATAACTAGAACTAAGCTGTGCTAATGTCTACTATTTAAGAAATAATATATCCCAAACAGTGATTTTATCGCTCAATAACATCACTGTTTGGAGTTCGAATGCGAGGAATTATATCACGAGGGCGTAGCCCGAGTGATATAATGATGCGCATCCGAACGACAGTGATGTTATCAAGTGATAAAATCACTGATTTGGATATATTATTTCGATTCTCAAACACGACATCAACAAATAAATGTTGCCGTACTTGATAGTTAAGCAAAATTGCGCCTGATTTGTTTCCATATTTATTTTCAGTGCGTCGGATTTTTAGTGGTTACGTCACGTGTATAATGATTACGTCACATGTCTAAATATAGAACGTCAAACTGTGCATCTGTTGCATAATAACACACACTTTCTGTTCTTCTATGTTCAATAGGGAAAAATGCGGGTCGTGTTAGAATTAATTATATTACACAAAGTGGCTTATGGGACTGTTCTTCAATATTAAAACAGATAGATTAGAGTTGCATGTAGCTGTGAGAATAGTCAAATGAACCCTAATGTAAAGTCTTTTACTTGACAGAGGAGAGACAGTCTGCATGGACGTAACTCAACTGTTTGCTGCTGTATGTTAACCTTATGAAATAAAGATCCCAAACATTAACAATGGACTGTTCCAACTTTGAAATTGATTTAAAAAGCCAGGGCAGTCTATTTCACAAATTCAGGGAGACAAAGGTGTTCATCAATCTTATTATATAGTAAGAGCAACAGTTTTGATGTACCGGTAATACATACACAGACACCTCAAGTCATATTATTGTTTTTATTTGCTGTTTATGTTTTGGTAGGGTTTAATGTTGCAACAACAAAGTATAGGTCATATGGCGCCTTTCCAGCTTTATTGGTAAAGGAAGACCTCGGGTGCCCCTCCATGCATTATTTCAGGCACGGCACCTGAGTAATGTACCTGAGTAATGAAACGATGTTGGTAAAACATCATAATACTCATAATGAGCATTAAAATATGCAAACATTAAAGGTGAATAAATATATAAGAAAGTATCTCATAATATACATGTATAAGGGCTTTAACCACTCTTGCACTCTTGTTGGTAAGCTAGTTTTTCACTGACATGGTTTATGTCCAGTAGAAACACTGACGTTCATAAGCTAGCTAGATAGCCTCCTCAGTATTGACTCCATGTTTGTATATTAAAGTTATGAACTTAACGAAAAAAAAACAAAAACCAAAACAAACAAAAAAGAAGCATAGAAAGGATAACACTTTCAAGAGTATGTCAACCTAGTGAACGAAATATTTTTGACAAATTAATGGACTTAACCATTATTAGATACCTCTTGCATGTATATACTTGTATATAGAAAGGACATATTTTTTTGTTTTACGTGACTGACTAAGTGTGTCTTAGTGTTATTTATTTGCAGTTGTAAATGAGTTTTTTGTGGACTGAAATGACTATCTCATACCAGGTAGATAATTGATTGTCAGGAATGTTAAATCGCATGTTTTTTAGTGGTTTCGTTTGTTTTTTCTTTTCTTTTTTTTCACCTTAAATGAGATGCTCGATGAAAATAACTTGGTTAAGTGTGAGGCTTTTCACTAAAAAAACAAAACAAAATAAAACTAGATAGGAAAAAGGAAAATAGATAAATTGATTAAGAAAAATGTAAAAAAAATATATAAAAATTTAAAAAAAAAAGAAGGAAAAAAGATAAAATTGATGAAAAAGAGGATGTTTGGAAAAGTGAATTAATGATTCGAAGTTAATAATTACGAATGCATTTAAAAGAATAAAAATAAAAAACATAATAAAAAAGGAAGAAAAAAAGAGATAAAATTGATAAAAAAGAGGATGTTTTGGAAGAGTGAATTAATAATATGATGTTTATACGAATGCATGGATGGTGATTATGTAAAATCAGACAAAATTATAGTAAAATGAAAATATCTATTTCATGCATCAGGGGTTGCTGTTGAGTTGTAAAATACTAGAGGGTTGAATAAAATATGTATGAGATATATATATGTGTGTGTGTGTGCACAGTTTGTGTAAAATGGCATGCACTTGTGTTTTGTAAGGATTTAACTTAAAGGAGGACAATTTTATAGTCTGGTATGTGTCCATTTTGTGCAGTTTAAAACTGAATTGATATTGTTGGTGTTGTGGTTTAATTTCATCACTTCTTTGGGTTGGTGCAGTGGAAGAGATTAATTCTTTTATTGCGATAGGAAATTACTTTTTAATATTAGTTTACTGAAGGTTAATGATTCAAACAAGGCACACAATCTTGGGCTGAAGCAAAATACATGAGGGAATCACAGTTGTTTTTGTTTCTTTGGTAGGACCTAGGATTTTTTGCTCTTTGGAATGTGGTCATGTGACCTTGACAGTGTCATTGTGACTAGTAAAAAAACTGAATGTACTGATGTGTTTAAGTGTTGAACAGACAGCAAAATTTTCCTACAACTTATATATATATATGAATTCTTTTAACAGGTGGTCTCAAATTAGGAGTAAAAAAATTATTGCACTTGTCTATTTTGATTATTTTCTTTTAATACCAGATGAAATGATCCAGTAGATATCATAGGAAAGTCATATTATCTCTTTATCGCAGCTTATTATATAATTATTATATTAAAAATTATAACATTCATTTCAGTTTGAAAACAGTCCTAAGTTCAAAGAAATGGCACAGGTTTTATGATAGTTTATATAAGCATAGATTAGTTTATACCAGTAATACATTTTCCGAGAGAAGTTCATTCCTCACATGTTATTTGTGTGATATTATTCAGATGTCCTCAGGGGGGAGTTTGTAAACCTATGAAATTTGGCTCAGAATTCAGAAATTTGAAAAATATGATTTACCATACATATTTACGGTTTTTGCTGTTCCTTAATATTCATCCAATTGGTTAATATTTAGAACTGAAATTTTTTTTTTGATTAACACTTATTAATGCTGATGTGATTTGGTTTTATAATCTTGAGTCCCGTCATGTAAAAAAAACTTTAGGGTTTACTATTAAAAAGGTTTTAACACATACCCTGCTAGAACCAAAAATGGTAAGTCCTTAACACTAGTATGAAGCCAAGCCGGCCTATATGTGGAATAAAGATGTATTTTCAATGGAAAAAAAAATTCGGTTTTGTTGAATCTACAATTTATGCACAACTTCTTTACCAGGAGAAATTGATGATAGAAATTGATAAGTGATCTATAAAAATGATAAGTGTTTTTCAATCGAATTTGTTGGGAAAATATATATATCTATTGTTTCCTTTTAGTATTTTAGGTATTTTGATGTAGTTGAGGGATGGGGAGAGGAACACTGCTTGTTCGATGTAGGCAGTCTTTGTTGAATTCCTATATCATGTTATAAAAAACACCACCAAGTACATTAGACATAGAAATTGATTTACCAATTGTAAAATTGATAATGGTATTAACAGTGATGTTATGATGGTGGAAACATTAGAGAGTTGGTATAACGTATGATTTTCTATTTTTCAGGTGGATTTCTCTGAGCAGTTGTGATAGATACGGCATATTCATCATATAGGGGAGTAGAGAATATGTTGGGAATGGAGATTATTTATTTGGAGTAGAGATTAATATTGGGAGTTTAGAGATAATCTGGACTGGTGTAAAGACAAGAGCAACACAAAGAGTTTTATATAGTAGATTTGGATATATATTCTGTGATACAGAACAATTTGTGGATATGGGTTTATTAATCAAAAGTGAATGTGTTAGGTTAAAAAACGAGTTTTATGAAATTTTTGTGAAAAAGTCTCTGTAATGATGGCATTGAGTCCCTTGTCGGCCAATCCTGGTCGAGGGAGCGTGTCCATCATTCGTAGGATGAGTATGGAAACTTACATGGTTCGGATATACACTGGGCCGCTCAGTCAGGATCAAGAATATGTATCTGTTGAAGCTGAGAAAATTTCAAAGGCAGAAGACGTGGTAAAAGTTGCAGTCCAAAAGTTGAATTTACGTGATTCGGATAATTATGAACTGGCTGAAGTGCTGTCCACAGCCGGCCAGTTGTGTAAAGAAAGACGTTTAGATGAGCTTGAAAACCCCGTTAGAATACAATTGTTATGGCCTACAACAATAGTCAATGCTGAAGTTGACAGAGGGCATGGCTTATATACTGGCTACAGATTTTATATTCGTAGAAAGAATCGTGAAAATTCAAATCGAACTTCATTGTGGATGGAATACTCCGATCCAAATCCTGTAGATAATTTCCTAACAGCATTCTTAAATCAGCCAACAAGCAATAAAGAATATTCGGACCTATGCAACTTACCCGACCTCAATGAGCGAACATTACTTGAAAATATCAAATCTAGATTTCACAATTCAAACATATACACTTACGTAGGATCTATTTTGATAGCTGTAAATCCATTTAAATTTTTTCCCATTTACAATCCTAAATATGTCAAAATGTACCAAAACAAACGTTTAGGCGATCTGCCGCCACATATTTTTGCGATCGCAGATGCAGCTTTTTACACTATGTTACGGACCAAGAAAAACCAATGCATTGTGATATCGGGAGAATCTGGGAGCGGAAAAACCGAAAGTACAAATTTGTTGCTACATCATTTAACAGCTTTGAGTCACAAAGGATTACACGGAAGTGGTGTGGAACAAACTATCCTTGGTGCTGGACCGGTGCTTGAGGTTTGTATTTATAATGTCTTGTATTTTACTTTGTTGTAGATGGTACTATTTATATGCGTTGGTACAGAACCTATTTTGTTTGAGATGAATATTTATTTGAAAATGCAGAAATTATATTTTTATGCTTGTCAAATTTAAAAATGAAAGCGATAGTTTCCGATCTGTCCCCACACTTTCCACACTTAACAATTTGTGTTTAATATTTGGAGTGTTGGTTGCCTTTCCTAGACCTCAATGCTCGTGCTGATTTCAGGTTGATTATGTCAATAGGTCAAGGTTTCTGAATCGTAAAAATAGACTTCCTAACTTTTTCTAATAAAATTTGTAAATTAAAAGGTTAGCTTGAGACAAGACCTATAATAAAAAAAACAAAATGAGTACACCCACATGACTGTGCCATATTCATTTTGTAACCTGACTTGTGATTGAAGCAACATTTGTTGTGGTGACCTACTGGTTATTGTGTCTGCCTATTTACCCAGTGATTCTGTTGGATCAACTGAGCATCATGATTTGCTATAATATCTGAAATTCATGAAAAATTGAATGATGAATTCCATGCCATTGGTGCTTGTATTATTAAGGCTGATGCTTTAATTGTAATGAAGTATCCTGCTAAAACTTAAAAAGCAGTAGCTTGAAAGGTGTCCAAATGTTTGGTGAAAGAAGTCAGATTTATCAACCAAAGTTAGTTCAGCCCATTAATAAATATCATATGAGCAGGGAAAGTAGGTCAACATATTTGTTCATCTGTTGTTTAGATATTAATATATTGTAACTGACTTGTTTTTATAGCATTTCATTACAATAAAATATGAAAACAGCCATCATAAATAACAGCAAGGTTAAAAATAAATTGCCTGTATGAGCCGTTTATCTTTGCCAATTACTGTGGCTGTTTCAATTAATTTACTTTTGTTGTTTTTGGCAGACGTTCTGATTTCCATAATGGCCGAGGCATTTAGATCACGTATCAAAGATATAACCAGATTATACCTTTCTGGGTCTCAGGGGGGGCGATCTCAAACCCCTACCTGCCCCCCCATTCCCCCGGCTAATTTAGTTTAAAAAAATACAAGGCAGAGAATATCTGTTAAAAATTTTTTCCATATTTTATTCAGACTCTTCCCTCCCATACAGTTTTTTTTCAAGGGGCAGCACAATTTTTAATCAATAATTAGAGAATTGTTATTATTGTTATTGTATTTGCGCATGTTTATCAACATATTTATGACCGTTTTTAGGACCGTTTTTACGGTTTGCAAAATGAAAATACATGTTATATTTATTCATTAGATATGATGTGTTACGACAACTTGTATAAGTTACTAAGTTCACACTACTAATTATGATTAACTACTTCAGTAATTGCATGATGTAATAATATCGAATGAGTTATTTTTAGCGCTGAATGTAATGATATGTAATAAACTGACCACCGTCTGAATTGATATGAATTGGTTTAACCGTAAAATATGGGTCAGCCCTTGTCAGAATGATTTACTTAATGAATGTCCTTTTTGATTTATTTAGAATGCACATGCCTGCATGATTGTGTAAAGAAATAATGACTTGTTCACAGTAAAGAAGAAAATTGGAAAAAAACAACGAAAATAAAAAATGCCAAAATAAAATGAAAATAAAAAATGAAAATTTAAGTTAAAGATAGGGGGTTAATTTGTGAATTTATTGAAATAAGATGTTCATGTATTTGAAAATCATGAGGTATGCATAATGTATAAAATAATGTGATTGATTCACATGCTTAATACCTGCATTTTCTTGCATTCTCTTCGATCCCTGGGAGATGCTTTGGTAGTTTAGCGCGGAGGAAGGTAGTCTAGTACTGGTGTAACTCTCCAGGAACGATGGTTAGGAAACTACCCGCCTATATGACTGAAATACTGTTGGGAACAGGCGTAAAATAATGAAACAAACAAACAAAACAAAAATTGTCCAGGGTTCAACCCTCCCCCTCCCCCCATTCCACTAAAAAAGTCAAGAATTTATATTGGAAAATAACTTGAAAAATCTTTTTGTCACAAACTCATTGGCCTTGTTGCGTTGTAGAGTGGTTTTCTCCTTTAAAGCTTTTTATTCAGACCTTTAACAGAGTTAAAAATGGCACCATTCTTGGAAACCTTTTTTTGACATCATTTGAATTTACCCAGTCACTAACACCCCAGTTACACAGAGCCATCGGTGATTGATCGGGTTTTTTTAGCCAAATTACGGAGTGAACCGATGACAACGTATTTAACACCGATATCACCAATTGGTCACCTGTTTTCCACCTATCAACTGCTATTGGGGAAAGATAAGTTTCATCGGTGAAAAATTATCGATTCGGATTTTTAAACATGTTTAAAATTCTCGATCGGTGAAAATATTTTACAAATAACCGACAGCAACCTATATCAAGAGATATGCAAGCTCTTAATCACCAATATCGCCGATCGGACAAAGATAACCAAATTTGAATCACTGGCCATATCTGACGGAAAATGTTTCACCACTGATGACTAGCTATCAAACACCCATTAATCAGTGTGCGCCCGATTTAGCTCCGATTTACAAACGATTAAAGCCGATAGTATTTCAGCATTTTTATCAACGATTCAACCCCGTTTAAGTTTGCTGTCTGTCACCGATGGATGTTTACACAGAAAACCAGAAATAAAATCACGAATGACAACCGATCATAACAGCGAGTAAATTTAAAATTAAGTGACCGATTGGGGACCGACCGTCTGTGTAACTGGCCCTTAAGATGGGTAGTAATGGCTTACTTTAGGCTTTTGTTTATTTAAAGGTATCATACAGTAAATTTAATGAATATTTATACGTAACCTCTTCCTCTACAACAGTTTGTCTTTTTTGACATTAAGACATATATCTTATATCATGCTTACTTACTGTTTTAGCTATATTTCATTTGACAGGTTGCGGCCTAATTCTAACTTGTGGTCCATAAGCGATGACTACTAGTATATTGTCTTCATTAGGTAACTCTTTATGAAGAAAACCAAAATCCGTATTTTTATGCCCCCACAGAGTGGGAGCATATAGCGTTGCACTTGTCCGTCCGAGTGTCCGTCACGCCGTACGTCTGTCCGTCCGTCCGTCTGTCCGTACGTCCCGAAATCTTGTGAACGCAACTCCTCTTAAACCGGATGGCAGATTTTGCTTAAACTTCCAGAGATGAACAACCTTAATGTGTAGATGGTAGTAAAGGAAGGAATTTTTGCTGCGACCAAATTTAACAGAATTATGGCCCTTTGTTGATTTTTTAGCTCGACTTTTCTATGAAAAGGGGAGCTATCCTACTCGCCCCGGCGTCGGCGTCGGCGTTGGCGTCACACCTTGGTTAAGTTTTTCGTACCACCCCACTTTATTTCAGAAGTATTACAAGTATGGCTTTGAAACTTACCATACTTGTTCACCATCATAACCTCCATCTACAGACAAGAGTACATAACTCTGTCAAGGTTTTTGACAGAATTATGGCCCTTTTTTGACTTAGAAAGTGTATTGAGCTTGGTTAAGTTTTTTGTACCACCTCACTTTATTTCAAAACCATTGGAGGTATTGCTTTGAAACTGACCATACTTGTTTACCATCACGACCTTCATCAACAGACAAGAGGACATAACTCTGTCAAGGTTTTTGACAGAATTATTGCCCCTTTTTGACTTAGAAAATACATTGAATATGGGTAAAATCCACTTATTGCCTTAACCCTTTGAGATATTGCTTTGAAACTTTTAATGCTATTTCACATCATTACCCCCATCTGTACGCAAGAGAAGGTAACTCTGTCAAGGATTTGTTTTAAAAATTAAGGCCTTTTATCGACTTAGAATCTTGGTTAAGTTTTTAGTACCAGTCCACTTTTTGACTGAACTGTTTGAGATATTAATTTGAAAGTTGGAATACTTGTTTACAATCATGATTCCCAAACATGTCCAATATACTAAATATCTTAATGCTCATGGCCATTGTTCACTTTAAAAATACAGAGATTCTTGTATTGCCTTTTACTGCAAAAACTTTTTTTATTGGCAAGCAATAAAAAAGTCGAGCGCGCTGTCTTACGGACAGCTCTTGTTCACTATATACTATGTAGAAATTTTGTGAACGCAACTCATCTTAAACCGGATGGCAGATTTTGCTTAAACTTCCAGGGATGAACAACCTTAATGTGTAGATGGTAGTAAAGGGGGGAATTTTTGCTGCGACCAAATTTAACATAATTATGGCCCTTTGTTGATTTTCTCACTATATACTATGTAGAAATTTTGTGAACGCAACTCCTCTTAAATCGGATGGCAGATTTTGCTTAAACTTCTAGGGATGAACAACCTTAATGTGTAGATGGTAGTAAAGGAAGGAATTTTTGCTGCGACAAAATTTTACATAATTATGGCCCTTTGTTGATTTTTTCACTATATACTATGTAGAAATTTTGTGAACGCAACTCATCTTAAACCGGATGGCAGATTTTGCTTAAACTTCCAGGGATGAACAACCTTAATGTGTAGATGGTAGTAAAGGAAGGAATTTTTGCTGCGACCAAATTTAACAGAATTATGGCCCTTTGTTGATTTTGATTTTTCAATTTGTGGCACATGTAGTCCAAAAAATATTTGACCTAGAGTCATAAGATTGACAGAACAGTGGCGTGTGGGGGCATCCGTGTCCTATGGACACATTTCTAGTTTATATCTTACAAAGGGCTGGGTGGAGATGTTCAGTTGATAGTAGTATACATACATGTGTTTCTTCTCTGCATCATGTATTTTCATTTTCTTTCTTACTAATGAGCATTACATAATACATACTATCCGAGATGCCATCAAATTACTCAACTAGAATATGAGATCCCTCTGTGATCATGTTGCTGCTATTGCACAGTTTTCAATGCTGCTAATGAATTAAGAATAAGAACTGTAGTCTGAAATAACATCTGAACCATTTATAGAAAACCTGGATCACTTTACCAAGTCTGTCAAAGTTTAAAGTATGTAAATGATAATTATTTTAATATGAAACATTATATATTGGCTGTAAGGATGCAAAGGTTAGATTTAATTTCTTGCTGATTCATCTATCTCATTGGATCCTGTAGCTGGGTATTTAATTTGGATTATGAGAATGAAAGTACCCAGGCATGTGCTAATGGTCCTTGTTACAACATATTTTCCATCAGTTTCACATAACCTGGCATAAAGGGATGTGATTGTAGGTCAATGTATGTTTGAACAGGCTTAATAGTCTAGACCAGTGTTCATACTACCAATTCATATGTAGTTATTCTGACCCCCCCCTCCCCCCCCCCCCATCATCCAACTAAAATTTCAAAGAAATTTACTGAAAAAAAAAATGCGCCATTTATCATTTGTTATTTTATAAACGTCAATTTTTTCTGAAGAAGACAAAACGTCGAAAGTTAAAGAAAAGCGTTTTCATTGAACTGATTACATAAAGAAGTGTACTGATAAGACTAGGTCCTATGTAAAAATAGAGCTTAACTCCTTGCAAACAAAAAAAGAACTTTAGTTGAGTAATTTCTGTACTAGTTGCACTGTAATAATAAAAAAAAACAACGACAACAAAACAACTAACTAACATTCTTCTGGAGTGAGTCTTGTGGTTTTCTTGCGGGGACTAAAAATAAATATATATGCCTGCTACACTCTGAAGACATCATATTTATGTTCTTTCACTTACTTCGTTTATTGGTGCCTCCATGACCAAGTGGATAAGGTCGCCAACATCAAATCACTTGCCCTAACCTCTGAAGGTTCGATTCCCGTCAGGTATTTTTAGCTCGACTATTCGATAAGAATAAGTAGAGCTGTTGTAGTCACCCAAGCGTCGGCGTCCGCGTCGGCGTCGGCGTAACCACTTATGTTAAAGTTTTTGTAATAGTTCAAATATTTTCAAAGTCCATTGACATATGGCTTTGAAACTTTGCACACTTGTTCACCATCATGACCCCCAACCTGTAGACAGGAGGAGGTAACTCTATCAAGCATTTTGACAGAATTATGCCCCTTTTTCAACTTATAATTTATGTTAAAGTTCCACTTGAAAAAAATGCTAGAAAGGGCACCAGGGGTCTTCCTCCACCATTTAAGCTGGAAAGTCGCCATATGATCTGACTTAAAATATTCAACAAAGTTAACAAACATTTTTTTAATTAGAAGCTTGAGTAGATTTTAATCTTTGCACACGACACTGCCCATTTATATTACGTCAAAACATAATTCTCTTGTATATTTATAATTGTTCTTCAATCATGGTTGAAAACAGAACATGGATCAGGAATATTTGTGTAATTAAGTCGATGTATTTATTTATTTAACAAGACAGCCCATCTAACTTTGAAATGAGCGCTACCAGACTTCCAGACCGCTGAGGGTTCCTTTTTCACTTCTCTCCGTGTTTGTTATACTCGATTACTCTTACAATTATACAAAAACCCTATATATACATATTTCATGCAAAGGTAAATTACCACTAAATTTGATTCTGTCGATTGATGGTAAGCAACAGGTGTTTTCTGTCTTTGAAATAGGAAGATCTTGATTAAACTATATCATAGAAAGTGTTTGCCGAAGTCTCTGTTTAATTTAGCCTGATTATCTTCAATTTAGCAGATTATGTTCTCGTAAAATACATGGTGGTGTTCGAAGAGGAAAATAGAATTTTTCTGTAGAATATACAGTCAGGCATATCTTGGCACAGTGCATTATATGTGTGTGCTATTTATACTGTTAATAATTGGGAATATTTCAAGTGCATAGTGCTCCTGTACTAGCAGGAAAAAAAACAACAACTAACCATAAATGCTTGAAGGCAGCTGAGCAGAATTATTATGTTGTTATTGTCCCTGTGATGAAAACAACAATGTAAAAATATTTATCTATTTATATGTCATAATTGTTGCCTTTTGTTTCAATCTCCCACACATGGACAATTTGTTGGTTGAATACCAATGTATGTTTAGTTTCTAAGTGATTTGTATGCAGCAGTTTGCAATAGTATATGTTTATATGTGCTATAATGCAGTCCTTTGAAATGCAAACATACTCCCAAACACCCACTCTAACACTTAAAACTCTTGGACACAAAACACATACTTCTACCCAACCCTGCTGTCCCATCAAAATATAACAATAAAAGAAAATGAAAAAGGAACGGAAACAGACAAATGAAATAAATGAAACAAGGTTCAATACTCAAAATTAAAAAAAAAAAAAAAGAGAGAGAAAAATAAAAGTAGTTAAAAAAATCAAGTGGCTCCTGAAAACTTTAAAGTTATTTGCATAGTTATCATAGATGACTCAGCTGAAGGTAAATCATTAAGAAATTTTATTGTCCAACTATTATAGGTTAAAAATGCTGCCAAGTGTACCCTGGCAATATTTTGGTACAAGTTATTGATTAACCTCTGACATGCCAGGAACTTATCCTGGTACCTATAAAAATCTTGGATAAGGCTGAATGATTCCCAGATTAATGTTTGTTTATCGTGTTATCAAAGACAGGCGCAAGGTTAATATAGTCTTCCTGGGAAGTTAATATGTTTCCAGACACTAACAATTTATTTTTATATGTTGGAGAAAAATTACAAACTATAAAAGAATGTAGAATTTTTGGCTATTTTTTCCTTCACTGTTTGAGTATTGGGTCAGACAGAGTATTATTAGGTCAGACTGAATATTGGGTATGACCGAGTATTATTGAGTTGGATTGAATATTATTGGGTGAAACTGAGTATTGGGTCGGACTGAGTATTATTGGGTCGGACTGAGTATTATTGGGTCAAACTGAGTATTATTGGGTCGGACTGGGTATTATTGGGTTGGACTGGGTATTATTGGGTCGGACTGGGTATTATTGGGTCGGACTGAGTATTATTGGGTCAGATTGAACATTGGGTATGACCGAGTATTATTGAGTTGGACTGAGTATTATTGGGTTGGACTGAGTATTATTGGGTGAAACTGAGTATTATTGGGTCGGACTGAGTATTATTGGGTTGGACTGAGTATTATTGGGTGGGACTGAGTATTATTTGGTGGGACTGAGTATTATTCAGTGGGACTGAGTATTATTTGGTGGGACTGAGTATTTTTGGGTCGGACTGAGTATTATTGGGTTGGACTGAGTATTATTGGGTGAAACTGAGTATTATTGGGTTGGACTGAGTATTATTGGGTGGGACTGAGTTTTATTCAGTGGGACTGGGTATTTTTGGGTCGGACTGAGTATTATTGGGTCGGACTGAAGGGTTGACCGAGTATTGGGTTAGACTGAGTATTATGGAATCAGACTGAGTATTATGGAGTTAGACTTAGTATTATTGAGTCTGACTGAGTATTAATGGGTCGGACAGAGTATTGGGTCAGACTGTGTATTATTGGGTTAGACAGAGTATTGGGTCAGATTGAGTATTTTTAGGTTGAACTGAGTATTGGTTTGGACTGAGTGTTGGGTCGGTCTAAGTAATGGGTCGGACTGAGTATTATTGGGTCGGACTGAGTATTGGGTTGAACTGAGTATTGGTTTGGACTGAGACTTGGGAGGACTGGGTTTTTCAGATTCAGCTATGTTGTGTAATTGTCCTGGAAAATTTATTATTTAATCCAGAGTGATCTCTCCTTAATGACAAAAATTATTATTTAACATTTATTTACAGTATAAATAAAACCAGATTTTCATGTAATTTTGTAAAAATCACAAAAGAATATTTGAAGATTATTTTCAATGATTTCATGTGGGACTTTTTTTTTTGCTTAAAAAGTTTTGAATAAAATGCAGTCTGAATAATGACCTATTGACCTATGGAGTAAGAGTCCAGGCCCTACTGTATCGCATCAGCCACTGGGTTTTAGGCCCTTTGAATCCTCAAATGACTATACCTGAATTTGCTTGTTTGTAATTATGTATTTTGTCTATTTCATTGAAGGGTTGTTTTTACATTGTGGGATAACCTTTATTAAGCAGGAAGTGATTGCGGGTTAAGATGTCGTACAAATAAAAGAACATTTTAAAAATATCATCCTTTTATGTTTTACAAATGTAACATAATGTACTGTATATTTGAGAAGAGAAAACAAGACACTGTTTTAATACACCATACCAGATAATGAGAACTAAGTGTAATTTATGCACATGCAGTATTCAACATTCCACAGGAGTGCATGTGATGAAATTTGGGCGACTTTTTCCATGATTAATTAAGGGCCAAAGTTTTGTATCAGTTTCTCCCCATTGAGTTTATTTTCATACTTGTTCCTACTTTGAATATTAGGCAAATTTCCTACTTTGAATATTAGGCAAATTTTTGACACTTAAGGATAAATAAGTTTCCACCATTAGTAAAGCTGTCAAGTTGCTATTTGACTTAGAAAAAAAAAATCACTCCAATTATTAAAAGAGGCGAGGGTTTACCTTCCATACTTAAAATGCACGTGCATAATTAACAAGAACTTTACTCATTTTAAAAGCAGTTTAAAAGATCTATATCAAACTTGATTCTTTTACCAAAACATAAATCATGTTCATGTCTTTTAATGCTGGCACCGATCATAACTCGTGTAAAGCCATTATCTGTATAGTGTGACCAGACCCTGTTTTAAAAGGCCGCTTGTTTGAAAATTTTATAAGTTGAACATGTCTTCAAATAAAATTGGCCAGGTACAGAGTCAAACCAGGGCAAGTTTATTAATCAGTTATAGGTGTGTGAACCATGGCAAGTCCATTATTCAATTGTAGCCCTGGGTATTATATAGTGAATTTTGATGGGACTTTTAGTAAATATCTGACCCATTACATGTATATGGCTGGATTTAATCATGAGCTATTCTATAACCATTTATTTGTTAATTTCAGGCATTTGGAAATGCAAAGACGGTGCATAACAACAACTCAAGCCGATTTGGTAAATTCATACAGGTCAATTATAAAGAGAATGGAATGGTTCATGGGTAAGCATAACATATATAACAGTGTCAGTTTGTCTTTTAAACGTTAGTTTGCTGACTAATATGCACAATTATGCTAGGATGCCCTCAATTGATTTGTACCATTTCTTAATAAATTAGTTAACTACCTTGTCATACAGATTGTTTTTATTTTGTATGTACAACTCCATATGATATTAAATGATGCATCATTTATTAGTACTGTTTTACCAGTTTACATCTAGCCTAGAAAAAAAACAAAAAAAAACGCGTGTTCTTAATTGACATTAAATGTTTTGGCTATTACAACTACTACAGGTTAATTAACACGAATAGAACACATAATGCATTTATAAAAATAGAACATTGGCATGAGTACAATTTTATAGTGTTTTTTGTCTATTAAAATATGATTATTAAATATTATAGGATGTAAGGGTTTTTTTTGTAAGTTGTTAAATTATTTACATAAATAACATTGTTTTTCAATGGACCAAAAACAAACAAAAAATATTTAAAATACAACATTGGCATGAGTACAAATTAAAAGTGTTTTTTGTCTATTAAAATATGATTATTAAATATTGTAGGATGTAGGTTTTCTTTTGGAAGTCGTTGCATTATTGTTTTTCAGTAGACCAAAAAAAAAAAATAAATTTGTTTTCCTGGTTCAGGATAGAAATGCGAATTTAATAACTGTAGCATTTAAACAAATTGAATTGTATTTAATTAAAAAAAATTGACCTATTCCTATTAATCATTTTGGTTATTTTTATTTTTCAGTGCTATTGTTGAAAAATATCTGCTGGAAAAATCTAGAATTGTCTCACAAGCGAGTAACGAGAGGTATGTCATGGTGATTGACTGTGTCCGAATATTGTCTGAATCAGAATATTGACTGTATCAGAATATTGTCTGTATCAGAATATTGACTGTATCAGAATATTGTCTGTATCAGAATATTGACTGCGTCCGAATATTGTCTGAATCAGAATATTGACTGTATCCGAATATTGACTGTATCTGAGTATTGACTGTGTCCGAATATTGTCTGAATCAGAATATTGACTGCGTCCGAATATTGTCTGAATCAGAATATTGACTGCGTCCGAATATTGACTGTATCTGAGTATTGACTGTGTCCGAATATTGTCTGTATCAGAATATTGACTGTGTCCGAATATTGTCTGAATCAGAATATTGACTGTGTCCGAATATTGTCTGTATCAGAATATTGACTGCGTCCGAATATTGTCTGAATCAGAATATTGACTGTATCCGAATATTGACTGTATCTGAGTATTGACTGTATCCGAATATTGACTGTATCTGAGTATTGACTGTATCAGAATATTGTCTGAATCAGAATATTGACTGTATCAGAATATTGTCTGTATCAGAATATTGACTGTGTCCGAATATTGTCTGAATCAGAATATTGACTGTGTCCGAATATGACTGTATCAGAATATTGACTGTGTCCGAATATTGTCTGAATCAGAATATTGACTGTGTTCGAATATTGACTGTATCTGAGTATTGACTGTGTCCGAATATTGTCTGAATCAGAATATTGACTGTGTCCGAATATTGACTGTATCTGAGTATTGACTGTGTCCGAATATTGTCTGAATCAGAATATTGACTGTGTCCGAATATTGACTGTATCTGAGTATTGACTGTGTCCGAATATTGTCTGAATCAGAATATTGACTGTATCCGAATATTGACTGTATCTGAGTATTGACTGTGTCCGAATATTGTCTGAATCAGAATATTGACTGTGTCCGAATATTGACTGTATCTGAGTATTGACTGTGTCCGAATATTGACTGTATCAGAATATTGTCTGAATCAGAATATTGACTGTATCCGAATATTGACTGTATCTGAGTATTGACTGTGTCCGAATATTGTCTGAATCAGAATATTGACTGTGTCCGAATATTGACTGTATCTGAGTATTGACTGTGTCCGAATATTGTCTGAATCAGAATATTGACTGTATCCGAATATTGACTGTATCTGAGTATTGACTGTGTCCGAATATTGTCTGAATCAGAATATTGACTGTGTCCGAATATTGACTGTATCTGAGTATTGACTGTATTATAGTATCATAGTACAATTTAATTTCAAATTAAAACCACCAGTATAATGCAAGTAGAGAATAAGAAATGCCAGTAGTTTCAAGCTTGATTATTCGAAGAATTAGTGGGGCTAACCTTTGTACTCACCAGGGATCCACATCGGTGTCGGCTTAACCCTTTCCCCCATGAGCATATTGTGAAAAATGGCCGTTTTCACTAAAAAGCCTCCTGTTACCAGTTCAAACTGTAAAAAAAACTATAAAATAATGCTTCAATACTAATCAAACTTGGCACAAATGTTGACTGGACCATTGCCTTTGTAATGACATGCTCAGTCTCAAATTTCCTGTTACCATGGCAACGAGGGGACATCTCAAAATTGCCAAAAATCACTATTTTGCCTCGATTTTTTCCATCAAAATTTATTTCAAAGTGCTGCAACTTCTTGCAACTTCTGGATTGAGATAAAGTCAAAGGCTTTTCAGCGTTGGTTACACGTTACATTATGATCGACCTGGGGTCATTTTTAGCCTCTCACAAGTCCAAAATTATTTTGGCGATGAGGGGGACTCCACCCCCCTTCAAACCCCCCTAACCGATGAGGGGGACTCTTCCCCCCTTCAAACCCCCCTAACAGAAGGGGGCACATCCCCCTTCTGGCAACCCCCTGATGTATCTTTTGGATGGGGGGCGGCGCCGAAAAAGTGCTCATTTTTTTTAGCAACATTTCTCAAACGAAAACGTGTTTGGGGCCCAAATAGGACATTTTTTCACTATTTGAGGCCTAAAAAAGAAAACAAATATGACAAAATGTAAAGTTGCTTTAAATTTAGCAGAACATTCACAACTTAATTTGTGTAATGTTTTAAAATTAAGAAATGAAGAACTTTTCAAATGTCAGGGTCTGAGGTATCTATCAAGCTTGCTACAAGATTTAGGTATAATAATTATAATGTTACCATCGGGCTTTTCACCATCTCTGGTCAGTTCTTTCACACCTGTTTATATACATGTATCACTTGAAAAGATGTATTTTTTATAATGATGATATATGTATCTTGTAGAAACTACCATGTATTTTACTACCTACTGCGAGGTGCCGATGACTTAGAGAGAGAGAAACTCCGCCTTGGAAAACCGGAGGATTATTTCTACCTTAGACAGGTAAGGACAATGCTCAATCATACAGTGATTGGGGGAATATAGATATAATAACATGAAAAGGCTGTTAACAATCTAGACACCTACCTGTCAATTTCATTTTCCGTGGATAATGCACTAATTTTGGATTTGTTGTTTACAAATACTTTTAACGCCAATATAAACTTAGCTAATTGGCCATAGAGGATATATGTAAAATTATGAATTATGAACTATGAATGGTGTCTGCTCAGAATAATTGTATTAAGAAATCACAAAGTTCATATTTTGTTTGTGTTGGAATTCTCATTATTTGTCAGTATTTTACCACACATATTCCTTTAGTGATTTCTCATTGATAATCAGAATGCCTATAGAAAGGTACAACAACTGTAAAGTGGCAGGCAGATTGAAATGCAATGAAAACCAAGCCTCTTGTACAAAGTGCTGTAACCCCAAAACCATGTTATTTGTTTAAAGAGTACTTTAAGCAAAATACAATGAAAACCAAGCCCCTTGTACATAGAACTCTAAACCAAACCCCTTCTACAAAGTACTCCAACCCCATTGCTTATTTGTATCCCATCTCTGCATATATCCAATCTCTGTATATTGCCAAACATTAGCAATTTGCTGGATTAATTGGTATGTTCCTGATTATTGATTGGTTGGCAATATGCTATAGTAGTAATTATTAGTTATGATCATCAAGAATTCTTATGTTCATTTGCATATTTGTGATTCACACTACTGAATATGACTAGGATACTGAAGAAAACGAACTGCAGAATATGGGTCCCTTATTGTAGAACATGTCTGGCTTACTAAAGAATATGACTGGTTTACTGCAGAATATGTCTGGCTTACTAAAGAATATGACTGGCTTACTGCAGAATATGTCTGGCTTACTAAAGAATATGACTGGCTTACTGCAGAACATGTCTGGGTTACTAAAGAATATGACTGGCTTACTGCAGAAAATGTTTGGCTTACTGCAAAAAAATGACTGGATTACTGCAGAATATGACTGGCTTACTACATAATATGACTTGCATACTTCATGATTGGTACATTGTAGATTTACAACAGACAAGCTCGCTTCACGATATGTCTGTTATATTGCAAAATATATATAAAAGTGTTTCAAACAAAATTTACTACTTGCTTACTATCACATGCTGTGCTTCATTCCAACCTAACTGTCAATCAGTTCTGTAAGAATAGATATATTTATTGGTAAAAAAGCAACAATTAGAACCATATGTTTTGTCTTGAATGATGCTGATTAAGATGATAAAATAGTTTAAATTTTTGTTTTATTTACCAGCCATATGTTGTTATTGAGAAGTTTTTTTTGAGAGGCATGCATATATTAGGGTTGAAATGTGAGAAAAAAATGTAAAATCAGTTTCATGGCACATTTATGGAAAAAGGTGAAAATAATTACATTGATAATATATTGTGTATTAAGATGCCAGTAAGATTGCTATTCTTTTGCATCAAGGTATAGCACAACTTCTGGACCAGTGATAGTAAGATTTCCTGTATTATTCTATTGATGTACAGTTGAACCTGTGCTTAAAACTACCGGTTACCCCCAACTTAAAGTTTACCAATCTGTTTCCTTTCTGGAACCAAACAAAATTCATTTGTGTTCATATGAATACAAATTCCTTAAAAAGATAAAAACAACTTTTATTCTAAAAAGAAACAGTTGTTGTAGTGTTCTGAATTTGCCGACTTTAAAATAAAACTAATTTTTTCCCAATTTTAATCTTATCTTTTCCTAATTTTAAACTTATCTTTTCCTAATTTTAAAATTATCTCTCCATTATTATTATCTAACAGATTTTAATTTTAAATGAATCATTTTTCCACTACTTAATTTGGAATGAAATCATGATTTAAATCATGATACTTGTTATCACAGGTTTGACTGTGTTAAAAATCTTAACTATGTTTAACATTAAGTGAAATGAAATGCTTGAGATACTCTTCCTATTATAATTATTAACCAATAAGTGGATTATAAACATGTTGAAAATCATTGTAACTAAATCTTAAGGCGTGCCCCTGAAATGATTTGTTTCAATATGCTTTAGTGATTTTATCAGTCACTGTGAGTAATATTAATGTCAGGTTTGTAGTTTGGTATGTTTATAGTACACCTGGGAAAACTTCAAATCTTAAGAGTTCAGCTGCTGAAGTGTGAAATTGTATAAGAGTGTTAAATTAATATTTTATTATTGTATCATACACTTGATAAATATAATATCTGTCACAGTGATTTAATAACTTGTGTGATTGAGTATTTGACATTGATTAAGAGTCCATATGTCATACAGCCTTGAAAAAAACTTGTGGAAACACTTGTACCTAGAATTTTTTTGGTTGAAAATCCCAGCATTTGTTAATTTGATTTGCTTGTGCCTGAAATAATGCACAGAAAGCCACCTATGTTAGCTATTCTAGGACCGGTAGAAAGTGACACAATGTGACCAATATGTTGACAGCATGGATGCCACTTAAAATTACATCAACTTAAACCTTGGTGATATTTTTTTAAGGAATTTATATTCACATGGACACATTTGATTTTTGCTTGATTCCAGAAAAATATATTAGTAGTTATTCAGTGTCATAAAATCTGTACATAAAGTGAAAATAGCTAGACTGACCTGTTAATGATTTGGGAGTACAGTCAGACCTGTAAATAAAGACCAGCTGTAAAACCAATGGTGTGCGACAACAAGACAATGTACTTTTAAGCTATAGAGTATAACTGCTATATATAGAGTAAAAACTGCCAGCATTTAATGACAGGATTTGTTCAGAGGTCATCTTAAGCACAAGTTCGACTGTAAATATGAGATTGTTATTCTATGACTACAAAGAATTAAAGAAATGTTTTATAAATTTCAGAGTGACTGTTACCTCGTTGATGATCTGGACGAGGCCAATGAGTTTTCTAGGCTTAAACAGTCCATGGAGATGGTGGCATTCTCACAAGTTACACAAAAAAGGTAAACTGAGCCGCGTTATAACAAAACCAACATAATGGGTTTGCGACCAGCATGGATCCAGACCAGCCTGTGCCTCCGCGCAGTCTGATCAGGATCCAGGCTGTTCGCTATCAGTTTCTCTACTTGTTATGGGGGTTTGTAAGTGAACAGCATGGATCCTGATAAGACTGTGCGGATGCGCAGGTTGGTCTGGATCCATGCTGGTCGCAAACCCATTATGTTGGTTTTGTAATGGCGCAGCTCAGCTATGATATAAATTCCGATGTTGGCTTTGTCAGAACCATAAATTGCTGAAACAAGGAATTGAAAAAGCGACAAAAAAAACAAAAAAACCCACTAAGATATAAATACCAATTACTAGCATGTTCATGTGATTTGGTTTAGAAATGAATTACTAAAAGGAGAATTCAGCAAATTTATTAGTCACACCTCATGCTAACTAGTAGGTTTTTTGTTGATAATAAAAAAGAAACTGGGCATGATTTTTAACCACCTCTGAAAGAAAATACTGGTTTCTAATCGGTTGAATGTTTGCGGAGAGGCTTAAACAAATTTTTTTCGCTCTCTTGTTCCCATTACTAAATATCCGTATAATATATTTTTGTATTGATTAGCTAATATGAAATCTATGGAAACAATTTCATTGGTTAAAAAAAATCATATTGAAAAAGAAATCTTCTATAAAAATATATGATGTTAATTTTCAGTATTCTTTTTGTTAATTCAAGATCTTAGAATAGAATTATTTCGAAGAAGGATACACCTGAAAGGAAGTAAAAATGATAAAAAAAAAATCATACAAGTTTTTTATTTCAAAAATAGAAAATTATTGAGATATGATATTTTGTTTTTCAGAATATTTGGTGTTTTGTCGGCTGTTTTACATCTTGGTAATGTCACTTTCAAAAAGGTAGATTTAATTTTCTTTAACACCTGTACATATTGCTACATAGCATACATAAATGGTCTATTGTCCTTTGATCTATAAGTATTTTTCATTTCGCTTTGAGAAATCAAAAATCTAAAATTGAATTTTGGAGAAGTGATAAAACAGGAGTTTTTTGTTGTGTTTATTGTTCAAAAGTTTTCAGCATGTTTATGAAGTAGGGGAACCGCCATGGCTGAATGATGAAAATCACTTCTCTAACATCATTGTGGGTTTGGATGCTGTCAGGGATTTAGGATTCATCCATGTGTGGATGCTATCCAACAAGCTTATGGAGGGTCAGTGGTTCAACTCTGGTGTCGGTTTGTGCTGGAAAAGGGGCACCAAATGTCTTCTTTTTTCCAGTAAAGCTTAAACATTGCCCTATGACTTTAACAATATTGGTCAATGGTGAGACCTAAAAATCAACAAAGACAGAAGTCTAAAGTGATAAGATGATTTTACTAATTTGTTGTCTCAAAATAATTGTTTAGGAAGAGGTTTTGGTAATCACAATTAATGGGAAGGGGGGGTTTAAAACAAAGGGAAATTACTCATACATCTTGTTTGTCTCTTGACTTAACTTTACTTATTTCTGGATGAGTTATCTATTTATGATTAGGAATCTCACAAAGTGTTAATATTATTTTATTCCAAAATAAGAATCCAAATGTGTTTACTGAAAAAGAAATATTTTTTTCAGTGTTTTTAGATGTTTATTTGTGTTTTTAAATTAAAAGTTGCTAATTGTTATCACTGGGAATGATTCACTCAGAAAATTGTTTTTGTTTTGTTAAGGCTATTGCAAAAATGTGCTTTCTCATTCTTTGTTTAAGAATTTTAGAAATCTTTACTCTTATCGAAGGTCAGGTCTAAGCACCTTAGATGGGCAAAGAGATATTCAGTGGAATTTTGTTAGAAAGTAATATGTCTTAAATTATGCCATATTTCCTTCACCATTGTTCTTTAAAGTGTTTACTTTGACAAGATGGCCCATTTTTGAGGGTAAAAAAAGAAGACTGTTTAGTACTTGCACACAAATGAGAAGACATTTGTTAGTCTACTGATCAGCTGTCTTTTACTGACATATCCAGATATTTTTTTTTGGGGGGGGGGGGGGTTAAGTTAGAGCAGGATAAAGTGCCGATATTCACATGTATTAAAAGCACTTACATAGAACCTCTGTTTCAAGTATTGCCTAATTTTAGTTTGTTTTTACCAGGACAGGGAGTATAAATACAGAAATTGTCACAAAAAGGCTTGTCACAAATTAAATTCATCCTTTTTTTATGACAATTTTTACAGTTATGCAGTAATCTGTTATTGCAAGAACATGTTTATCTTGATTTCTTATATTTGTTTGAACTGTTGAGTCATTGCTAAAAAGTTGAGTCACATGTTCTAGGTTCACATCAATTTTGTCACAATCAAATTTTTTTCTCTCTAATTTTGTGACTTTTTCATTTCCACAGTTTTGTCAGTGATGTTGTTGTTACAATTTGTGATGTTTTGTATGAAAGTATGACTAATGTTTTGAATTGCTTTATTTTAGAAAGGGGATCAACACCATGATGAATCAGTTACCATAATTAACCCAGAAACTATCAGTATCATCTCCAAGTTACTCATGGTGAAAGAGCGCACCCTGACAGAAGCGCTTACACAAAAGAAAACAGTGGCTGGAGACGAAACGGTCGTTATGACTCATCGGATGGAACATGTTTGTTGCTTTAATAAGAATTCTTATTTTACGTTTATATAGATTAATTTCTGCTATAATATGCTTTAACTATGTTGTTACACTGTTTTGTTGCATAACTGCCAATTAACATTATGTTAAGGATGATTGTATAGGCTTACCGGGGGATTATCGCCAGTGTATTTCCAGATTGTAACAGTGTTTCTCTCTGGTTTATTGCACATGCTACATGAGCATTCATTGGTTGATAAACCAGTAATGTACTGTTTTTCCCTCGAGCAACTACTTACTATTATTGCTCACAAGCTTTTAGAATCAGCGATTATGAATTATTGGCATTGGATTGTAGTAATCCAACAAATATCTGTTGGATAAAATAAGAGGATATATTGTACCATGCCAGGACTCTAAAATGGTGAAGCAAAACTTTTGAGTTACTAGTCATTTCTGTACTATCCTTGACAAATCATATCATATCTTTAGCTTGTCTGTTTTGAAGAAATATTCAAGCTATGACCATCTTCATTGTAGTGCACAAACTTTTGTTTAGCCTATTTTTAAAAAATTTCAAAAGGTTTCAATATGAAACTTAAAATACTTGCTTATCATGCTGACAAGGTGCAGTTGCCTGACAAAGGGGTATAATTCTGAAACCAATATTTATGGAGTTATGTTCCTTTTTAACTTTTAACAAATGAGTAATTACAGTGCATATGCTTTGCACTTGTTTGCTATTTAAAGAAAAAATGTTAAAAAATGACATATATTTTACTATTGTAGGCTGTAGCAACTAGAGATGCCATGGCTAAATGTCTATATGGAGCTTTATTTGACTGGATTGTCCTGAAAGTAAACCAAGCTCTGCTTGCCAAGAGACACAATAGTGAACATCAGGTATGACCCGTCCCTTGCCTTTCCCATCAACCCCTACACACATAAACGCCTTTTTTTTTTGTTCTCGCACAATTTTACAAAGACCCAGATTTTATGCCCCTAAATTGATTTTCTTTCCCAAGTAACTGTTTAGAATTTACAGCATAGGTTAGTAAATTTTTTCTTTATTTTATTTTTCCTTTGTAAATAAAAAGTAGGGAAAAATGTGTATATAAAACTTACCATTTCAAGAAATTTCAATCCTGGGTTGTATTTTTTGTTTGTTCAATATTCATTTTGAATGTTTCATAGCTGATAAATATTTGTTAAGAAAATATTGCTCACTTTCTACTTTAAAAAAACACAAAAAAAAACTGATTTCTTGCTGGAGTTTGGGAATACTTTATGATTTAAACAGAAATAATTAACATTTTTTGAGACAGATTTTTGGGACATTTTTGTTATCATTTAGATGTAGTTGAAATAGATGGTGAACACATGCGTTGAAAACATGGTTACCAGAAATTAACAGTCTTTAATAGAAGTAGATAAATTTTAAAATTTTGATTTTATAAATTGCTTTATTTATTTATTTAAATTCCTGAAAACTATCAATACCATGATTCAACCATTCCCATAATAATGTACATACAAAACCTAATCCTAGTAGTAGAATGGCTTTCTAAAATCAAGCTTGGTTCGGAAATGTAATGTAAATTGCTTAGGCTAAGAAAAGAATATGTTTCTGGTATCTCCTAAGGAACCCAAAGAACAAAAAATCAATGGAAATGTTGCACTGTATAGGTGGTTAAGTTAGCAACACAGAAATTTTGGCGAATTTCGTGATTTGATGAAAATCACTAAAATTTCCTCTAGCGTAAAGATCAACCAAGCTGTCAATAAATTCTACCCTTGCATGATTTGCTAATATTTCCTTTCATGAAATGTCTGGAATTTTAAATTCGCTTACTTATTGACACACGGAAATATCCACATATACTGTATGCATATTATTTATTAAATTTATTTGCAATAAGGGCGCCCATGGCTCAAGTGGTTATGGTCGATCACTATAAATCACTTGCCCCCTGTCGCTGTAGGTTCGAGTTCAATCAGGTTACTATGAATTCTTTCATGTTATGGATCTACTCGTGATTAAAATGACGCATGAAGGGGTACCTGACGTCTTCCCCCACTAGCTGAAATATAGCCAGTGTTGGTGCGACTTATCACCTATTCAAATTAATAAATTTATCAACAAATTTAGGATCACTTGGAATACCAGAAACAGTCATATATATATTTTAGTTGGGGTAAATGTAATGTTAATTTATCTAATGAAGAATGGAATGTTAAGCATGGTATCTCTGCAACACAACTGTGCGGCGTCGATGCTGCCTTACTAGGCTTTAATTCCTTTAGTTTCTTGCAGGAATGTTCCGCAGAATGTCAACTTCATTCTTTTGTTTTGTTTTGTTTTTTTAATCAACTTTAAGAAGGAAACAAAACGGAAAAAACAACATCTTAACTTACAGTAGCTATATAGTTTGTGTCAGCTTATTTGCAGAACACATTATAGTTTAACCAAGAAGTTTAGGTATTTTTGTCATGGTTTTATTTCTTCTAACTTAGAATTGTTTTCTTAATTCTGTTAAGGCTGAAGCGGCATGGCTTATGAAACAAGAAAGAGTTTATATTAAGAATTTTTTTTTTGCGGAGCTGACATTAGAATTTTGGTGTAGCTTTTAGTCAGCGTTAAAGAAATGCGACACCAACTTAACTTGTTGTGTTAGCTTGAGGAACTGTACCCAGCATCAGATCAAATTTGATCTGTGGCTTAAAAAAACAACAACAAGATCAAGAGAAACAGCAGAGTGATCAACATTAACATGTCAATGTGAAAGAAATATTTTTTATTTGTATTTTGCTAGGCTGAGGATAATCCAGATAAAGCAAATAACGTTAGACATACGGTACATATATAATACGGTGGTTGATGCTATATTTAGCTTCCTTTGCCAAAATTTTGATCCACCATGTCTCTTTGTAATGGTTTTAAGCTTGTCTGTTACAGACAATTGTTAACAACACATTCGGTGCTTTTGTTCTTATATGATAATTTTGTTGATTTTTCTCGCTAGTTTTTAATATTCAGTATTTTAGAATAAATGCTCTATTATAAAGGAAAAAATAATAAAATGTATTTTTAAATAAGTAAAGAGTTTTTTTCAAATTTTGAGTTTCCATTCTGATGATCGAAGCTTTTTCCTGTAAATAGTCTTAAAATGATTAATTTGATAATGATTATTTAGAACTTTGGTTTTGATTGGATTTTGAAGAAATAACCTCTCTTAGAGGAAAGGTGGATCAAATAATAGTGCTAGTGTTTTTCAGTCTGTCTGCGGAGAAGCAATTTTCACTCATCTTCTAATTTGGTTATTTAATCATTAATATTAACTCCATGCTTAAAAACATGATTTTTGTTATGCCCCCATTTCGAAGAAAAGGGGGTATATTGCTTTGCACTTGTCGGTCCGTCGGTCTGTCGGTCCGTCGGTCCGTAGACCAAATGGTTTCCGAGTGATAACTAAAGAACCCTTAGGCCTAGGAACTTCAAACTTGGTATGGTGATTGGTCATGACCAGTAGATGACCCCTATTGATTTTGGGGTCAAGGGGTCAAAGGTTAAGGTCACATTGACCTTGTAAGCAAAAACGGTTTCCGATCAATAACTAAAGAACCTTAAGGCCTAGGAACTTCAAACTTGGTATGGTGATTGGTCATGATCAGTAGATGACCCCTATTGATTTTGGGGTCAAGGGGTCAAAGGTCAAGGTCACATTGACCTTGTAAGCAAAAACGGTTTTCCGATCAATAACTAAAGAACCTTAAGGCCTAGGAACTTCAAACTTGGTATGGTGATTGGTCATGATCAGTAGATGACCCCTATTGATTTTGGGGTCAAGGGGTCAAAGGTCAAGGTCACATTGACCTTGTAAGCAAAAACGGTTTCCGATCAATAACTAAAGAACTTTAAGGCCTAGGAACTTCAAACTTGGTATGGTGATTGGTCATGATCAGTAGATGACCCCTATTGATTTTGGGGTCAAGGGGTCAAAGGTCAAGGTCACATTGACCTCTTGGGTAAAAACGGTTTCCGATCAATAACAAAAGAACCCTTAGGCCTAGGAACTTCAAACTTGGTATGGTGATTGGTTATGACCAGGAGATGACCCCTATTGATTTTGGGTTAAGGGGTCAAAGGTCAAGGTCACATTGACCTTGTAGGTAAAAACGGTTTCCGATCAATAACTAAAGAACCCTTAGGCCTAAGAACTTCAAACTTGGTATGGTGATTGGTCATGACCAGCAGATGACCTATTGATTTTGGGGTCAAGGGGTCAAAGGTCAAGGTCACATTGACCTCTTGGGTAAAAACGGTTTCTGATCTATAACAAAAGAACCCTTTGGCCTAGGAACTTCAAACTTGGTATGGTGATTGGTTATATCCAGCAGATGACCCCTATTGATTTTGTGGTTAAGGGGTCAAAGGTCAAGGTCACATTGACCTTGTAAGTAAAACGGTTTCTGATCAATAACTAAAGAAGCCTAGGCCCTAGGAACTTCAAACTTGGTATGGTGATTTGTCATGACTAGCAGATGACCCCTATTGATTTTGGGATCAAGGGGTCAAAGGTCAAGGTCACATTGACATTGTAAGTAAAAAACGGTTTCTGATCAATAACTAAAGAACGCTTCGGCCTAGGAACTTCAAACTTGGCATGGTGATTGGTCATGACCAGCAGATGACCCCTATTGATTTTGGGGTCAAGGGGTCAAAGGTCAAGGTCACATTGACCTTGTAGGTAAAAAATGGTTTCAGATCAATAAACTAAAAACGCTTAGGCCTAGGAACTTCAAAACTTTGTATGATGATTGGTCGTGACCAGCAGATGACCCTATTGAGTTTTTTGGTCAAGGGGTCAAAGGTCAAGGTCACATTGACCTTGTAAGTAAAAACGGTTTCTGATCAATAACTAAAGAACGCTTAGGCCTAGGAACTTCAAACTTGGTCTGGTGATTTGTCATGACCAGCAGATTACCCCTATTGATTTTGGGATCAAGGGGTCAAAGGTCAAGGTCACATTGACATTGTAAGTAAAAACGGTTTCTGATCAATAACTAAAGAACGCTTCGGCCAAGGAACTTCAAACTTGGCATGGTGATTGGTCATGACCAGCAGATGACCCCCTATTGATTTTGGGGTCAAAGGTCAAGGTCACATTGACCTTGTATGTGAAAACGGTTTCCGATCAATAACTTAAGAACCCTTAGGCCTAGGAACTTCAAACTTTGTATGATGATTGGTCGTGACCAGCAGATGACCCCTATTGAGTTTTGGGTCAAGGGATCAAAGGTGAAGGTCACATTGACCTTGTAAGTAAAAACGGTTTCTGATCAATAACTAAAGAACACTTAGGCCTAGGAACTTCAAACTTGGTATGGTGATTTGTCATGACCAGCAGATTACCCCTATTTATTTTGGGATCAAGGGGTCAAAGGTCACATTGACATTGTAAGTAAAAACGGTTTCTGATCAATAACTAAAGAACGCTTCGGCCTAGGAACTTCAAACTTGGCATGGTGATTGGTCATGACCAGCAGATGACCCCTATTGATTTTGGGGTCAAAGGTCAAGGTCACATTGACCTTGTATGTTAAAACGGTTTCCGATCAATAAATAAAGAACCTTTAGGCCTAGGAACTTCAAACTTGGTATGGTGATTGGTCATGACCAGCAGATGACCTATTGATTTTGGGGTCAAAGGTCAAGGTCACAGGGGCCTTGACTTCAAAAAGCTTTTCCGCCCAATAACTTAAGATTCCTTTGACCCACAGTCTTCATATTTGGCATTGAGGTTAGTCATGATTAGTAGATGACCCCTATTGATTTTGAGGTCACCAGGTCAAAGGTCAAGGTCACAGGGGCCTTGACTTCAAAAAGCTTGTCCGCCCAATAACTTTAGATTCCTTTGACCCATAGTCTTCATATTTTGCATTGAGGTTAGTCATGATTAGTAGATGACCCCTATTGATTTTGAGGTCACCAGGTCAAAGGTCAAGGTCACAGGGGCCTTGACTTCAAAAAGCTTGTCCACCCAATAACTTAAGATTCCTTTGACACACAGTCCTCATATTTGGCATGGAGGTTAGTCATGATTAGTAGATGACCCCTATTGATTTTGAGGTCACCTGGTCAAAGGTCAAGGTCACAGGGGCCTCGACTTCAAAAAGCTTGTCCGCCCAATAACTTAAGATTCCTTTGACCCACAGTCTTCATATTTGGCATGGAGGTTAGTCATGATTAGTTTGAGGTCAAAGGTCAAGGTGACCTTGTAGGTAAAAACGGTTTCCGATCAATTAACTAAAAACGCTTAGGCCTAGGAACTTCAAACTTTGTATGATGATTGGTCGTGACCAGCAGATGACCCCTATTGAGTTTTGGGTCAAGGGGTCAAAGGTTAAGGTCATGACCAGTAGAAACTTGATACTTGATTAATTGTTTGATCACTGGGTCAGAAGTCATGCATAATAACCTTATCACATGACTAAATGGCTGCTGATAGGGGGCATACATGTTTTACAAACATATCTTGTTTAATCGGAAATGCAATGCGATGTTTCTTACTTAATTAGATAACTCGATGCAAAGCATTTTCTTAAAGAAATTTCTTAACTAAAATTATTACATTGTAAGATGTCCTTCTTCAATTTTTTTTTTTTTAATTTACTTAACACATACCAGAACAAGATAAATTTATGCTTAACAGCTCAAAATAAATGTAGAAAAATTTGTTTTTAAAAGATTTGTGGAAGGTTTTTAATGGTATAATCTGGGACATAATATAACAGGGAAGGCAACTGGAAATAAGTGTGGGTCACGTGACCTAAGAAAATTTCTTTAAGTATCTGTCGAAAATTACCTGTAACGAACAGTTTATAAAAAGTCTGGGCCAAATCTTTTTATATTTTAGGCAGATTTATATTAAATCTACATTTTTCAATAACATCTGTTGGTCAATTACCATTATAACAGTCAATCTTTTGAGTTATGTAGTCAATTCAGCTTAACTTGCCTATGAAAAAATGAGCATAATGTAACTTGAACATGATGTTATGAAAATTCATCAGAGTATTTTTTTAACATTAAATAATGGCATTTAGACACTGCTTATTGGTCAATCGGTCAGACCATTTATCTAGTAGGTAGTTGCTACTCCTGTTATATTATGTGCCATGTATTATATATAACATTTCAAAGCAGATATTTCTTATTTATTAATGACTATAAACAATGACTTTTGGCTTTATTGCTGCAATGGCATTTTTCAGACCTTCTTTAACTTTCAAACTGATCTAACAGAACTCCAACAGCTTTGGAAATGTCTGATTTTTTTTCCAGTACAACTTTTATTTAAAAAAAAAAAAAAAAAAAAGCTGTGAAAATTGATTCTCGTATGTCTGCAACAGGTATTTTGTAGCATTTGAACCCTGTTTGTTTCCATGCTAGATTTACATGCATTCCCCTCTGTCAGTAAACTTTTTCTGTTTAACCATGTCTCGTGTAAGTATCATGTTTTTGTAACCCTTACGAAGCTAATCTCTTAAAATTGACTTGTCCATCTTTACATTTGGACAATACCATTCATCATTTCTAGGGGAAAATTCAGAATATTTACTGACTAACAGGGCAGACCATTATCAAGCTACATGTACACTGAGTGGTTAAAGCGTCGGACTAGTAATCTAATGATCGCTAAGTTGCACATCAGAGGCAAGTGGTTGTTTCCTTGAGCATGAAACTTGACACTCATTGCTTAGCACTGACTGGTTCCAGGAACAGATTCTAAAGTTTGTCTAGAGGCTTATAGCATCCTACATAATTGAACTAAAAGAAATTCTGTATAAAACTAACTGCACAAATGATCCAGGAAAGTAATTTTCAGTGCAGGGGTGCAGGGAGGGTGGGGAGGGATTGTTTTTTCTACCAGACATCAGGTTTTTTGTGTAGTTGTCAAGTTATATTGACCTCCCTCTTGTAAGGGATAGTGTATTTTTCTTGTTTTGAAGTGATTTGAGTAAAGAGTGCGCTAAATTTTGTGTACATGTATTTTGCGTGTGTTGATGTAGAATTTTTTGATTGATTTTTTTTCATTTGTATGAAATTTCATTGTATAGAAAACTAGCTTTGAGAAACGTACCGTGAAAATAATGGTATTTATCAGAGATGTTGGTATTGTTGTTGAAATAAACCCATTATTGTTTTTAATTTGCAAATATTAAAAAATGCAAGGAAACAATCCATTTGTCAACCTTTTTTCATGCTTCATTCATCATGCCCTTCATTTAACTTGCCCGTTTTCTTTTCGCTTGCAAAAATGGTAGAAATATTATGTTCTGCAAACATAACCCCTATTTTCTTAACTCTTCATATTTGCATTTAGCTCTATTGTGCTACATCCAGTTTCCTTTTGTTTATACTGTGGCATGATTTCTTAATTTTTCCCTTGGCATTATTCCACTCTTGTTAATTTGCATATTTAGCTAACAATGATTACCTGTCTTGTATTTTATGAAGAATTAAAATCAAACTATGAATCACCATTGTTTGTTGATAGATCTTTTTAAGTTGAATCATCCAAAGGTAGGTGGTTCTTCAAAGTGTGTTTGTCTAAAAGAATTAATGATGAGAGCACTTTAGACCATCGTCCAGGGGTGTCCGTGGCCAAGTGGGTTCAAATCTATACAGGGACTTTGGATTCTTTCATATGAGGAAGCTATCCAGCTGGCTTACAGAACATTGGTGGTTCTACTCAGGTGCCCATTTGTGCCTGAAATTATGCACAGAAGGGCACCTGAGGTATTCCTCCACCAGTAAAGCTGGAAAGTCGCCATTGGACACACACTGTGTTGGTGCAGCTTAAAATTATACCAAAAATAAAAGGAAAGAAGGCCATCATCCATATGTATATTTCCCCTGGTCCAATTCTTTAGTGATAGAATTTTTTAATGTATATGCCGATAATTTAGGGGAATTTGCATGCCAGATATTAGTGTCAACACCAAAGAGAAGAGAAAGTTATTTCACTAAAAAACAATCATTAGAAAAAAAAAAAGGAGAAAAAATTAAAGTGGGTTAGTACACATACAGATTGTAGAAAGAGGGTTTCTTTTACAGCATGTTTTACTGTTGTGTTTAATAAGTTGTATGAATTTCATACAGATTGAATTTAAATATGATATTCATGTTAATCATATACACCCTTATGTATTCATAAACTGTACATATTCATAAACTATACATATTTATAAACAATAATTTTAAGTGGCTGACTAAAAGTTTGAAATTAAAATAAAACTCTGAATGGCTCAGATGTATATTACTGTATAAGTGGTTAGTTAACGAAGCAGAAATATTAGTGAATTTTGCAAATTGATGAAAACCACTAAAAATCCTCTCGTGAAAATATCAACCAACCTGTCATTAGATTACACCGTTGCTGCGTTGCACGATTGGATATATTTTCTAACTTGCTTTTTGACACGCGAAAATATTCACTTATAATGTATGTGCATATAGTTGTATATTATCATTTTTACAAAATATTGCCAAAAATAATTTTAGTATATAAAAGAATGTTGAATTATTCAATACTTTAAAATTTAGATTTAGATTTACTAACACACATTATAATAAATAACATAATATTTAATTATTACAACGATGTTTTACAGATTTAATCATCAGTTATGTACTTGGAGTTATTACACGTTTATCATAATTGCTTGAAATTATTATATGGCAGGGTAATTCAATAGGCGTGTTGGACATCTTTGGTTTTGAAGATTTTAAATGGAACAGTTTTGAACAGTTCTGTATCAACTATGCAAATGAGCACCTCCAGTACTATTTCAACCAGCACATCTTCAAGTTTGAGCAGGTAATGATTGTGTTATAAAACAACATTTTTGATTTCAGTAGCATAAGAAGTCCTGTATAGTTTGGTAGCATTTTAAGTCCCATGTAGTTTGGTAACATTTGAAGTCCTGTACAGTTTGATAACATGTTAAGTCCTGTATAGTTTGGTAGCATTTTAAATCCAGTATAGTTTGGGTAACATTTGAAGTCCTGTACAGTTTTATAGCAATTTAAGTCCTGTATAGTTTGGTAGCATTTTAAGTCCCATGTAGTTTGGTAGCATTTGAAGTCCTGTACAGTTTGATAACATGTTAAATCCCGTAAAGTTTGGTAGCATTTGAAGTCCTGTACAGTTTGATAACATGTTAAGTCCCGTATAGTTTGGTAGCATTTTAAGTCCTGTACAGTTTGATAACATGTTAAGTCCCATAAAGTTTGGTAGCATTTGAAGTCCTGTACAGTTTTATAAACATTTTAAGTCCTGTATAGTTTGGTAGCATTTTAAGTCCCATGTACAGTTTGATAACATGTTAAGTCCCGTATAGTTTGGTAGCATTTTAAGTCCAGTATAGTTTGGTAGCATTTTAAGTCCCATGTAGTTTGGTAGCATTTGAAGTCCTGTACAGTTTGATAACATGTTAAGTCCCGTAAAGTTTGGTAGCATTTGAAGTCCTGTACAGTTTGATAACATGTTAAGTCCCGTATAGTTTGGTAGCATTTTAAGTCCTGTACAGTTTGATAACATGTTAAGTCCCGTAAAGTTTGGTAGCATTTTAAGTCCAGTATAGTTTGGTAGCATTTGAAGTCCTGTACAGTTTTATAGCATTTTAAGTCCTGTATAGTTTGGTAGCATTTTAAGTCCTGTATAGTTTTATAGCATTTTAAGTCCTGTATAGTTTGGTAGCATTTTAAGTCCTGTACAGTTTGATAGCATTTTAAGTCCTGTATAGTTTGGTAGCATTTTAAGTCCTGTACAGTTTTATAGCATTTTAAGTCCTGTATAGTTTGGTAGCCATTTTAAGTCCCATGTAGTTTGGTAGCATTTGAAGTCCTTTGTACAGTTTTATTAGCATTTTAAGTCGCAGTACAGTTTTATATAGCATTTTAAGGTCCTGTATAGCTTTGGTTAGCATTTTAAGTCCTGTAACTAGTTTGGTAGCATTTGAAGTCCTGTATAAGTTTTGGTAGCAATTTAAGTCCTGTATAGTTGGTAGCATTTAAGTCCCTGTATAGTTTAGAAGCATTTTAAGTCCAGTATAGTTTGGTAGCATTTTAAGGTCCTGTATAGTTTAGAAGCATTTTAAGTCCAGTATAGTTTGGTAGCATTTTAAGTCCTGTATAGTTTGGTAGCATTTTAAGTCCAGTATAGATTAGTAGCATTTTAAGTCTTTAGTTAATGGAAGGTTATTGGTGCCCATTCATGCAGGAAGAAATACTCTTGATGCATTGAAGGTTTTTATTTTATTCATTATTTGTAAAGGTTGAAAATTTCCATGTAACCTGTGGCTTTAAACCAGACAATTCAATTCAAAAACAAGAAAAACAAAATTTGTTTGTAACTCTTTTTATGTGTTAAATAGGGGGGAAAATATAAGAAAAAAGGGTTTATCCCCAATGGAAGAACATTTGAATTTTTAATAAAATACAGGATGTCTAGACTGTTCAAAAAAAGGGCCAATGGGCCCTTTTTCTCTCTGTTAGATGAAGAATCCCAAGTATGTAAGTTTACATATGGTTTTCATTTATTTGCAAGTATGGCCGGGAAAAAACAAAATGTAAAATAAAAAAAAAAAAAAGAAATTTTTCCCCCCCCCCAATCGGTTTTATAAATTTTAAAAATTTCAGGGCCCCTTTTTGTTTTTTTCCCAATATTTTAACCCAGAAATGGATTGGGCCTTCAAGTTATAATAGAAATTTAAACTTGTTTTAAATATTGAATTCTATTTTAGCCGGTGTTTAGGGGCCCCATGGGGTTGGATTTCCACAAAAATTTAAAAAAGGCCCAAAGGTTGTAAGTCGGAATTATTTATATTTGCACTATTTTGCTTTCCTCATATATTATTGTTTATTCCAACTTTTTATGCGTTAATTGAGCTTTACGTCAGAATTAAATTTTGAGATGGTTGTTAATTGACACTAAAGTACTAAGTCATGTTCTTACAATTTTCTCATCCTTTTAAAACAAAAGGTCACCAAGTACAAATTTGAAAAAGGTTTTCAGGTATAACATTTATACAACTTAGTTTGAAATGTAACATAGTCCTCAAACTTAGCTCAATAGGGAAAGCATCGTACTTTCCTTTACCATCAATAAACAGGCTCAATCAAACCGAGACTGCAACATTTTCAATTTTGTCTTGTTGGACTTTCTTTAGGGATTCCTTATTTCTCTCTATTTGATAAAAGTCCAACAATTTTGTTGTTACATCACAAAATCAAAAGGCCAGATTGAAAGATGGAATTTTTTATATTTGCATTAATTGACCTTCTTAGTGTGCTTTCCAACTTTTTATGTGTTAATTGAACTTTACGTCAGAATTATATTTTGAGATGGTTGTTAATTGACATCAAAGTACTAAGTCATGCTCTTACAATTTTCTCATCCTTTTAAAACAAAAGGTCACCAAGTACAAATGTTTGAAAACCAGTTTTCAAGTGAAACATTTATATGCCTTTGTTTGAAATATAACATAGTCCTCAAACTTAGCTCAATAGGGAAAGCATCGTACTTTCCTTTACCATCAATAAACAGGCTCAATCAAACCGAGACTGCAACATTTTCAATTTTGTCTTGTTGGACTTTCTTTAGGGATTCCTTATTTCTCTCTATTTGATAAAAGTACAACAATTTTGTTGTTACATCACAAAATCAAAAGGCCAGGTTGAAAGATGGAATTTTTTATATTTGCATTAATTGACCTTCTTAGTGTACTTTCCAACTTTTTATGTGTTAATTGAACTTTACGTCAGAATTATATTTTGAGATGGTTGTTAATTGACATCAAAGTACTAAGTCATGTTCATACAATTTTCTCATCCTTTTAAAACAAAAGGTCACCAAGTACAAATGTTTGAGACTGGTTTTCAGGTATAACATTTATATGCCTTTGTTTGAACTTAGCTCAATAGGGAAAGCATCAAATGTTTATTCCAGGGGTTGTTAGTATGTTTGGTGAAATTTCTCTCTGACAATCTTTGACTTTATTTGTCTCTCACTGCTGATTCTAAAGTCATGGGGGATAAGTTGTCTGTTACTTGCAAAGAAATTGGTAATTTCTGTTTTTAGCTATACAGGGAAGTGAGTGGGTCAGGTGGACTAACCGCCAGTATGTTACCATAAAAAGTAGGGTGTTGAAATCCTTGTAAAAACTAACAAAAAAACCCAAAACTATTTAAAGTGACATTAGGCTGAGCGCTCATTTCTTCATTATCATGTCGAGCTGAATTGACTATACATGTATGTTTCAAAAGATTGACTGTTGTAATAATGATTCACCATCAGTTGATATTGAAAAATGTTTGGGATAAAATATAAATTCGCTTAAAATATAAAAAGATTGCCCAACTCTTTTTATGAACTGAATACTACAGGGAATGTGCGATGGATATTTATAGAAATTTCTTTGGGTCATGTGAATTATCATTCATGGGAAGTAAATTATAAAATTGAATGGAAATGTGGCAAAATGTAAATGTATTTTGACTTTCACCTGTTCACTCACCATATACCCTTGGATAGGCATAGTGTCACTTAATTTTTAACGTGGTATGATATTTTCAGTTTTCCGGGAGCCAGTAACGAGACGCTGTTATCAAAGTTTCACCATCATCATGCCAAGGGAAATGTATACTATGAGGCGCCACAGAGAAGAGAGATGGCATTTGCTGTACTACACTATGCTGGAAAAGTCAAATATCAAATAAAGGTAAGCTATGTAAAGAGATTTTGGATAATTAACATAATTGAGCCGTGTCATGACAAAACCAACATAATGGGTTTGCGACCAGCATGGATCCAGACCAGCCTGCGCATCCGTGCAGTCTGATCAGTATCCATGCTGTTCGCTATTGGTTTCTCTACTTGTTATAGAGTTTGTAAGCGAACGGCATGGATCCTGATCAGACTTCACAGATGCACAGGCTGGTCTGGATCCATGCTGGTCACAAACCCATTTTGTTGGTTTTGTCATGACACAGCTCATATTTTGTATGTTGGCATTGATAACATTGGTTAAAGTATTATTCCAAATTTATAGTCTTTTAGGTTTTAAAAAAGTCCTCCCTCTTTCCTCTTTTTTTCACCCCCACTCATGAGACGGGCATATAGATTTGCTCTTTTCTGCCTGTCTGGCTGTCAAGCTGTCTGTCCTTAGACTTACAAAACTGTGGGGGCACTTATGTATAAGAGCAATAAAAAGGGTATGTTCAAAATCATTTAAATCACAAACTTTTTTGAACCTGCAAGAATTACTTGCCTATGGCACACAACTGTTTTAACACTAAGTTTAGTCCGACCAGACTCTTTACTGTTTGCTTGTTAAGTTTGTTGTTAAGTAAGAAAAATATAAAAAGTGACAATTTTAAATTGAAAGCTGACATGTCCATTATACTGTATTTATAACACACTGATCTACTGACAGCTTTTGTTAGCTTTCTTTATAGTGTTCTTAGATGAAAGTTCTAGTGTTTTATTTGCAAAGAAAAAGTTTGCATATTTTTTCCAACATTTATTTTTTATCATGCAGGATTTCCGAGAGAAGAATAGTGACCAGATTAGAACAGACATTGTGGCCAACATGAAAAGTAGCAGTCTTTCATTTGTCAGGGAACTTATGGGTATGTATTCTTCAGAAATTTATACAAGTAGGTGTGTATTTTGAATGAGCATAAAGGTCGTGTATAGGCACGAACTTTGATGATTTGCGCCATTGATTTCTAGATATACAAAAGTTTTCAGTTTGGTATTCTTTCGGTTGATTTTCATCTATTTTTTGTATTTAACTGAATAGAATGTTAAACAAGTTTCGGAAAGTATGAAAAAGGTGAATTTACATTAAAATGCCCGTACAATGTCAGATTTTAACTGTGTGATATCACAGCGTGCTGTTCATGAAATGTTGACTCATGCCAATATGTATTATATCATTTTATTTCAGGGGTTGATCCAGTGGCTGTGTTAAGATGGACAATTCTGAAAACCCTCATCAAAAGTATGTTTGCCTTCATCCGTGCTGGGAAAACCTACAGGCATAGAGGAGGTGTGGCTTATAATAATGACATAACTATCTTTGCTGCCTTATTTTAAACTCGTATGGTCGGAAAAAAAAATCATCTTATCTTATAAGAGTCAAGATCTGCATTGTATATGTTAAAAAAGACTTTTTATATAGCCAGGTTTTTCTGTATTTTGGTAAGAACAAGACTATTTTTAGAACAAGACTATTTTTGTTGGCAGCTTTTTCTATATTTGAGTATATCAATTAGATTGACCAATCTTTTCATGTTCTGAAAATAAATATGTACCTATTTTACTTTTGCCTAAGAATCAAGTATGAGATTAAATTTGGGAAATGGATCCAGAAAATTTCGAATTGTTCCGGGGAAAGCGAAATAAAAGATATTGAGCGCTTGATCTGAAATTGGGTTTTTTCACTTTGGGAAAACAGAAAATCACCCGGGCCCCAAAAATAGCCCCTTGATCTTAATTTATTTGGGTTTTTGCCATTTGATCTCTGGTAATGGGACCATGTGGAAAATCCCATTTTTGTTTTAGGACCTTGGGCATGTTTTGTGATACAGAGAAGAAAAAAATTCCCACAGATCATTCCCTTTCCCTACCTTATCCTTTGGCTCCCCACTTTTTTTAGGAAGGAAATGCCCCCTTTATGCATGCCCCCCGCCCCCTTTTTAAATTTAAAAAATTGAATTATTAAAATAAAGAAACAATCCATACATAATTATATATAAGCCCTATGTTACTGTAGTTATCAGAAATATTCTGAAACTCGCCCTGAATAAGTGGACCAATAATATTTCATGGTATTGTTTTTGCTAAGGCATCTGAGATTCATTAAGAAAACGAATATGGTACAAATTCTTTTATGAAAATAGAATTTATTTGAACATTTAAGGTTTATGTAAAAGCAAAAACTTTTTTTCAATGTCCTAAGTAATTGTTCTTAGACAGTAACTGATGTTTTTCCTTGCACTTTCTATGTATATTTTTGAATATGAGAATAAGGAACTGTAGACCTCCCTTTTCTTTGATAATTGCCCTTATATAGAATTGTGACCTGTTGTTGCTAAGCTAAGTGTAAGTGCTAAGTTTTTAGCGTCATCTTGTACATGAAAGGTTACACAGTACTTGCTAATTTGTCTTCTTTCTTGCCCTTTCATTTTATGTGAGAATTTGAGGACTGAAGTGGCATATTTATAGCAAAAGTGACTAATTCAAGTGCGTACGATATTCTTATATTGTATCAAAAAGGTTACTCACTACAGTCATCCTACCATTATAGTACATTGATTAAAGTCCTAATGGTGTGACATTACTTTTTATGTAGCGAATAAGTGTTAGCCTTTTATTTTATGTTTTATTTTTTGCTTTAATGTAATTATTTTTGTTATTGTCATTTCACAAATATATACATGTAGAATCCTTTTTTTTTCTTGAATGAATTGGTGTACAACAAAAATTGTTTTTAAAATGTATTGTAGAGACAGCATTTAATAGGTAGTTGAAGACGCAATGTTGCAAACCATGTGATCTGACATCATTATTACATCGAGAAAAATATGGCCGCTTAAAAAGGCGTAGATTTAGAGAATCTTTGCTGCAAATATTTCTTTTCATGGTATTTAATATTCAGCATTTGGGCAGCAAAATTTCTCCTATAGTGAAGGAAAAACATGAAGCATCAAAGAAGCTAGGGTTAACGTCAGAAAAGTTTTTGTTATAAATTTAAACCTTATCAAATTCTTGAAATGGACCTTTTTAGTATCTAATTTTTGTAATGTAATTTTTTTTGGGGGGGGGGGGGGGGGGGTATAAGATTCGAAAATCGGTCAAACATAAGTATAGAGCCTTGTGAAACCCAATGAGCCTTGCTCAGAAAGGCTTGCCTACCTGTATACTAGAGGAAAAATCTTTAATTTTCAATTCCAATAGGGTTAAGAATTGGTTACAATTTACAATTTATTCTCCACAATTGAAAATCATAATGCAGAAGAAAGAAAGCTTCGTCTGCAACGTCTGTGATGTTTTGGGGGAAAAGAACTTTATGTGATAAACATGATTCAGGTCATGTGGTTTCACTACTCTGTGTCATAAACAGCATATAGTAAAAACAACATAAGTTTAAAGTCTCATGACTTGTTTTTAATGTCACATGACTGTTTAAAGTCACATGACCGTTATTTTCAAAGCTTCTACACTTGTGCCCAAACCATCAAGCTTATCAAGAAAATTCAGTAAGTGTATTATAAATGTGTGCAACTGTTCTTTATTCAAAGCATTGTTGTTCATATTAATTGACTTATAAAACTGCCCCGAGAAAACTGTGTTAAAATATGAACTTTTTATTATAATCAGGTCTTAATTTAACGTTTTAAAAGTAAGTAAAGAATTTCTAGTCAAAGGGGAATCTTGAGGAACCAAAATAATGATATGGGAAATTTTTCTCTGGTTTAGTTTTGAAGAGGGTACAACTGCAATACAGATAAGACTTTCCAGCCATGCTGCACCTTAGTATTAATTTTAATGCTTTTCCAAGCTATTGAGTAATTTTTACAGCTGATTTAGTACTTGTAATTTCTTACATGATGTTTTTGGAAAAGTGTTGATACTATACTGTTACAAATATGAATATTGCTGATCTTGGATATATGCAAGCAAAAGATAAGAAATAAGGAGGTGATTTATGGGTTTTTGATGCGATGTCATTTGCATTTTATACAAACATACAGCATAAAAGTGGTTACACTATAGGCTTGCCAATAGTTAGATATTCATCAGGTTGAAGGCTGACAGTTTTCTCAGGGAGTTGACAAAAACATAACAAAATTGTTGTAGAAAAGCATGATTTCTACCTCCAAAGTTTTGTCATTTTTGAACAGTTTGAACAAAGTTTGATATGTATTTTGAATGCATAAGTCTTCTGTTGTGTGTATAACTGCAGTGCATTATTCAAAAGGGGGCCATTATTCTGAGAAGCAATAAAAATAAATTTATTTTATGCTAACAAGAAAGAGGATGTTAGTTTATACAAATTCATTCTAGTTTGTCAGTGTTGGAAGCTACATGTATATCTTATTGAAACACTGGAACCAACCAGTACTAAGCAACGATTGTAAAGTTTCTTGCTCAAGGAAACAACGGCTTGTCCCTGACAGGGTTTGACCTTTAAACCTGCAGAAAACAAAACAAAAAATAATCTGAAGCTAAGGTCATTGAAAGGGGGATTCTAAATATATATTAATCATAATTATACCTTGGAGAATTAGTCTACTACTTAAAGAAACATTTTAGTGGCACCCCACATAATCAGAATGTAAAAATAAATGTTCAATAAGAATCATTAATGAAGTTGAGGTATTTCTCATAGTCAGTAAGTCTTAATAAGCAGAACATTTTTGAAACTATTACCAGTCTTTTTAATCATACTATTCTATTTATTAGACAGATTAAATACAATAATGCTTAAGATAGAATAAGTAAAATAATGCTTGAAAATATTATCAATTCTTTGCAAAGACGTTTTTTTTATTGCCTAAGTAAAGTAACACCCTAAAATATTGCCACTTTGAAAATCTTGTTTATTCGATAAAATAACTGAAATAATACCCCAAAAAAATTGCCGTCATGTTTATTTGAGAGTGTCAGTAAAATGATGCTTGAAAATATTGCCGGTCATTTGAAAGTATTGTTTATTTGATATGTTTTCCTTGCATGAGCCTGCTAATGTTCAGATGCATTTTCTGATCATTTCTTGACTTTTTGACTTGTTATTTTTTCTGTATTTCAGTGAATTTCTTGTGTGCTCTATGATGCATTTCATTTCCATTTGTGACTAATACAAGAAAAAAAAACAAACTTAGGACCACTCTTTGAACTCTCTTCTATTTTTGGCTGATTATTTAGTCATTTAGATATTCACTGCATAAGTCAGAAAAAAATTGTAAATTGAAATAAAGAGGTCATTCAAAAGCTTTCAGAAAGTTCAAATGGAAATGATCAACAGAAGAAAATTTAATAATCTTTTGGCCATATTGGCCTGTTTTTCAAATTGATAATGTTTGTTTGATTGAAATGTGGCATCACAGAGCAAGACTGTTGTATGTTGTTCCTGTATTTTGTAGCCCCCGTCGTATTTCCCCAACTGACCCGTCCCAGCACCGTTCTCCCCGCTCCATGCATGAAATTCTCTACAGTCGACATAGTCGGGATGACAATAATGGGTCAGATGACGATGACGAGGATGATGTGTTTATGTCGAATCAGCGACATTCAGCTCATTTACGGAGCCCTGTTGATGCGTACTTGTCAGAGGACGACGCGCGTGTCATGAGGCGCGCCACTAAAGTACTAATGTATGTTAAAACATGATGAATTCAAATTTATACTCCATCTAGAAATTATTGCCGGTTCGTTCAATTGTCGAATTTCACCATGCTTTCCCATTTTTTACTGACACTCCTTATTTCTAAATATTTTTTAATTTACAATTATTTAATAACGTGAATTAATATTTAATAATGTAAAGCATGTGTCTTTAAATAAAGGCACCAACATCATAAAAGGTTTTGGTCAGAATTGCTAACTTACTGGTAAATGTGTCAGTCCCTTAACACAGGTTTTGTAGGATAAATAAAGTCTTGATCATATTTCCTTTCTATGAGTATAATGACATAGAATCGAGGGAGCTTTAGATACAATTAATGCACTAAGTCTTTTCAAACCACTAAAAAAATGTTGTAAACACCTCATCTTGCCCAGCTTCGTAAAAGGACTAGTCCAGCTTCCATTTTTGGAACAGTTCAGACCTGAGTATGTGAAGATAAATATTTCAGCTTATAAGCCGACAGTTAACATAGAGTAAGGTCATATGTCATGGTTGTGTTGGACAGCCTGTCTCTTATACTTGTATAGTTGCGTCAAAAATTGGTTACCCTTGATGCAACTTAATAATGGTTAAAGTATTGGCCATACAAGCGAACTCGTCAATTTCTTTTTGCACTTTTTTGACCCTGATGCACAAATTTGAGTTTCGACAATTTCGTGAGGCACACTTTTTGTAAGAATAATACACGTGAAGCACCGAAACCGACTCACTGTTTTCTTGAGTTTATGTAATGTTTCTTATTATTCCTTTTTATGCATGTGCTATGAAATTAGAAAATGTTTGATTTTTTTTCTTTTGTAAAATATTTTGGTTAAGTTTGATATTCAACATTTGTTAATAAGTAGAATAGCATTTTGCTCATGTTTCTTTATCAATAACTAGTGCTTTTCTGTTTCCTTCCTTTTTTGTCATAAGAAATAAACGAATGAATCTTTCTCTCTATATATATGTGTAAAAATATATATATATTATTATATATTTATGTTCCTGCTTTCAATATAAGATGTAGTCATTTTTGTATACCATACATGTATATTTTCCGAAAAAAAAAGCTCATTTTATCCTCTTTGGTTATTTTATATTTCCATGACAATTGGCACAAAGATATTTTACCTATTCTTTCCAACAACAGTAGATACAGACAGTATTTTTGTACCAATCTCCCTCCATGTATATCTTCTTTCGTTATAATTCTGTGTATATTTAAAACTATGCTTTCCTTAAAACGTGTATATAATATATGAGTCATAATGTAACATATTGATTTTATTTCTGTGTAGGAAAAACAAATCATTCAAGCCAAAGACAAGGCCCCAAACTGTAAGTATTCTTTTTTAAATAATTTTTGAATTTATAGAATTATAAGACAATGTAATATCTGCATGTCCTAAACAAGAGATAATTGCTTGATAGCTGCAGGTCATTTAAGGGAGATAAACATTTTTTGCCTGTATGACTAAGTCATTTAAGGGACGTTACTATTCATAACCTGTATATCTATGCCATTAAAGGGAGATAAACATTTATTGCCTGTATGACTAAGTCATTTAAGGGACGTAACTATTTATTGCCTGTATGACTAAGTCATTTAAGGGAGATAAACATTTTTATGCCTGTATGACTATCATAATTTTAAGGGAGATAATTTATTGACTGTACGTCTTTTAAGGGAGTGAACATTAAGGGCTTGTACATTAATTAAGAGAGATTGAATTTGTCCTGTAATATAGAAAATTGCTTTAGTACCTGTTTGTCCTTTATACACCGTCACACCAGACTAGTGACTTCATTGATTCCCAAGGGGAACCTTAAACCCAGTGGAAACACCATGGAGATCATAGGGTCTTGTATGAAACAACTAAATTCCTGTTACTTAGGTATTACTAGAGATAAACAATTTGATGCCTGCATGTCATTTAAATATTTTTAGGGAGAAATTAGTTTGAGCCGCGTCACGACAAAACCAACATAGTGGGTTTGCGACCAGCATGGATCTAGACCAGCCTGCGCATCCGCGCAGTCTGATCAGGATCCATGCTGTTCGCTATCAGTTACTCTACTTGTAAAAGGGTTTGTAAGCGAACAGTGGATGCGCAGGGTGGTCTGGATCCATGCTGGTCGCAAACCTATTATGTTGGTTTTGTCATGGCACGGCTCATTTGATGCCTGAATAGCTTTGTGATGTCAGTTAGATAGATAGATATTTCCCTCCTGTCTTGTCAAAAAGAACTTTCCCCAAAAAAATATTCACGCAAGAGGTGAACATCCATGTACCAAGTGATTACTATGTCTGTGGCCAAGTGGTTAAGGTTATTGACTTCAAACCATTTGTCCTTCTCCGCTGTGGATTTGAATACTGACATGGACATTGGATTCTCTCATGAGAGTAAGCTATCCAGCTAGCTAACAGAGCGTCGGTGTCTCTACTCATGTGTTTGTGCATAAAATAATGCATGGAAGGGCACCTGAGGTCTTCCTCCACCAGTAGAGATGGAAAGTAGCCATATGACCTGAGACGGTATTGGTGTGATGTAAAACCCAACCAAAAAACAAATAATAATAAAACTGCTACAAGTAATTGTAAGATACATATTAAATATTAGTAGCCTTATATTGATTAAATACATTTTTGTTGAAAATTATTTTAAGTTTAATAGTTTTAAGTTTTAAAGAATGTAACCATTTTTCTTTGATAAATTATTCATGGATTCATGTTTGTTGTTTACAGATGTTTTCCGACATAAAGACGTTGAAGGCGATAGCTAATCGTACAATATACATCGGTGGAAAAATGAACACAAAACAAAAACCACCTAGTGTGGGTGCTCAATTCCAGGTAAAGCATTTGTTTTCTTTTAGTTTAATGCACAGTTTATTACTCAAGGAGGCACATTCCTCTACCAGTAAATCTGCAATTCTGTAAAGTTGCTGTATGATGTAACTAAAATAAAAAAAAAAATAAAAAAAAAAATTTTGATTGTTTCATAAAAGGTTTCGTGTAAATCAAGTTTTAATTTTGTTTAATGGTTTTTGTATGGATTAACCCTTGCCTGCTGACTACAACTGATTACTCATGCAACGGTAAAATTTTTCAGGATTTTTCTTGAAGTTAGGGATTTTCAGTCTCCTGAAAACCTTCTATTTCCTATGTAAAACTATAGAAAAACTGCTAAATTCAGGATTTTTAAATTTCAAACTTTTATCCATGCTCATGTGACCAGTACAGACCATTCTCAGTCGACAGGACTGTATTTATTACTAAAATCATTGAATTTACAAGTAAATGGGTCTTCTGTTGACTGAACGGTTAAAGTTTCTGACATCAAATAACTGACTCTTCCTCATTGTTGGTTCGAATCCTTTTAGGGTTTTTGGATCTTTTAATGTGTGGAAGCTGTTTGTAAGGTAGCTTATAGAGGGGATATGCATGAAATACTTCACGAAGGAGCATTTGAAATATCAGTATAGCTAGAAAGTTGCCATTGGACAGTCACAGTGTTTGTTTGACAGATTTTAGCTACCTTGTATTAGTTGTATTAGTTGTATCTTGTTCCAGAAATACTGCTGAGTGGCACCGAGTAGTCTTCCTGTGTCAGTAAATGCTGGCACATAGGCATATGACCTTGATAACGTTGGTATTGTTTTAAAGCCAGTTCAATAGATTAAATGTATTTGTTACAAATTTCAGTGGTCGTTATCGAGATTAATGTCTACGTTGAATCAGGCTAATCCGTTCTTTATACGCTGTATCAAGTCGAACGCAGAGAAACTGCCGTGCAGATTGGATGACGTCCTAGTTTTAAGACAGCTTCGTTATACAGGAATGCTTGCGACAGTTCGTATCCGACAGTCTGGGTATAACTATAGACTTACTTTTGAGGTAAGTGTGAACGCTTTGTTTTATTTATATCTTTGTAAAAATGCATACAGAAATGAATTATTGTTAACTTACTTATTTTTAGCTTGATTGTGATAAATTGTCAGAGGTTAAACTTGGTAAGGAGACTGATCATGTATTTAACAATAGAAGTGTAACACACCGGTTGTTACACTCGGGTGCCTTTTCGGGCGTGAAAAAAATGCAAGGAGGAAAACCTAAGGTCTTCCTTCACCAGAAAGCTGGAAAGTTGCCATATGAATTTTTAAACTGTTGGGGTGACTAAGAACTTGTTTTCACAGATTGGAGCTTACCTGCGTCACATCACGTCTTGTTTACACATTCTTTGTGAAATTTCCCACAAATTAGTCATATTTTCTTATGTAAAGATCATAATGATAATGAAGAACTTTACATAAAAGACCAACAAATATTGTCGTGGAAACGTGCCATGACTATTGACTTTTTAATTAATGATGAGTTAAACGTAGTGAATATTAACAGATATACTATAATGATGTCATTGTCTTAATTATCGATATGTGACTCATGTTGCCCACCTGCTTAGCTCAATATGAAAAGCATTGGAATTATTAATCCAGAGGCGGCTTGTTCAATCCTTGGGCAAGGCGTCATTTCACTGTGACCATGGATCTCAGACAGTTTTAGGGTCATTTGTCTCTTTTTACTGATTAAAAAAATTGTTTTGTACAAGTAGTCGGTCACTTACGATGAAAACCAGAAAAACAAATAAGTGACTCATGCTAGTAATGTAGGTTTATTTCTGTAAGTGCGGCCAAACTCTTAAAGCAAGTTAGTACTATGCTCCTGCAAAGGGTTGTATATACATGTATATTTCAAAGGGAGAGTACCCTGTCATAAGTCTGTAAAAGTATTAAAATCTATATTTATTGACAAATATGGCAAAATATAAAGTTATTTGAACTTAAACTTTACAATCGCAATTTATGTTAATGAATGGCCGTCCTGCTTTTTGAAAGGTTATTTATGTTACCTCAAACAAATTCGCATTTTGGGTGTATACTGCCCGGCTTGTGTTTGTGGTTTGTAATGAGCTAATCATCAACTGACTAAGTTGATTATTGCCTAAAAAATTTCTTTTAGGATGGTTTTATTTATGGCTCTAAATAGAAATTGTTTGTATGACTTTGTTATGATGTTATCGCTGAGAAATAGTCTGCAGGAGGTAGAAATAATGTACATGACACAAATGATGACGGAATTGGGTTGTTTTTGTGTGTGTATTTTCATTGGTCAGTAAACATTCTCTGCCAATTTCTGACCAATCAAATACCAGAGATTGAGTTGAACGTTAGAAAATTTATATATAGCGTTGGGCTGAGATCTCGAGCTTGCTGAGTATCGGAACTTGATGCTGAATTTTAAAAATTTTTATGTTTTTGTTTTTTATTATAATTTTACATGAATTTGAGATTGAGTTTGATCATAGAAAATTTCTTTGTTACCTTGGATCAAGTTTTTAAGCTTGTAGAATAACATTTATTGATGCTGATTTTAAATTTAAAATTTTTTAATTTTGATAATAATTTTACAGGAGTTTGTCCAGTTGTACAAGATTTTACTGCCAAAAGGACTCTCAAGCAACATGGAAGATGTGTCACAGTTCCTTGAAAATATGAATATGAACCAAGACAATTATCAGATTGGAAAAACTAAGGTTGGTGGCTTAGTGTTGTTTAATATTTTTCATTTGCCAAGTGGTAAAGGTTACTGTCTTATAACTTCTTGTCCCACACCACTTTGGGTTTGAATCTAGCAAAGGGATTTTAAAGCTTTACTTTTAAGCTCCACTTTACAACAACAAAATAGAACAGATCTGGATTTATTGTCCTGACCCAATGGTTAACCTTTTCTTTATGGTCCATTTTCTCAAAACTGTCAAAGCAATATACTTCAATAAGGCATATAATCCTATTTTTTTTTTCTTGCAAACTTTTACCCCATTTTCAACTTTGCTTTAAATTATATTATCCTGCATCCTGTGGTTAAGATGGTTGGCTCCTCACCGCTGTGGGTTCAAGTCTTGTCCAGTACCTTGGAATCTTTTATGTGGTGACGAAGCAAAATAGTTAGCTACCAGAACATTGGTTGTTCTATTTTGGTATTTATGTGTCAGTGGCACCTGGCACTTGAGGTCTTCCTCCACCATTTAACCTTTAAAGTAGCCATTGAATTTTAGAGCACAGGCGTGACGTGTTTTGTTTTCTTATGAATGTTGACACATGACCTTCACAATGATAATAAATGTTATTTGGAATGTCAACAGATGTAAATGTCTGTGAGGAATTTATTTTTTATTTAAATCTCTGGAACACACGAATAAAATAATTTTCTCCCTTGTTTTCTTTTCTGTAACCCAATTTTTTTTCTGGTTTTATATCATAAATATAATGCTCCAATGAAGATTTATTAATATTGTAAGTTCCAAAAATCATTTTTTGTAAAAGTATTACCGAATTTACAGTCTATGTTATTAAAGGGAGGTAATTAAAAATTTATTTTCTATAAAATCTAAGTCAAATTTTTCAATTAGAAATAAATGCATATATTTTTAATGATTACATATAATGTGCACAAATATTTTACATTTCTTTGATGTTTGAAAAATTGTTTTAGAAGCATAATTATAAAGATATATAAAATTTCACAAAACTGTGGTAACAACCTTAATTACAACATACAGGATCTTAAAGTTTACTGACTTACGCAAATTTAGGAGGTATGCATTATTAAAACTCGAAAAATAGCTATTTTAGGAGAAGGACATCATAAAAAAACAAAAACAAAACATGTAGGGAGTATTAAATTTAGTTTTGAAGAATTGGGGCAGAAATGTTTGTAACTCGTATGAAGTAAAGAAGGGTTTCGAGGTTTTACATGCACTAAGCCATCAAATTCATCAGGGTGATTGTTACATGTTCATAACTGTTTTGGGTACAAAAAATCTATAGAAACATTTAACAATTTGAATTTTCAGCCCGACTTTTCGTATAATAGGGAGAGCTCTAATACTCATCCCCTATGTCCAAGTCACACTTTGGTTAAGTTTTTACGTGAAAGTTGGTATCTCAAAAACTACTGGAATGAATGGGTTGAAACTTCACAAACTAGTTCTGTGTGATTATCTTACATGATTGGCAGAGGTCCCATAACTCCTGTTATATTTTTACAGAGTAATACCCCTTTCCTTATATTTTAGCACAGAGAATAGTCGAGTGTGCTGTTGTACGGACACCTGTTAATTTCATATATTCACAAGAACTGTATTGATGCAACTCTATTACATGACAGATTAGATCAAAATGTACCATAAAAGATAATTTCATAAACTGTATAGCTGAAAACTAAGAGATTAAGAAATTTTTTCCCGTAAATTTCAGGTATTTTTACGAGAAACAGAGAAATTATTTATGGATGAGTGCCTTCATCAAGCTATAATGAAGCGTGTGATTGCTATACAAAGATGGGTGAAGACGAAAGTTGAGAGAAAAAATTACCTCCAGTTGCGGGAGAATACCATTATGTTACAGGTAAGAGGAAAATTAGCTTTAATTTAAACTGCAAATATGAGCCGCCTCACGACAAAACCAACATAGTGCGTTTGCTACCAACATGGATCCAGACCAGCCTGTGCATCCGCACAGTCTGATCAGGATCCATGCTGTTCGCTTTCAAACACTTTTACAAGTAGAGAAACTGAAAGCGAACCCATTATGTTGGTTTTGTCGTGACGCGGCTCATATGATTTTGTCACATACACAGTCAGAGATGAAGAAGAATAATTTAAAAAAAAACTTGTTTTGAATGAAAACTAAGTAATAATGAACACAAAATTAACCTGTCTAGGACAACACCTCTCAGCAACCACCAAAATCCTAAAAGTCTCTAAAAGTGTGCTACTGTGCAGAGGTTTAACTGTATTATAACTGTTATAATGATTTGCACTGTCCATTGGTTAAAATAGGAGGTATTTTGATATATAAAAAAAGAGTGAGACAAAAGCACCACACTAAATACCATATTCTGGTATATACCAGACATGGCGCTTGAATGATAAAATGCTAAAACCTTGCCCTTCACCCAACAGCATTAACTTTTAAAGGTCTTATTAAACTTTTCACACCGATTTATGTATGATAATGAATGACAAATGTTAGAATCAGCGGGAAAAAAAACGATATTTGTCTATTTTGTGATAATGACTTCTGCAAGCGTCTAGAGGTACTGCTCCAATCCTGTAACAAGTTAAATCCATAAAAAAAATGCTGAAGTAGCCAAGTGTGTTGGTATATTTGAATGTACAGACACTTAAAATTTATTTTGTGAATTTTTCTTTTAAAATAGTTTACTATCTTTGAAATCAATTTTTTTTTTTGTGTGTAGAAACATATACGACGGTTCCTAGCTCAACGACGGTTAGACATGGTCCGAGAAGCCGTCCTGATGATTCAGCGGTGGTATCGAGGCTCAACGGAAAGAAAGAAATACCATCTTGTACGCAGAAGTGCCATACGAATACAAGCTCATGTCAAAGGTCATCTGTGCCGAAAAAGGTTTGTTATTAAATACATGTATTGTGCTTTTTATTATGGTATATTTAAATAGGTTACTATTTGTAAAGTAGGAACTACGCATCGGTTACGTAACTCTGACCAAGTTTTGAAAATTTTTGTTTGTTTTTCTGTCTTTTTGCGACATTGTGCTGAAAGGTCACACCGAACATGGTTCAGTTGATCAGGGGCATCCATTGCTTTACAGGTAAAGAGTGTCCTTTAGTTACCTAGCAACAGAACAAAATAGTTGAATATTGTTGAAATTTGATCAGATGTTTGAATATTTGTATTAAGTAATATGAGTTGCACAAAATATACAAAAACTGCAGTAAAAATAAATGTCTTTCTGTTTATATTGAGAATTTATTTTTTAGGCTAGTATTTTCTCTGTTTATATTGAGAAATTATATTTTTTGGCTAGTATTTTTATTATACATGTAAACAATGTTATATATATTATGTACATGAATACATGTATGCGTTAAGTATTGATAGCTAATGTAACGATTAAACTTACATGTAGCTTGACCCTTGACCCTGCTGAATTTCTTAAATGGACCTGTCCAACTTACATTTTTGGAATGGTCCATTATCAGTTTTGGGGATATCAAGATGAAAATTTAAAGTTAGCCAGTCAACAGTAAAGGGACTGCATTCAGACTGCATGGATGTGCAGGCTGGCCTGGCTCTATACTGAAAACAAAGGCTGATCACGTAAGGTTCTTAAACAGGACAAGGGTCGAGTAAACCATGATAATTCATTTTTTTCATGGAAATTCATACTCTGAATATGAATTAAGATATTGTAAGAAAAACTTGTTTGAAATTTATGCTCAGTTTTAGTGTTTTTAAAGCAGAAATACAGAAGAACCTGATTAATGCAACTGCTTGTGGTTCTGAACAAAAATGGTCTTAATATTGGGGTGGTCTTAATTTCGGATTGTCTCTTAAAGTAATATTGGACAAATGGCGGCTTTTGGGGGCATGGTGTAAACATATGATAAAGTAATTTGTAAATTTTCCTGAATGAAAATGAAATTGTTAATATTCTTCATATAAAGCATGTTAAGTGTTACATACATCAGCATAGAAATGGCGATTTTAAAAAAAAGGTATGAATTTCCATGTGAAATATTATAACTTATGCCACATATGAACAGCATGTGCCTTAGTATATAGAAAATGCTTATTAATATATTTGCCAGTTCCCGCCATAGAGGCATGTGTGAGAAAAGCAGGTAGATAAATGAAACCTCGTTCACTGCTGTGCAAAACTAACATAATCTTGTTCTATATGTATTTTATACAGTCGACTCTCGTTATCTTGACATTGCGTTGTCTCGATTTTCCGCTGTCTCGATTTTTCATTGTCTTGATCAAATTTTGAAAAGTCACTATCTCTTCCCTTGATTGCCTTTATGAAGAATATTTGATTTTTTTTCTATCTCAACTTGTTAATATTGATTTGAACTTCGAATTTCAACAAGAAAACAATATTTTTACATAATAATCCTTTCTTTATTTATTTGCTGCTGTCCGCAGAGATTGGATAGTCACTTAATGGATGATTATCACTTTATAAAGTGCAATACAACTTACCATTTTTCACGTTTTTTTTCAAGTTCATTGTCTTGTGTTGATCATCATATGACTTATGTAAGTAATATGTTGATTGACGTAAATCAAATTAAGTCAAATTTATAATTTGGGGAAAACATTTTTTTATATCGCTATCCAAGTCAATGAAAGAGTATTAATATTCTTGATAAAACCTTCCTTATTGTTACCTAGTAGTCTGAAAAAAAATTGTCAGGAGTGCGAAGAAATTTTTCAATTTTTTGAAATTGAAGCACTGGTCAAAGAATCTAGAGAAAGGCTAAATTTACAATCTGGGAGTGTATCTTTGCCGACCTCATCTGAGAAATCACATTTTAATGTATTAAAAAGTTTTTATCTTGTCATAACAAAGAAAAAGGACAACTGGATATATAAATCAAGTTTCTGAGAAGGTCTATATCGATACAATTATCAAATACATTTATCTCTACATTTTGTAATGCCAACATTTTTGACAGACCCAAAGATTTCGAGATAATGAGAGTTTACTGTAGTCCTAGAAGATAATTCTCTTGCGCTGAGTCGAGGACAATTGTAGGAGTAACAATTGGTCTAAAAATAACTTTTACGTAAATTTGTGTGTTTGAGAATTGTGAGCATTTTTGAAAATTGGTCGTATAGTATAATGTATGTTATTGTTTTTATAATTCCCTGCATACAATAGTCCTGTGAGGAGAAGGTTTGTTCTTTATATACTTGTAGCATTGGTAAGAATCTTTTCGAGTGCCCAAAAATACATTTATTTTGTTATTATTTTTTTTATCAATTTACCCGTTTTCTGAGTTCATATCTATAAGTCTAACCGAACATACCTATTTAATATTCACAATCATTTTACAACAAAAGCAAAAGAGATAGTTTTGTGAAAATATGAAAGAAAATATGAAACAAATAAAGAAGTAAGAAAGTATGACAATATTTTTAGGCACTTTTAACAAACTTAGTTGGAATGTTATCTCTTACACTATCTGATATAGTTACTGTCTGAATGATAGCTGTTACAATGATCTGTCAGTATAGATCTAGGCCTGGTAGCACTATCATTGTCTACACTACTGACTACCTTATTTTCACTATTATGATATTGAATCCCTTCAATTAAAAATGCACTGTTCCAATGTGAATGTAAAGCAAGTTCCATTACACAATTATAGTAGGATTTCAGGTTATGTATTCTGTTAATTATTTATTGAGCACAGTATAATGATATAGTGATAAGAGGTTTTTATACATTGTTGAGTACAATACTGATTCTATCGGACTCAGCATAAAAACTGTATTGGCTCGAGGCTTTAGGGGAGTCAAATGCAGGTTTTGCAGCTCTGTTCAATAGAATCAGTATTGTTCTCAAGCATGTTAAATGACCTTTTTATTTCACACCACCTTTTTGACACTTTTTGACAGAACTTATATTTGATATGGATTTTTGGACTCTCAAAAATGAAAACGAGGGTACATGGAGTACAATATGCATTTGATGAAGACATTTTGGACTCTAAAACAATAATAATTGTTTAAAAAAAACAAAACCAAAAAAAAAACATCAACCAGTTATAACAGAAGAAATTGAATCAAAATTAAAAAGTCCATTATGTTGCATGCTATTAGAAAGATTTCTTTCTTTCTCTATTTAGAGGTATGATATGCCAATAGCCTAGCATTAAAACTTGAGTTGCCTATTCCTCCTGTATATAGCCCTACCATGAAAACAAAAAAATTACATGTACAATCTGTTCCTAAATTTCACCTGTATTGCTAAAGATTAATGATTAAATGAGCCGTGTCACGACAAAACCAACATAATGGGTTTGTGACCAGCATGGATCCAGACCAGCCTGCGCATCCGCGCAGTCTGATCAGGATCCATGCTGTTCGCTTACAAACCCTATTACAAGTAGTGATCTGAAAGCGAACAGCATGGATCCTGATCAGACTGTGCGGAGGCGCAGGCTGGTCTGGATCCATGCTGGTCGCAAACCCACTATGTTGGTTTTGTCATGGCACAGCTCAAATGATTAAAATACTTTAATGTATATCCTTTAAAAATACAAAATGTTCATGCAAGGAACCATGATCTCAATGTACAATGAATATGTATTATTTTTGGGTGGGGTTTGTTGGGGAGGAGGGGGAGGGTTAGGAACAGGTGTTCACTGGTGCTGCCATGTAAGCATGTAAGATCTACCCATTTTTGCTTTTTTGCTCTGGATTTCTGTATTTATTAGAGAATGTTGCACATTATATGCAATATATGCATGAAATAGACATTAATAGTTCTTGATTTCTTTTCTTAGAATTTCAGGAAGAAGAAAAATGTTTTTGTTTTTTTATACTTTGCATCCCATTTCATTTACCAGGTCTTGAAATTTGCTTCATAAGGTGTTCCTTGTTCGAAATATTTTTGTTTCTTTGAAGTTGTGTTCTAGATGGAAAATAGCTACATTTGTTAATTAGGTTTCCAAATATTGTATTTACCACCCAATATTATGATAACTCAGTACAGTCAAACCTGTATGAAATACAATCGTTTACAGAAAAAAAATAGTAAGAAAGACAATGATCTTGTTTGCTTATTGAGATATTCAAAACAAGCAAGGTCCATTAAGTATTGTTTTAACCTAAATGAATTGGTAAATATCGAATAAATTTTAGGTAATATCAAAATAAACTCAAAGCCACTATCGTCTTATTTCAAAAGTTTAAGTAATACCTATTTTACATAACTTTTTGTCATGTAAGATGGTGTTTTTCTAAATGTAGCGGTAAAGCTTCTTGCATACATGCGGAATAAGAATGATACATGATCCATAATTAAATTCATCTCAAGTTAGGGTAAAAGTAAAAACAAGTTTGACTGTATTGAACAACTAGAGTGTATAGTTATTATATATAATTATGTTTATTCAGAGCTAAAGTTATGTATCTATATCATCTTTAATATTAAGCACTGAAGAATAAGGTGATATTTAATTCTGAGGTAAAGGTTAGCACATGTTTAATTTTTGTTCATCATTAAAAGCTTATATGAGTACCATAATGTGCTCTTGATACTAAGAAAGTGTTTCTTTTTAGCATTAAAATATTGTGTTATTTTTCTGTAAAGATTTATTTCATAAAGAAACAGTGCTTGTCTGTTGGTGTCATTTGAGATTACTCCATTTCTATGACTTTATGCCCCCCACTTGCAGGGCGGGGATATAGATTTGAAGGTGGGGGATATAAATTTGAGAGCAGGTGATATAAATTTGAGAGCAGGGGATATAGATATGAGTGTAGGAGATATAGATCTAAGAGCAGGGGATATAGATCTAAGAGCAGGGGATATAGATATGAGAGCAGGGGATATAGATTTGAGAGCAGGGGATATAGATCTGAGAGCATGGGATATAGATCAAAGAGCAGGGGATATAGATTTGAGAGTGGGGGATATAGATTTACCTTAGTCTTGCTGTCCCACTGTCCTGCTGTCTGTAGACTGAAAAAAAAAAACATTAGAATATGTGGGCTTTCGTGTTCTGTAGACACATTTCTCACTTAATAAATTGCATGAAGTTTTGAAGAAAATCATACAATACTACTGGACTTTCTAACCTCTCTTTAAGTTTAATATAATAATAAGCACTATATTGTCACCTTAGTGCAGTAAAAGGTCAAGTCCTTCTAAATTAAATAGGAGTTAACCAGTTATTGCACTGAGATGACGTAATATGCACTTACATGAAAGATACACAAGTCTATCCGAGTCAAAGTCGTATTGGGTCTTAGTAACAATGTGCGATTGAAAATTTAAATTAACAGTACTATAAATATGCTTTTATTCTTTAAAAGTTATTGTCGTCATGTTTAAATCCCATCTGATCTGAACACTTCCATGCTGTATGTTGAATAGATAAAAACAGTTTCTTAATGGTTCGGCTTAATTATTATTTCAGATTTAGGGAGATCGAGGCCGATTTACGACGACAGAAAGCAGAGCGCGAGGCAATCAAGCAGGCGGAGGACATGCACTCGTCAACCAGCGACGAGGGAGTACTCATCAAAGATAACAGTGCCGACGAGCTTGAACTTCACACAGGACAATATCAACGTAGAGATTCTGAAGAGTAAGTTACTTAGTTCCCCTTATTTATGATACAAATTAGTTGATTTAATAGGGGAATATAATATCTTATGAGTGCTTGCTGTAGATTTAGTATAGTCACATGATTGTTTTTCCAGGGTTTATATTGTGCTGCCTGTAGTTGCCTTGATTTTTGGGTTGGGGTGGGGGAAATCCAAAATTCCTGTGTCAGAAAGAATTATGCTTGTATGTTTCCTTATAATCAATGGAATTGCACATGTACAAAGTCATTGCTACATGGATAAAATTCTTTGAGAATCAATCTTAACATTTTAGACACAGCATAATTTTACCGTTTATAGTATTTAACAATAATCTTTCATTAGATACAACTGTATAAAAAAAATACGGGTGGCAAAATAAATTTTCCCAATTGCCCAAGTTGTCCCAAATATGTACGGACAAGTGAATTTTTTTTTCAGAATTTACTTTAATAAATATCAGGACAGTATGGACAGGTAAAAAAAAATGCTTCAGATAAAACGAACAAGTATTTTTAGCCAAAATAAAATTTTGCAGGCCCTGTAATTCCTATATGTGATGGATAGTTGACTTGTTGCAAAAGTTATTATAGTGTCAAGATAGGAGGTACTGTAAGAAAATTATATTTGTGTGTGTTTTTGAGTTTCTTTATACTCGCCACCGGTTGCCCATATGGGCGAGTCCTCCAGATTTTAGATTTTTTGAGAATAGTGCAAGATACAGATACTGAAAGATGCCCCAATTCCAGAAGCTACTCGTTCTCTAGCATTCTTAAGTGTTTAAGTACTTATACACAAGACCTCGATTGAAGTCTCATCCTAAAGACTGATCAGTAATTTTATTTTGCCAGTCTGGGAATCAAACCCACAATGTGGAGATTAGAATTATGGTGCTCTTACTGATTGAGCTATGCCGGCTAGCTTATAATTATATAATAAGGTGAAATATATGTTACAGGAGCAGTGGTATACTAGATGACTCCGAGTCGGACACCGTGTCAGAGGCTAAAAGCCGAGGTGGCGACTCTGTATGCTCCCCACCAGCCACACCCACTAGTCAGGGCCCGGAGATCAATATTGAAAGCCTGCCGGGCTCCAAAGATCGGTTCCTCACTGATACCAACAGGATCTCAAAGTATGTGTGTTAAGCAGTAATTTTGAGGAAGATAATTAGAAATAGTTGCACCAAGTGAATTTTTAATGATTGCTGAATCAGATGTCAGTTATGAATTATTTTGAAGTAAATAGATTGCATATATTCATAAACTGATTTCTGCTAAATTTATATAATGGATTTGGCCTGCTTTGCATTTGGAACAGTCCATTCAAAGTTAAGGGGATTTATCAAAATACAAAAATTGAGCCACCAACATTATTATATAATTTGATACACTGGTGCCTATGTTTGGCTTAAAGGGGCATCATGGGTATTTTTATGCAAGAATAGGTTTTATTTTGCCATGTTGGAATATGAAGTTGATTCATTTATGACCTTTAAACCTTCAAGGTCAAACGTTTTAGAAATCCGTGGAAATTTCATTATATCTTGAAGATAAGGCAAATATACAACAATTTTCTGTTTTGCATAAAAGTCACTTGGTTTAATTTCGTTTTGTATGTATTAATTCCTTCTGCTTTGACAGGGTACATGACTTGGCGAGAAGGTTTCAATCCCCAGAAGGTTCTTCACCTGATGTGAGTATAACATGTTACACAGCAAGGCTCTGTATGTTTGGCACCTTTGTCGAGAATGATACGTCATTCTTAACTTTGTTTAAAGTTAATATTTCTATATTGAATTTTTTTCCCTTCACATTATAGTATATGACTTTATTTTGAATATTAACAGAATATTGTGATTTTCACAAGCACCATCATTTTTTTCCCCCTGAAGTTTTGCACCAGTCAGTTGTAAGCCTCCATCCCTTGGGCATTGTGGGGAATAGTTGGGGAAAATTAGCCCAGTTTTTATTTTGCATATGCCCAAAATGTGATAAGCTTTGTTTTGGTGTCAAAATAGCTTTGGATATTTCAAATTTTCAATGCTGGGGCATTTAACAAGGGATTTTGCCATATTGACGGTCACTGCAGGGAGAGGCCTTTATAAGAGCTATGATAATCCAAAAGGGAAAAGTCCCCACAATTCCCCTGGGACTGGGGCTACAATTGACAGGTGCATTTTGTTCAATCTTTTCTGTCATTGACTCTGCCTTTGTATTACCAGTTAAAGTATAGAAGGGTATGTAAAAATGAGCTGTTTAAAATGTTCTTTTAAAAAATGTGTTGAATGTAAGAAGCAAAATAATCCTTTTAGTGAAGTAATGCAGCAACTTAACCAAAGTTTTTTCTTGATTGGCTTTAAAAAGTCTCTCATATGCTTTTTAGATAACCGTGAACTATGGACAGTCTTGTTGTTAATTTAATGTGATAGATATTTATTTTGGTAGAAACTGTTCTATTTTCCTTGATGTATTTAGTTGTTTTGATACGACAGATAGTTTAAGATTTTATTTTCCCGTAAAATCTTTTTTAGCTGGCTGTTTAATTACGCTGTTCACTGCTCTGTTGCTTATAGTTTCCTGTTACCATAGCAACCTGAAAAAAAAACCCATTATTTTTACCATAGCAACCTGAAAGAAACATTATTTTTACCATAGCAACCTGAAAGAAACATTATTTTTACCATAGCAACCTGAAAGAACATTATTTTTATCATAGCAACCTTAAGGAATATTGATTTTAACATAGCAACCTAAAAAAACATAGTTTTTATCATACCTACGTGAAAGAAAATTATTTTTAATAAAGCAACCCGACAGAAACATTTTTTTTTTGGTCATAACCACCAGAGAGAACATTGATTGAACACTCAAGTTCTCCATAGATTGGCACTAAGAGGCATTAAGGATTTTTTGGAGAACATACGAAAAGATTGATTATTTTTATAACATCAGTTTGTCAAATATTTTTTGCATTAGTCGTACAGTGCGATATCTTAAAACAAGCATGTTCAGTTCTAATGCTAGATACAACAATTGCTAGAATTATTCCATATTGGCATAAGTCTATTTTAAATGCAATGCTAGCATATTTCCTCAATTGCCAATAGTTTCTTGCTTACATAATACCTTGCTAGCATAATTCCATAATACCTTGTTAGCATAATACCTTGCTAGCATAATACCTTGCTAGCATAATTCCTCAATGCCATGCTAGCATAATTCCTTGCTTACATAATACCTTGCTAGCATAATTCCATAATACCTTGCTAGCATAATTCCTCAATGCCATGTTAGCATAATTCCTCACTGCAATGCTAGCATAATTCCTTGCTTACATAATACCTTGCTAGCATAATTCCATTATTCAATGCTAGCATAAATCTGTTCTTGTATTGGTATTTATATACCAATATATATTATATATATTGTTGGACTAGTATTAGGTAGAGTTTACACTGGTGTCACTGCTGAAATTCTGAAAATAATTAGTTTAATCCCAAAGGAAATAGCTGGGTTAAATTTAAACTTTAGACTTTGTCTTATTAATACAAAAGGTTTCTGTATGTTAAACAAATAGTGGGTGTTGTACAGTACAAAATTTCTTCTGTAACTTTTTTTTTGAAAAGAGTTTTTTGTCAACATTTCATAACTTTGTATCATCTTTGGTTTAAAATATATTTAGTCCAATACCTGTTTAACACAGTGGTTGTTTATAAGCAAACAAGTGTGTCAATTTGAATCATCCTTTTTCTGCTTTGGCTGTAACAAAATGTTTTGTTGCTTATTTTCTTTTGTTTTAACCCCTTAAACCTGCTGGAAACAAAGTGATCAGCCTTTGCCACCAGTATAGAACCAGGCCAGCCTGCACATCCGTGTAGTCTGCACCAGGCTCTATACTGTTGGCAGCTCAATTTTTTGTATTTTGATACTGAATTCCCTTTAACTTTGAATCGACTGTTCCAAATTCTGAACAGGACAAGTCCATTTAACAAATTCAGCAGGTCATAGGTTTAAAGGATTTAGGAAATAATCATTTAATCTTTTCTATTGGGAATCAGTTGATTATGATAGAAAAAAAAAACATTGAAAAACAAACAAACAAAATTCAGCAAAACCATAAAAAATGGATATTTTTTATACATTATGTAATAAATAAGGATGAAACTGCAAAAATAGACCAGGTAGGGCATTTTAAAATTATTAAAGGGCGTAAATCACTTAATATATTAAAACAAGTACTGTTTGAAAAGGTTTGCTTTTTGAAAAGATCAATACAAGAATTTTGTGTTTTGAATTTGAGCTCAATAAAATGTTCACTTGAGAAAGTTTGAGTAGCTAGTGCAAAAAAGTTGTTTTGTTTGCCTTTATTTCACTTGAGTTATAGCCCTTTAGCACGAAAAATCCTCATTTTGTAGGCTTGCTTCCTACTGCATGCATTTGTTCTCCTTTTAATCCTGTTAGCTGTGCACGATTGAAAATAAACACCCTCATCAGCATGTTCTGTTTTGTTTGAAGTTTGATTTAATGAAAAATAAAAGCTGGAAAAAAAAACTATATTAATCTATTAAATGAATTAATAAGCTAATGTATCTCAGTAGTTTTGACTGTAGACATTTTTAACTCTGAAAAATTTTATATAAAGATGGATTGTACTTTTTAACGCCCCCACCACTACATAGGGAGGAGCATAATGTTTATAGATTTGCCCTTGTCTGTCCGTCCGTTACGCTGTCTGTTAGTAGACTGACAAAATGATGGAATATGGGACATCTTAAGACCATTTCAATATTTGAAATCAAATTTCACATATCATTAGATTATCTTATATATTTTTTCTTCAAAACGATGCATGCATCCTTTATACAGTCATATTAGATTTCACTTTAGACCTTACAAGATAAGACAAGAGCTTTGTGTGTAAAATCTATATATATCTATATCCTAGATTGAGAAATTAACTTGAAATTCTTTTCTTGAATCATCGAATTAACACATGATTATATAACATTATCTATATGTATGTCAAATTTCTATCTTTTTATTTTCCACGTTAACACGGGGATGTGATCGAGTATAATTGATATGTAATCCCTATTTTTATGTTTTTTTCTTCTCTTGATGTATATAATGGCATGTATTACTCCAGGACGTCGATGGTCGACCCTCACCTGACATCATTTATGTTCCACGGGGATCGTCTGCTAGAAAAAGGCCGCCTAAAATGTCACCCGCTCCTTTAGCGAAGCAGGAGTCATTCTCAGACCTGGTGTGTGTGACTTTCATGTTGTGTGCTTTTAATGAGACACTGTTCTTATAATGAAGTTTCCGATGCGGAAATTGTAATTCTGACTGAATATTTTTAGAAATTTCAAGTTTCAACTCAAAGATGATAATGAAACAAAGTGTCCATTGAGTAAATGCATTTAAAAAGGGGAGGGGTAATCCTAATGTCCATTGAAATTGGTCATAAATTGGAAGTTTTGGCAAAACATGCCACATAATTGGTAATGAAACACTTAAAGAAGGACATTAATTGTTTTATCTTGATTGGTTATGATATTTGGACTTGAAAAATTGGCATGATTTATAATGAAGTAAAGTTTCCAGTGTCCAAGAACATGGTTAAAGGTTCCACTTTAAAGTGTTCAATGGATTAAAGTCTCGACTTGATCAGATTTCAGGTTCCTGCTTTTATGAAGCAAAATTGGTCTTGAAGGCGAAATGATTAAATGAAGATTACATTTAAAATAAAACTGGCATTATTGTACATGGCATGGCTGTTCCATATAACTTTAAATGAATTACAAATTACAAGAAGTTTTTGACTTGAAAAAGGGTAAATTTATTCATAGACTGAAATTAACCCACCATTTCTACATTTAGGGTTGGGATCGAAAGATATACAGGAAATATGTTTTTTACTGGAAATATGCTTTAAAGTGAAACTTCATTTAAGAATCAGAGGTCATTGGTTCCATGCTTTATATATTCTCTGATACAGAATCTTGTTTGCATGATGACCTTTATCCTGCTTTTGTTCAGTTTTCTCTTTATATTTACAAAAGTTTGTTATGGTTATATTTGGTTGAGACAATTTTATTTTTTCTTATTGTTTGATATCAATTTGTTTTTGTTCTAAATGTTTTTCGGCTCTTTGTTTTAGGTTTTGAATATTTTTATTTTAATGTAAAAGAAAGATACATGTAGATTATTTCTACAATATAATGGGTGTTCATTTGGGAAGGAATGGAAAATATCACAATAAAGATGAGTTTGGACAATTGTATTATGTTGATAAAAAGCAAAAAGAATGGCATTTAAGGAAAAAGAATTGCATTTTAGGGAAAAGAATGTCATAAGAAAAAGAATGGGATTTAAAAACTATCTTTTCTTCTAAATGCAGAGAAAAATATTGCTTATAAGATAATTTCTTCACAGAATTTGCAGTGTTTTAGACACTTGAGCTTGGAAGCTGCACACTTCCAGATTTATGCTAATTAGTCCCCTACCGGTTTAACCGGAGGGGACTTTAGGTTTACCCTCCGTCCGTCTGTCCGTCTGTCTGTCCGTCTGTCAGTCCGTCAGTCCGTCCGTCCACAAAACTGGATCCCGCGATAACGCAAAAAGTACTGAAAATATTTTTATGAAACTTGATATATGGATAGATGGCAGTATGGAGATTATGCACGTCTTTTTTTTTTCCTCCTATGTTGAAAATTCTGGTTGCTATGGCAACAAATAGTCTGAAAATATGGCAAATTTAACACATAAACTGGATCCAGTGATAACTCAAAAAGTACTGAAAATATTTTTATGAAACTTGAAATATGGGTAGATGGCAGTCTGGAGATTATGCACATATTTTTCTTTTCTTCCTATGTTGAAAATTCTGGTTGCTATGGCAACAAATAGCCTGAATTTCAAGATTTCTGATTTAAATTTTTCAGCTTTTTCACTATATGTTCTTTATTTCTTAAGGTGTTTACTTCAAACTTTAAATAATAAGTTTCTGGTCATCAACCACATCATATGTGACAAGGTTTATAACTCTAGCACAAAAAATATCAGTATTACCTCCCTTGAACTTAGATTTTTTTAGGGGAAAAAATGTTGTCTTTTTTAAATAACTTCTTTATTTCCTAATGTATCTACTTCAAACTTCATATATATGTTTCTTATTATCACTCGACATTTTTTGAGAAGGTTAAATACTCTAGCAAGACTATTTCCAGAATTATGTCCCCCTTGAACTTAGATTTTTTTCGAGAAACTGGTATTTTCACTCCAACTTCTTCATTCCTTATAGGATTTACTTTAAAATCCCACATCGTAATAATATGACAAGGTTGTATAAACATAATTTCCTTACTAAGCATGGAAACTTAACACATTACTGTGATATAGACAAACTTATTTTATTATGTTTTGTGGTTGATATTTTCAAATACAGACTTCATCCTCAAATTCATTATAAATGGCAATACACAGGAGTGTATGACAATTAAAGAACTTTTTGAGGGACCGGTAGGGGACTACTGTATTGCCCGCAATACTATCAAATGCTTGTTTGTTCATGAAACTTCAGTGTTTTAGTTAGTACATATAGTGAATCAAGAACAAATATTAAAGTTAAATAAACTTAAATAAGACATTAACAATCAGCAAAATATTTTTAATTTGACAATATGAAAAAAATGTCATTTACAGGGTAAGGATATTGGAATGGAAAAAATAAATTAACCCTTTGTCTGCCGGCAAGAACTGTATCTACCTATTTGACCAATGCCGACCAAGATCATACGGCAAGTCCGCAGGGTTGTCATTAAGAGTCGGCAAGAGGCCAAAATGACTGTCTCAAATGCATTTTGAGTCACCTCAAAAATTAAGAAAACACACTTTGTTGTTACAATATATGGTGAAAAAAGTGATTATTCCCGCATGTCAAAAAGTTAGCGACTTTCAAATTCAAGACATTTTGTATGAGGAAATATTAGCTTATCTTGCAAGGGTTAATGACAGGTTGGTTGATATTTACATTACAGGTAATTTTATAGAGATTTTTGTCAATTTGGAAAATTTGCCAATATTTCTGCGTCGCTAATTTAACCCCTTTAACAGTATACTCCTAAAATCTTGAGGTGTGCAGCTTAGAATTCAAACAGAGAAAAAGAGTTTCTTCAAGCCTTGTTTTATGTAGATTCAAGCCTTGTTTTATGTAGATTCTTTCTGCTTGATAATCTGTAAGAAAAAAAAGAAATCGAGGGTGTGAAACTTTTGTTAAAATAAAAAAAGACAACAAAAACTTATGAAGGTATGAAATATTAACACGTATTTGTCCTGCAGACTGATCTTGTTGATGGCCAGCTTGTATTTGTAAGTATGACCAATCAAAACCCTCGTCTCATCTTACCCATCCTACTTTAAAACACAACAACAACTGTGATTGGAGTATAATCCTTCTAACTGAGTGTCTACCTTGGATGTGTTGTGTCTCTCATTATTATACATCTTTTTGTAGAAATGTTCACATCTGCAAATTTTTTTCTCCCCCATTTGGAGTCATGCTTACATGTGTTTGTTGTTTTAACCACTTTTTCTTGCATTCCAGGTGTAATGCTGTTCTGTGTTTTGTACTAACACCTGTATGTGTGTGTTGCAACTCCTGTGTTGTCTGTAGATATAATTATACCTTCTGTGTTATATGCTGTGTTCTAACACTGATCTTCGATGTATCTATCCCATCATTCCATTATATAATTATGTAGTGAATCTGTTGTGGATAAACTAGTCAAATTAAGCATCTTGAAAACACCAACACATATTATATTCTTTGAGCTATGAATATTTATATTTCATTTGGACTTTTCGAGTATAAGTGATTAATGTGTCCAAATTTCTAGTAAAAATGTATTCCGGAAATGCTTCTTATTGAATACCTTTATAAATCTCCTATTTTCACCTATCATAATTATAGTCCTCTTCTCCTTGAACATTTATGAGTCTTTCATGTAAACAAACAAGTAAATGAAAACTATTAAAGGGACTCCACTGAGGTTTTCTTGACATGATAGACCTGGAATTTTTTTAAGGTTTAATTACCATTTGCTGTAGGTCTGGACCAATAACTGGTGTGAAAAATTTCAGATATAAAAAGAAAAGAGTTCAAATGCTTTTTCTCAAAATAAAGCTGGAATAGCAAAAAATACAATTTTCAATTAAATTCTTAGTATATTTCTCTATGATCTTTTGCATATTGTTTCTGTGTTAAGTACTTTAGTTGATCTAAGTGTATTAGGTTTTTAGGCTTTTGGTCCTTACCAAGGTTCTTTTAAAGTTTAAATATGTTTTTAGGCTTTCGGACATCAGAGGAGTTCCTTTAAAGTTGATGTTTTTTAGGCTTTTTGGACCTCAGAGGAGTTGCTTTAAGCCTTAATCTCCTGCACCAGCATAGAGCCAGGTTAGCCTGCAGGTTCAGGGTTAACATGCATAGGTCAAGGTCATAGGTCAAGGTCACACCTCATTGGTGGAGATGTGTTTATTGAGGATGTTTTCTTCCATCAAACAACAAAATACTACTTGCACAAATTGTAATATTATAGTTATACTGGTAGATTAAACTTCTAGATTAAGTTTAGAAATGCACTATGTAGTATAGTCTTAAAAGCTTTCATAATAATTAAATGTATTTATTTCAGGCATTTTTTTATTTATTTGTATAAAAGAAGTGACTCAATTTTATTCCTTATTGATAATATTACGGCTTATTATGATATTTTAATAGTCCTAGAAAAACATATTTTCCTTGCTTGCCTTTAATGCTAGCACTAGTCCAAGTATCTTTTAATAGATTTCATGGTATAAACGAATGACACATTAAATAAATAATAGCTTATCTTTGGAAAATAGGACTGGAAACAGTGATCAGTGTGTCGTATTCATGTTTTATTTATCACAGCCCACATCATAAGAACATTCATAAAATATCAAAACCTATATTGTATTCAAAATGAGTGACTGTCATAGAACATCTAAGCATATTGATTAAATATTAAAACCTATATCGTATTCAAAATTAGACTGTCGTAGAACATCTAAGTATATTGGTAAAATAATAAAACCTATATCGTATTCAAAATGAGTGACTGTCATAGAACATCTAAGTGTATTGATAAAATATTAAAACCTATATCGTATTCAAAATGAGTGACTGTCATAGAACATCTAAGTATATTGATAAAATATTAAAACCTATATCGTATTCAAAATGAGAGACTGTCATAGAACATCTAAGCATATTGATAAAATATTAAAAATTTTAAAACCAATATGGTATTAACAATGAAATAGTGTTATAGATCATCTAAGCATACTGATACAATGGCACAGCTCATATCATATATACTCATTAATTCAATATCACATCTTCTATTATAAGAAAATTGAAAAAGTATCACAGTCACATCATAAGCACACAGCCCATATCATTTGCACAAAGGTATTGTGTCACAGCCCATATTTAAAGTGTCACAGTCCATAATTATCAAACTTTCAAGTGTCACAGCCCATATCATAATATGCTTATTGATAATATTTTACAGCCCATATCATTAGTTCAATTTTGTAATGTCACAATTCATCTCATAAGTTCAATGATATTGTGTCACAGTCCATATCATGAGTTCATCGATAGAATGTCAGAGTTAATATCATTAGTTTTTCAATGAAAGAATGTCACAGACTGAGTCCATTTATTAAGATCATTTTCAAAATGTAGCATTGATATAGATTTTTTAGGGTATAGAAAAATTGACTTGCCAGAAATGATGATAATTTTTTTTTCAATGACCTGTATTAAACTTACTGAGGTTTTACAAAATTTATATTTATATGTATAATTTATATATATATATGGAGCTGTCATGTATTTGTATCATAGGATTCACCAACAACTGCTGAACCCAGACCGTCGCAGCTTTCTCCGGACAAACTTCAACTGGTCGATGATATTTTGAAGAAACCTCGCAGTCACACGGGCGAGAGTCTTCACGTGTCTGCCGAGGACGTGTCGAAGAGTCCGTTCCGACGTGTCATGAAGGGAGCGAAACACTTAGTTGGTACGATCATTGTATAATATTTCGTCAATTCATATTGATTAAATTTAAGATATTTATTGTAATTAATTTTGATTTTTGATACGGGGAGTAGTATTATTTAATTTGAATGGTGCACTTTCATTTATTTGATTTTATTCACCAAAGCTTTGAATGACTATTATTTGTATATCAATGCTTTTTGCGCTTTCGAGATAAGAAAAATGCACAGTGATGCTTTTCGATAAGGGAATTATTTATAATATTATAATTTAAATCAGGGATAGGCTTATATTGCTTTCTTAAGGATTATTTTTAATGTATTATACACGAAATTCAGTCCAGCATTTTTCTATGTATGTTACCACAGCTAGTCAAGAAAATTTACGTGAAACTAAGAGTTATCCATGTGTACCCGAGAGCTCTACGTTAAAACGTAAGATGTCATTCTCGTCTACGTTATTCAGACGCACAAAATCGTCGATAAAAATGCTGCGAGATATGAATCGTGAGTTTAGAGCTCTGTGCAATGTCTGATGTCTCTATTTTAGAGAATTCTCACAAGAATGGCTCTCCTGTATTCCGTTACTGAAAACAAATCTGGTTGCCGTTTCAACTGCATCCAAACTGCCTTCACTGTGTACACGATCAAGATTTCATATGTGTATAAGGGATATAGAATGCATTATTTGATATTTCAAAAAATTTCTTTAACAAAAAAAAAGGGGGGGGTGGGCAGAATAAATGAAGTCTTGCTTTTAAAATCTAAAACTGTTGATGATTTAAAAAACAATGTGATTTGTTATTCTTCAAAGTAATTTGATGCTTATTTAAATTTAATTTTTTTTAAAGGAATGAAATCAGATGTAATAAATGTTTATGATTTAAATCGATTAATTTAATAAGCATTGATTGGGGCGTTCGTGGCTGAGTGGTTAAGGTTGTTGACTTCAAACCACTTGCCCCTTGAAGCTGTGGGTTCGAATCCTGATTTCATGTGAGGAAGCTATCCAACTAGCTTACAGAATGTCGGTGGTTCTACTCTGGTGCCTGTTTGTCCCTGAAATAATGCACGGAAAGGGCACCTGAGGTCTTTCTCAACAAGTAAAGCTGGAAAGTCGCCATATGACCTATACTGTGTCAGTGTGATGTAAAACCCAATCAAACAAACAAACAAGCATTGATTGAATTTCAATTAAAACTATTCCAGTGGAGGAAAAAAATACTGTAAGGCTTGGATTTTTTGCAGATTTCTGTAAATTGCCATATACATAACGCAGTTCTCATACATACAATTTTGATAAATATTTAGATAATGCCATTAAATACATATAGTCTTACCCTGACACTGCTGGGACCGAAATTGCCAAACCCTACACCACCAGTATATAGCCAGGCCAGCCTGCTTGTCTGTGCATTGTGACCTGTGCCCGAGGTTATAAAACCTTTGTCTAAGATCAGGCTCGGATATCAGGATTTCATTGGTGAATACACATTCTGCATTGGTTTTCTGACCAATCCAATACCAGAGATCTGAGTTCGGGCTTGGAGAATTTATTTATAACCATTGACCGAGGCTCTAGACTGTTTGCTACTCAGGTTGAGTGTATGGCATAGAAAACCCCTTTTCCAACTGATGTAATGTTCCAAGTTCAAAGCAAGAAGAGTCTATTTTACAAATTCAGCAGTGTAGGAGTTTATATGGGTAGAATTTTTTTTTTTAAATTTAAAAAAAAACAACAACATCAAAAACAGCGTAAATGGATGGAAATCAATTTATTTTTAGCAAGACAGCATATGTTTTTAACAGGTGATTATAATTATAGTAAATGCTCGTATACACATACATGTATGAAATCTTTATCTTTTCCAATAATATTGCCTCATTGTAATGAATTGAATGGCTTCTGTTGTTTTTTTTACAATAACGTGAGACTGATTTTCATGCCGACACTATACCCACTGACTCTTTTTCTCTTCCAGAAAAAATATCTGTAGTTTATTTAAAGATAGATATTCATTATAGAAAAGATTTTCTTCTTACTATTAATGATATGATAATATAAGTGAGTGTCGTCTGATTTCTAATCCGGAGGTCGCAGGTTTGTTCTTGGTGCAAGGTGAAATTGGTCTATTTTCACAAGTTCTCAGACATGGCGTCTAATAATAATTTGTGTCTCAATGCTGATTCAGAAAATTTGTGGGAAAAATAGTCGGTCACTTGCGCTGAAACTGGTTATTATTGGTTAGTTTAGTTATTTAGGAAAGCCACTTAGGTGGACCGACTACCGAGATATGGTCAAAGATGTGTTAAAAACTAAACAAACAGATCTGTCCATTTTTCCCAAGTTGGAAAAAATGTATCTATCATCATCCATACTTATCTGTTTTATAGTTTGGACAGTCCATCTTCATTTGTATGATTCTATTTAAAAGTTTTGTGAGTCCATCCATGTTGAAGTTTTGGTACTTAATTCTTCCTTTGGGTCAGAATTCTTCCTTTGGGTCAGACAGTCTCCAAATAAAGTTAGACCACTCTTGATATTGAGTCCCTTTCTCAGTTTAGGATAGCCCATTGTAATTTGGTTAATTCAATATCAGGGTGGTCTATACAAGATTTTTATGCTCCCCGAAAAAATTTCGGGGGAGCATATAGTCGCCGCCTTGTCCGTCCGTCCGTCCATCCGTCCGTCCGTCCGTCCGTCCGTCCGTCCGTCCGTCCCCTTTTCTTGTCCGGGACATAACTTTGAAACAACAAGAGGTATCAACATGAAACTTTGTAGGTAGATAGATCTCATTGAGTAGGTGTGCAGTGCACAAGAACCGTAACTCTGCCTTGCCTAATTTTTGAATTATTCCCCTTTGTTTATTTTTACACTTTGAACTTTGTCCGGGACATAACTCTAAAAGTATAAGAGGTATCAACATGAAACTTTGTAGGTAGATAGATCTCATTGAGTAGAAGTGCAGTGCACAAGAACCGTAACTCTGCCTTGCCTAATTTTTGAATTATCCCCCTTTGTTTATTTTACACTTTGAACTTTGTCCAGGACATAACTCTAAAAGTATAAGAGGTATCAACATGAAACTTTGTAGGTAGATAGATCTCATTGAGTAGGTGTGCAGTGCACAAGAACGGTAACTCTGCCTTGCCTAATTTTTGAATTACCCCCCTTTGTTTATTTTACACTTTGAAATTTGTCCGGGACATAACTCTAAAAGTATAAGAGGTATCAACATGAAACTTTGCAGGTAGATAGATCTCATTGAGTAGAAGTGCAGTGCACAAGAACCTTAACTCTGCCTTGCCTAATTTTTGAATTATCCCCCTTTGTTTATTTTACACTTTGAACTTTGTCCAGGACATAACTCTAAAAGTATAAGAGGTATCAACATGAAACTTTGTAGGTAGATAGATCTCATTGAATAGGTGTGCAGTGCACAAGAACTGTAACTCTGCCTTGCCTAATTTTTGAATTATCCCCCTTTGTTTATTTTACACTTTGAAATTTGTCCGGGACATAACTCTAAAAGTATAAGAGGTATCAACATGAAACTTTGTAGGTAGATAGTTCTCATTGAGTAGGTATGCAGTGCACAAGAACCGTAACTCTGCCTTTGTTTAATTTTTGAATTATCCCCCTTTGTTTATTTTACACTTTGAACTTTGTCCGGGACATAACTCTAAAAGTATAAGAGGTATCAACATGAAACTTTGTAGGTATATAGATCTCATTGAGTAGGTGTGTGCAGTGAACAAGAACCTTAACTCTGCCTTGCCTAATTTTTTAATTATCCCCCTTTGTTTATTTTTTACACTTTGAACTTTGTCCGGGACATATTTCTTAATGTATAAGAGATATCAACATGAAACTTTGTAGGTAGATAGATCTCATTGAGTAAGTTTGCAGTGCACAAGAACTGTAACACTGTCTTGCCTTCTTTTGTAGTTATTGCCCTTTGTTCATTTTGACACTTTGAACTTTGTCTGGGACATTATTCTAAAATTATAAGAGATATCAACATGAAACTTTGTAGATAGATAGGTCTCATTGGGTGGAAGTGCAGTGCTTAAGAATCATTACTCTGCCTTGCCTTATTTTGAAGTAATTGCCCTTTGTTTATTTTTACTTTTTGACTTTTGTCCTGGACATTACTTTAAAACTATTAGAGATATCAACATGAAACTTTGTAGGTAGCTAGATATAATTGGATAGAACTGCAACGCTTCAAGAACCTAAACAAAGCCTGGTGTAATTTTGGAGTTATTGCCCTTTGTTCATTTTTTTTATACTTTCCTGTGTCCAGAACCTTCTCGGGGAGCATCACCCGGTTCAACCGGTTCTTGTTTTATTAAATTCTATTTTCAAAGCCAACAATGTTGGAAAGGCTAGGGCATTTTTTTCATTGTCAATGGACACTATATGTTGAGCATATAGTAGAGTCACAGATAGTATTTTTGATGATTTGTGTCTTGTTTGATTTATAACTTTTTTGCCATTCTGTAGAACAGTATATGGTAACTTTGCACAGATATTTTGTTTATTGAGAGAACGATTCATATTTGTAAGTATGTCAAGGTCATTTTTTGGAGGTTATTTAAGGTCAAGTTGATGTCATATGAATTGACCCATATCTCTTTCTATAGTATCCTTCATAAAGTACACCTACATACACCAAATCTAAAGTCAAGGTCAAATTTACAGGTATAAGGTCAAAATCATTATCTGAAGGTCATGTGATTAGTAATAATTATTTCTAATGGAAATGTTATGATTTAAAAAACATTTTAAGAAAGGGTTTAAACATATAAATATCCCTGTCTTCTACTGTACATATCTGATTCAAGACATTTGTTCCGACTTTTGTATGCTGGAGAATGTATAACATTCTGCGCTTCTGTTTCAAATATGCCAAATTGTTAATGCAAGATTTATTGGACCTTAGCCAGCATGCTATCTGATACACTTTATATATGCAACTTGAATAAATGCATTTTAAAAGCATTCTAAGTTTATAAAAGAATATAACATGAATATTAATGTATTTTTTTTTTATGACGAAAGAAACATGTGAATTTTCATTTAATGTAATTGTGCTTGACATTGATTTTGGTACTGTGAGTGACCATATTTTCCTTTAACAGCTTTTTTTTGTAGTATAGCATTATTTTGATTTTGTCCTTGCTTTAGGAAGGCTTTAATTGCCCTAAAATTACTTGAGGTATATTAAGAAAAAAGTTGAAATATGTTCGACTTTATCAAGACTTTATGATACAAATTTAATTTAATTGCATTCTTAAGTTTTATATATAAATTTATCACATACCTGTGCTGCTTATATGTTTCCATAAAAATGGTATTGCACAGTCGTGCATATATTTTGATGTGACATCATTTTCATTATATAAACATAGTGTTAAGACGCTCTAAATGTTAGCGATCTACTATAGGCGTGCCAGTGAATTTTAAAAATTTTTTTTCACTTAAATGATCTTTATTTTTGGTATGTGATAAATAGAATATTTAATTTGTGTAAGCTTGTTACTAAATTTATTGAACTCGTTTAATAAAATAATACAACCCTCGCCAGAGACTCGCATATTTAATTCTATAAAATTTAGTTTTTAATTATTCAAGCTTTACTACAATTTATTAACTTGTTTAATCAACATATACATTCGCCAAGATGCATATTATTTATTCAGCTTGTTCATAAATTCAGTATTAACTTACATCATTTATTCTTAGGGGATTTACATATGATGCATATATCATAATTGACAAACAGCTAATTTAAATTAATAGAGTTAATCATTATGCACTTTGAATAATGTTATTTCTTTTACTCTTGTCTAAACAGCCATGTTTGTGTAGAGTGAGATATTTGTGAATGCTTGGTTTTTAACCCTTAACCTGCTGGAATGGAATCTTGTTAGCCATCACCACCAGTATAGAGCCAGGCTGGCTTGCACATCCGTGAAGTCTGACCAGGCTTTACACTGATGGCTAACTAACTATAAGCTTTTATTTCAATGTTATCTCCCCAAGATTGATAGCGAACACTGAGGTCCAAAACCGTGAAAACCAGTAATTTCTTTTCATAGATCAGCTGAGGCACTTACAACAGAAATATAATTCTGTAGAATATAATTAAGAATTATGCTTAGAAATAAATTGAAAATGTATTTTTGAGCAATTTTTATCCTGATTGCAACACTTTTAAATTTTGGTCATTTTAAACAATAAAAATAGCTATTTTGGGAATACCGAGTAAGCGAATGATCTGAAATTTTGCACACAAGTTATTGGTCTAGACCAACATCAATTGAAACATTAATCTCGAAAAATTATTTCCAGTCGTTTTATGACAAAATACCTCAGTGGAGTCCCTTTAAAAGCAGGAAAATAATTGGTAAGAAATTCAGCAAGTTAAGGGTTAAAAAATGGCTTGACATGATATGAATGAATAGTATTTGTAAGTGTTGTACTATATTTTATACAGGTGGACAGCGCAAGAAGAAAGACTCTCAAGCTGAGGACAGTGACGAGGACCCCGAGCATTCACCCGTGTCAAAACATATGCAAAATAGTAAGTATATAACTCAAAATACAGAAGTAGGTAATGGAAAGTGTTCCGATTCTTGGTATTGTAAATTTAAAGAAAATAAAGTTTTCATTTGTGGATATAGGTTAATAGAATTTAAGTGGACCAATTTAAGCCTGCCCAGTTCATGACATGTTCTGGATATTTTATAGAGACATTATGCACATCCAAGTGTTAATGATAATGGCTTCTATAAGCTTCTGCTTTCGGCCAAAATCTAAAATTATTGTTATGTTGCTGTTTACACATGTACAAATATTCTATATAAAATATGTTTAAACCAAGTGTAAATGGTCAGTGAAAAGGTAAACACTTAAAAGAACTTGGCATTTTGCCGTAATTGTGTTCAATTTCATACATTTAGGTTAAAAAAATAATAATTCATGTGACCAAAGGACATTTCTGAAAATTTTGTTCAGAATGTGTTGGTAATTCTCGATTCTTAAAAACAGTGGGGTAGTAATTTTATAACAAGTCGCGATTGATCTCCGTTAGTGAAGATGTGATGTTGATGTATAACTTTTAAAGAAAAGGTGTGACCTGAAGCCCTGTGTAAACATTGAAAAAACTGTAAACTCAAGATATACACTCAGTATTGATTTGCTGTAGAAATTCAGAAATTTGAAAAATACTTGAGCTTGGGGGGGGGGGGGGGTGAAAATTTCAAAACTTTATTTACTGTCTACTTTATATTATATGAACTGTCATAATTTGGTTAATAACATTTTCTTTTTTGTAAATAAATCAAGTTCCAGCTGGAGCAGTATCTGTTCTTCCACATTTTACCAGCATGCCATTATCCCCTAAATCCCCGGTCAAAGATGAGAACGTATTCTCAGGAGACGATCAGGAGGAAAAGAAATCTATACAGAAGAAAAGACGTACTCGGAAAGGGGAGAAAGATAAAGAGAATCGACCAATCGAAGTGCAGAGGGGCTGGAATGTTGCCAAAACTTCACAGTGGCAATACCCGGAGGAATTTGTGATTACGGAAACTTATGAACTACAATTTCTAGACGAGTTCATCGGTAGAAAGGTGAGTTTTACAGGCTTGGACATTTAAATGAAGATAATACAGCAAGACGGTATATTTGTGTAACATTAACACCCCTTAACATCTTATTTCAGTAATTTTATATAATGTACAGAATTATAGGTTAATTGGTGTTGTGCATACTCTTTTCTGATTTGTTGGTTTTGATAGAAACTTCATTGTAAAAATGAAGAGTAATGACCCCCTGAAAGATATTGACCCTTGGACTTTCACTCATTAAAATTTTTAGCTCAATATATTGATGTGGGAAAGAATAAATGTTATAAGTTGAATCTCAAAATTTCCATTGTTAGCCGCGTTTGAATTAAAATTTCCTGTACAATATACATGCATTGTATCTGTTTATTTTAGGTGAATGAGTTGGTGAAAGACACTGGGAAAAAGGAGTCCCAGTTTGATATTGTGTTCAAAAAATGTCTCAAGTCATTCCATACAGAATTGAAGAGTATTCTCTCATTGTCCTTGCAGGTAAGATTAAATGTGTATGTATGTGTGTGTGTGTGTGTGTGTGTGTATGTGTGTAGGTATACTTGTAACAAGACTGTTTCTGATTTCTGCATAGCAATGTCAAAAAAGAAGGTAGACATTTTGACGAGACGAACATTTTTTTATCAGAGGCTCTATTTGCAGGTTGCTAGGGTCAAACCACTTAGCTCCATACAGTACAAGTGTCAGATTTGTAATCCAGGTGTGGCGGGTTCGATCCTTGAGCAAGGCAAAATATTTTTGACATTTGATCTCAAACATCGGTTCAAATGTTTTTTTTTGTCTCTCATAACCTATTCAGAAATCATGTGGGATAAGTATATGGTCACTAGTAAAGAAATTTAATTGGTTATTACTGGTTAGTTAACCAGTAGAGCCAGTAGGTGGACATACTGTCCGGATAATTATGTTAAAAAAATGTGCTAAAATTAACTTAAACACACTGTATTTTACTGTGTTTGTAGAAAACAGAAAATTAAAATGACAATGAATATGAGTGTTGTTTTTTTTGTGTGTGTAAGTTGACATTGTTATATTTATGTGTAAGAAATAAATGAATGACATTTTCACAAATCATGCAAATTTATAAAATTGAAAAATTCTAATTTACCCATTTCTTTATTCATTTTTCAGAAGGAAGGGTCATGTGAGACCTGTAATATTAAATATCGTGATTTATTTGCAATGTTTGAATCAACGATGAGGGGAACGTGTGAAGAGCAGAAAGTGGACTCTGAATTCCCAGTGACTATATGTATAAATGCATTCCGAGGTTATCTAGATGAATTTAGAAATGGTGTAAATAGTAAAAAGAAGGATAGTAAATTTAAAAAGAAAAAAGAAAGACCAAATAGAAGAGATAACAAGAAAAAGGATATTATAGTAAGTTCGTTCATTTAATTTAATTTAACCTCGACAAGAACTGATTTTTGTGTTTTAATTTAATTTGATTTAACCTCAACCATCACTAAGTCTTTTGCATTATGATTGTTAATGTAATGTAAGTGTTGAATTTATATTTTTCCCAATTATCTCCCCTTTATGCGCACTTGAAAAATGGAAAATTCAGTACTAACTGGTTAGTTATCCAGGAAAGTTAGTTTGGTAGAATAACCCCTAAAATACAACAAAATGTGTTGAAAATCAGTATTAAAATAGAGAAGAAGGAAAAAATTGAACTTTTTTATGTACAGCTTTTTTTATTTTTAAAAGCAACACTGTTTTAATAAACTATTTCCCAATTATTTTTTTTTCAGGAATTACAAGGCCATAAATTTTCCCAAGTGCAATTTGGAATTCCAACATTCTGTGAATTGTGTTCAAATATTATATGGATCATGGAGAAAGGTCATGTGTGCCAAAGTAAGTTTTGATGAACTTTTCTTAAAATTGCATTGGAGACTTCGTTTTAAGCTGTAGTTTTTATGTCTTTTATTTTTAACAATAAATTTAGCCAAAAAACATTTTAAAAACAAATATGTTGGGGTTAAAAATTTTATTTTTATCCACTAGTCTGAAAATTTTATTTTTGGGGACGGGTTTCCGGGGATCTATCCCTCACCCTACTGAAAAAAGCAAAAAATACTGGGGAAATTCTGTGTGCGGGTCTCAACTGAAAAATGATGTGGTTTTATTTTTGGGTGCCTGTTTCTTGCCTAAAATTTAATGCATGACAGGCACTGGAGGTTTCCTACTGGAAAAGGGCGGGAAATTTCACCATTAAATTTTTTCCCTGTGAGTTTTGACTTCAAACGAAACCCAAAAAAAAACCGAAATAAAAAAAAAACCCGGGAAAAACCCTTCATAGTTTATCCCTAAGGCCCATTTTTGGGCCCATTTTAAAAACCTTTTTTTTTGGACCCCCCCATTTTTTTTTTTTTTAAAATTTTGGCTTTTACTTGAAAAAACACTAAAAATTTTTTGTAGTAGTTAAGATTGTAGTAAAGAAAAAAAAGAATGCTAAAAAAATTTTCCCAAAAACAGCGCAAAAAAGTTAAAAACTTTTTGAAACCCAATTGCTTTAACCCTTTTGCCTGAAAAATGATACCCCCTTCAAAATAACTTTTTCACCTTTAGTGCATTTAAGGGTTAAGTCCCCCTTTAAATTTTTTTACGGGGTGCATTTTTTTGGTAAAACCCCTTTTTTTATGGGAAATTATAGTCGAAACATCAAATTTTAAATTTATAAATTTATTTTTAAAATTTTGTAAACCTGTTTTTATTCCCCCAGTTTGAAAATATGCCTCCCAAAAAAAATGTGCTTACAAGTAAATTTTCAACCTGTAAAGGTGTTTCAAGACTTGAAAAATTTTGCAGTAAGTACAGAGTTATAAATACTTTTACATGTAATTATGTTTTTTCCATATTTTGGGTAAAGAATTTGAACGTTTGGAAATTTTGAAAAAAAAAAATTTTCATTAGAGGGAACATCTTGTGATTTTTTAAATAACAGTTTACTTGTTACCTGAAAAATTAGAAAATAAATGTAAAAATAATTAGTCATGAAATTTTTACCAAAAATATTTTATTTTTTTGACTGAAATAAAAAAGAGGGTTTCCAGGGAAATTTGGGCCCAATAATTCAAAAGAAACACCAAAATTTTAAAATTAATTTTTTTGGAAAAATTGAAAAAAAAAAGTTTTTCTGAGGCAAAAATAGGGCTTAAACTTTTAAACCCAAAACACTTTTTCGCAATGGGTTAGATGCCATAGTTTTTAAAAGGGGGAAAAAAAAAAAAAAAAAATTTTTTTTTAGCATTTTTTGGGTTTTTTGGGCTGTCAATTATAATTCTTTATGAAAAATTTTAAATTGTTAAAATTTTGGCTCCCAAAAGAAGCCCAAAAGTTTGCAAAAAGGGAAATTTGGGGTGTCCCTTGTGCAGGGGTTTTTTTCAGATTTACTTTGGGTGAAAATTACTAAAAAATTTTGGATATTTCTAAAATTTTTTATGTTTTTTTGACTTTTTCTCACACTCTGTAGATTTTCTTACTGGGTTTTAAAATGTCACTTTTTAAACTTCCCTTCCAATCACCCAAAAAAGTATGGTTTAATCATTTTGGGCCTCCCTTTTAAACTTTTGCGTTCGACCCCTTCAATTTCCATTTTCACAGGTTTTCTTAGGCCCAAACCCTTCTGTCAATATTCCAAAACCAAATTTTGTTTATATTCCCAAAAATAAGTTTTTTTCTAAATTTTTTAATTTTCTTGTCCCCATGATGAAAAAAATTTTTGAAAGTTTTTTGTTAAAAAAAAAGTATCAAGCTTGCCTGGGCCCAAAAGGGCAGTGGTTAACCAGATGCTTCCTCTTGGGCCCAAACAAGTTGGGTTTCCCCGTTTAAAGGGGCATGTGACAGATTCAAACCCACCAATTTTTCTGTGGGGCAAATTTGTCCCCTGATGACCCTGGGATTTTAATGGTCTGACAATTTTTTGTCAAAGGGTTCTTCTGGCACTTGGGGAACGGGAAGGGAAAATTAAAAATGGTGATATTGAAAATAAAAGTCAAGATTTTTCTGAAACTTGGCGAGAAAAGGGGAAATTAAAAAAGGGGGTAAATTGGGAAAAAATGCAAAAGATTTTTTGCGACACTTGCAAAAGGAAAAAAAAATTAGGGAAAGGTGATTACAGTTAAAATTCCGAAAATTCCCGGGAACTTCTGAAATCCCCGGGAAAATTTTAAAAAACCCAACAATTTTTTTGTTTCCCGATTTTTTCCCTTCTTTTTTTTTATCAATAAATTTTCTTTTGAATTCCGGAAACTTTTTAAAAATTTTGAATTCCGGGCGAAATTTTTTTGTAAAATTAGAGTTTAAATCAATCAATTTTACCTTCCCAAAAAACCGGAAAAAATCCAAAAAGGGGGTGAAATACATTGTAAAACGAGAATGTTTACCCGCAGGGAAAAATTTAATCTCCCTTTTCGATTTTTTTACCCAAAAATTTGCGGTGACGTGTTAAATTTTACACGCCCTTTTAAAAACACAAACTTTTGAAATTTTTATGTTTTAAATGTGCGGCTAATTTAAAGTAATTTTCGGGCCCGGTTTACTTTTAAATTTGGGAAATGGGTTTTTTAGCGGATTTAAAAAGGGCAATTAATTGGACAATGTATCATTTAAACGTTTTTAAAGGGATTTTTTTTGCCCTTTTTATGTACTAAAATTTAATTTAAATAGCATCGGGAAAAATATGTAAGTTTATGCAATTAACAACATTTCTACAAACTGAAAAGAAATTCAAAAACATTTTCAGTTTTAAAAGATAAAAAATTTTTCTTTTCATTCAAAATCTTTATTTTTTGATTAAAAGACTATTTTTATATGATTTTTACAAACAATCTTCCTAGAAATTTTTGTGATATTAAGTGGCTTAGTCTTGTCCACATTATCATGAACCTCTAAATTCCGGAAACCTCTGAAATCCGAACTTTTTGACAAGTCCCATGGGTGTTCGGTTTTCGGAAGTTACACTGTATTTACTATAATGTCAGAGATTCTTCCATCACTTGGCAAGGGAAGGAAATTAGAACGGGGATATTTGCTATATTTACTGTAACTGAAGGCAGGCTTAAATATTTTATAGGAATAATATTGTTTAAGACATTGTTGGAACAGTTACCAAAAAAATTTGTTTCTATATTTGATTTACATGTAACGGTACCAGGGTTCTTTTAATTTCTGGGCAAGGTTTTTATTTTTTAAAAAAAATTTTTTAAGCAAAAGAGAAAATAAATTTGGGAATTGGCAAACCTTTTTTGTTGTTGTTGTCTCTGGTTGTATATATAAAAATTGCTTTTTATTTTTAGCCACCGAGCTTGCTCAGGGTTTAGCTTTTAGACGGTGAATGTCCCTCGTCCCTCTCCGTCCGGCCCTCCACATTATTGTTAAAAAAACCCACGGTCGCATTTTTGCCTCAATCATATCAAACTTGGTCAGGATCTTTTTCTAGTTTAAAAATCGGATGAGTTCGAAAATGGGGCTCTCGGTGAAAAAAAGGTCACAAGACTAAAAAAAGAAAACCTTGTGAAAAAATCTAGAGGGCACATTTTGACCCAATTTATCATCAAACTTGGTCAGTGTTTGTTTAGGTGTAGCTTTGGATAGTTTGAACTGGGTCATCCGGATGAAAAAATAGGTCAAGGAGCTATAAATGAAAAACCCGTGAACACTCTAGTGGTACATTTTTGAACCCAAACTCATCAAACTTGTCGTGCTTGTTGTCAATTGCTTGGTGAGTTTCGAAAATGGGTCTCTCTGGGGTGAAAAAAATAGGTCACGGAGCTAAAAATAGAAAAAAATTGTGAACACTCTAGTGGGCACATTTTTCCCAATCTCTCAAACTTTTCGGGTGCTTGTTTAGATAAAAGTGGATGAGTTGAATAGGGGCATCTCGGGGTGAAAAAAATAGGGCACCGGAGCTATAAAAAGAAAAACCTTGTGAAACACTCTAGTGTCACATTTTTTTCATCAAACATCATAAATTGGTCGGATGCTTATTTTGTTGATAGCTTTGGGGGGTTCGAAATGGGTCACTGGATGAAAAAGTAGGTCACAGAGCTAAAAAAAGAAAAAACCTTTTTAACATTTGCGGTCAATTTTTGCATCAATCATATCAAACTTGATCAAGATCTTGTCTAGGTGTAGCTCGGATGAGTTGCAGGGGTTTCACTCGGATGAAAAACTAGGTCACAGGAGCAAAAAATAAAAAAACCTTTTTAAAACACTCTAGGGGTCACAATTTTGATCAATTGTCATCAAACTTGGTCAGGAATTGTCTAGGTCTTGGGGGGAAATTTTAAATTAAAACATGGGCATTTGGGATAAAAAACTGGTCCAGACTAAAAATAAAAAAAAATCTTGTTAACATCTATGGCCTTGTTGTGACCCAAATATTCTGTTAATTGGTTGAAAGTTTGTTTTGATGATTTCTAATCAAGATCGAACATGGGCATCTTGGAGAAAACGGGTCACACCGCCAAATAGGGAAAAAAACCTTTTTAAACTTCTATGGTCAATTTTCAAACCAAATTATCATAAAACTTGGTCAGGATTTTTGTCTGGGAATTGCTTGGATGAGTTCAAAAATCGCATGTGAAACTAGGTCCCGGAGCTAAAAATAAAAAAATTTTTTAAAACCTCTATTTGCTACTTTTTGACCCAAGTACCCGGGAAAATTTGGTCTAAAGTTTGTTTTGATGATTTCTAGTAAAGTTTGAATATGTGTCACCGGGGTAAAAAACTAGGTCGCACGCTAAAATAGGGAAAAATTCCTTTTTTAACCTGTGTGGTCAATTTTGACTCACCTGTCATGGGGACTTGGTCGAATGTTGTCTAGGTAATTTTTGGAGAGTTTGATAATTCGGTGGGGCGATCGGGGCCATCGGGCCCTCTTGTTTAACAACCTGTGTTAAGTTTTGGGAAATTAGCTGATTGGTGATTAATGGTTTTTACATTGGTAGCTTTGTATACATGTATTTTTGTTAGTTTTTTTTTTTTTAGTAGTTTTTTTTACTTTAAAAAGTTTTTAAGGGAAAAAAAGAAAAAAACAATGTAGAAAAAAAAAAATGTAGAAAAGTAATTTTCTTTTAAATTTTGCATTTCTTTTTTTTATTTTTGTGAGTTTTTGGGTGTTTTTGTGGTAGAATCAAATTAAAAAAACTGGACTTGACTGAAGTGTTGTAATAGTTTTTTTTCGCTTTATTTTCTTTAACACAATCCCTTTTTGCCACTTTTTAACCACTTTTTGCCCCTTTAAGCCCTTTTGGCCTTTAAAAAATTTTGATTAAAAGTAAAAAATGAAAAATGCAAAACTACTGAAATAACTTGCTTCCGCTATTTTGAAGTTTATTGTTCCACTTTTGTGCCCGATTGGGCCGTAAAATGGGAGTTCACCAGAATTATACCTTTTTTCACTGCTATTTTGACTTAAAAAGAACAAAAAACTTGCAATGAATATAAAAGATAATTGCCACATCAATGGTCAATCTGTCACTATGTTGCCCCCTGATTGTCTTTTTTAGCGTTGTGACCCTGATTTTGCTAATAACTTATTTAAAACTTTCATGCCATGAGGTATATAGTTATTGGCCTATTTGAATTTTTTTATGCCATGAGGTATACAGTTATTGACTTCTATGCATTTTTTTTCATGCCATGAGGAACAAATTAAAAAAGATAAATGATGATTCATCAAAATCTTAATCAATTAATTTAAGAATTTGTATAGATTGTTTTCACTTGTTAAAAAAACACATGTTGTTCCCAGCAAAATGGTGTCTGGTTTTAAGTATTATATTTCTTTATTTTTCATTTATTGCAGAGAATAGTTGGTACAAAGGTGTTCGGTGTTCCATTACAAAACTTAGTAGGGCAAGACGAGAAGATCCCCGTGTTCATGGACAACTTGATCCATCTGATAGAGACCCATGGCTTCTATACAGAGGGAATTTATAGAAAATCAGGGGCCCAACCCAAAATAAATCTGCTCAAAACTACACTTGATAGTGGAAAAACAGGTAAAAATACTACTATAAAAGTATCGTTTCAGGGTGTGGGGTCAAAATGATTTGAAAGTGATTTGATGGTGTATTTGATAAAATAGTTATTGTTATGCCCCCACTTCGAAGAAGAGGGGGTATATTTGCTTTTGCCACTTGTTTTTTTTTAAGCGTCCGTCCGGTCCGTCGGTCCGTAGGAACCAAATTTGGCTTTTCTGAGTTTTTATAACTTATAAGAACGCTTAGGCCTAGGGAAACTGTTCAAACTTGGTTATGGTGAATTGGGTCATGACCAGCAGTGACTCCTATTGATTTTTGGGTCAAGGGTGTCAAAGGTCAAGGTTTGTAGGTTTTAAAAACGGTTTCCAATCACATAACTAAAACGCCTTAGGCCTAGAAACTTCAAAACTTATTATGATGATTTGGTCATGGCCAGGCAGATGACCCCTATTGATTTTGGGGTCAAGGAGTCCAAGGTCAAGGTCACATTGACCTTGTAGGTAAAAATGGTTTCCGATCAATAACTAAAGAATGCTAAGGCCTAGGAACTTCAAACTTGGTAAGATGATTGGTCATGACTAGTAGATGACCCCTATTGATTTTAGGGTCAAGGGGTCAATGTCATATTGACCTTGTACTTAATGACGGTTTCTGACCAATAACTCAACAACTCGAGTTGCCTTGGTTGATATTTTTATATTAAACTAAAAATGCTTTTGGTATACACATTTGAAGGTCTTATGTAATATAACAACTTGGCTGTCATTAATGAGGCCTACATGATTCATAAAATTTATGCATTTATTATTTGGTAAGATTTGTAATAACTTAAATTGCTTCACACAACCTATGGGGTCACAATTATTATTACCTTGTGACTAGTCATGACCAGTAGATACTAGATAACTGATAACCCTTATTAATTGTTTGTTCACTGGGTCAGAAGTCATGCATAATAACCTGATCACATGACTAATTGGCTGCCGATAGGGGGCATACATGTTTTACAAAAATATCTTGTTTTGGTAGTCTCACACTTGAAATTAAGTACATGTAGTTAGCCGATACAGATATTTATTATATTTGTAGTGAAAATTATCTGTTACATATTACTGTATAAGTGTATATTTTCACACGTCAAAAAAAGTCATTTAATTTATAATTACAAAAGGTTTAAAACATTTTCACGAAGGTGATGAAAATTCAGCGGGCTGATATTTTCATGATTTTTTTTACCTTGAATTTTTTTTTTATACACAGTATCATTCCAAAGATGTAAATATGTTAGACAGAAAGGGATCTTTCAAGATCAGAAACTAAATTATGTTTAATTCTTGCATTTCATGTTTTGTTGACAAGTCACCTTGAACATTTCAGTATGCAAACACATCTGGAAAAAAAGTTGCAATATTTTTATGGTTTCAGATATCAGTATAGAAGAGTTCGCAGTACATGTGTTGACAAGTACATTGAAAACTTTCTTCCGCGAGTTGCCAGAGCCGCTGTTGACGTTTGAATTTTATGAGGAATTTATACAAGCTTCAGGTAGACCAGATTTAGAGTTTCAAACACACGATTCAACCATTTCTCCTCTCTTCTTTGTGTGCTTTTACTTTTGAATAGTTCTTGAAATTGAAGGTTGAAGAGTTATCCTGCCTAGTAATTTTTGTTGCTGACAAAGTCATGAGCCCCTCTATACCATAGATTCAAACCCAGTGAAGGACTTTCCATTCAACTAGGAGGCTATCTGGCTAGCTCATCAAAGGCCCGTGGTTTTATAGAGGTTCCCATGCCTAAAAGAACACATTGAGGCCTTTCTCCTCTAGTGAATGAGTAAAGGTGGTCTTGTGATATGTGAATTGTGCATATAAATTGAACCCAACTAAAAATTATAAAAAATGGTTCAAATTTCACTAGCGTCTTTGGATTCTTTCAAGTGAGGAAGCTATCTGGCCAGCATACTGAGCATTGGTGGTTCTACTCAGGTGTCCATTCTTGCCTAAAATAATGCACAGAAGGCACCTGTGTCTTTCCCCATCAATTAATCTTGAAAGTACCCATATGATGTGTGAAATTTAACCCAACAAAATAGTAGGTTACAATGATATTTATATTCTCTAAATTATAACAAAGGTCTATCATCAACTTTAACATTTTGTTTGTTTTGTTTTTTCAGAAATCCACGATGAAAAGGAAGCCATACAAGGTTTATTTTCCCTCGTAGAAAGATTACCTAAAGTGAATCATGATGTATTTGAAAGACTTATCTTCCATCTGGCAAGGTATGTATCCGCATGCTAGCTTACGGAAGGTCAGGGTTTCTATTCAGGTGCCAGCTTGTGCCTCCATAAGGTATGGAGGGGCACCCGAGGTCTTCCTTCAGCATGAATACTGGAAAGTTGTTATATGACTTAAATAGTGTTGGTGTGATTTAAAAACCAATGAACACAGACACATAAAAATTTAAAAAACCTAGTGATAATCTTTAAAGCAGCACACCCTGAAACATAAATTTTCAAGAAATCAAACTTTATTGTTTAAGAAATGTATAAATATTTACAATCCATTTGCACTACTTTTTCAAACTGATAAAAGTTGAAAAGTTGCGATATGACCTTATTGTAGTAGTAGCATTGATACTTAAAACCGAAAATAAGCATGCCTTAAGTCTACTAATATGTTTAAAGATCAAACTGTTATTAAACTTGACTATATTTTTGCTTTTTGTAATAATTTTCTTCTTTTTTCTTGAAAATTTGCATAAATCTGGAAACATTATACTCTAACCTTTAGGGTGCTTAAAGCAACAGATTCTACCCGTGCAACCCATGCTCAGCTTGCACATACATAAAATTGCACCAAAAATGATGAATGGTTTTGTCCAGATTGAAAGATGGACAAGTCCATTTAGGATATTTAGTGTGGTAAGGAACACATTGTTGCTCACTGTATATTTCAGAGTGGCCAAACATGAGAAGAACAACAAGATGTCAGTGAACAGTTTGGCTATTATATTTGCTCCATGTTTATTAAGGTCCAACAAGATAGTTCAGGCACAGGATATGTTGTCACAAGTTGGTCAACAACAATTGTAAGTAGTTTTCCCTAAATCTGTTTTACTGTACTTTTCATATGGTAAATAAGTTTTTATCTAAACTAGTCGGCAGTATTTCAACATTATTATCCTTTACTCTGCTGGAAACGAAATTGATCAGCCTTAGCCATGTGTTTAACTGATCAACCTTAGCCATGTGTTTAACTGATCAACCTTAGCCATGTGTTTAACTGATCAACCTTAGCCTTGTGATTATGTGACCAGCCTTGGCCATGTTTTTAACTGATCAGCCTTGGCCATGTGTTTAACTGATCAGCCTTGGCCATGTGTTTAACTGATCAGCCTTGGCCATGTGTTTAACTGATCAGCCTTGGCCATGTTTTTAACTGATCAGCCTTGGCCATGTGTTTAACTGATCAGCCTTAGCCATGTGTTTAACTTATCAGCCTTAGCCATGTGTGTAACTGATCAGCCTTAGCCATGGGTGTAACTGATCAGCCTTAGCCATGTGTGTAACTGATCAGCCTTAGCCATGTATGTAACTGATCAGCCTTAGCCATGTGTGTGTAACTGCTCAGCCTTAGCCATGTGTGTAACTGATCAGCCTTAGCCATGTGTGTAACTGATCAGCCTTAGCCATGTATGTAACTGATCAGCCTTAGCCATGTGTGTGTAACTGCTCAGCCTTAGCCATGTGTGTGTAACTGCTCAGCCTTAGCCATGTGTTTAACTGATCAGCCTTAGCCATGTATGTAACTGATCAGCCTTAGCCATGTGTGTGTTACTGCTCAGCCTTAGCCATTTGTTTAACTGATCAGCCTTAGCCATGTGTTTAACTGATCAGCCTTAGCCATGTGTTTAACTGATCAACCTTAGCCTTGTGATTATGTGACCAGCCTTGGCCATGTTTTTAACTGATCAGCCTTGGCCATGTGTTTAACTGATCAGCCTTGGCCATGTGTTTAACTGATCAGCCTTAGCCATGTGTTTAACTGATCAGCCTTAGCCATGTGTGTAACTGATCAGCCTTGGTCATGTGTTTAACTGATAACCCTTAGCCATGTGTTTAACTGATCAGCCTTAGCCATGTGTGTAACTGATCAGCCTTAGCCATGTGTGTAACTGATCAGCTTTGGCCATGTGTTTAACTGATCAGCCTTAGTCATGTGTTTAACTGACCAATCTTAGCCTGTGTTTAACTGATCAGCCTTAGTCATGTGTTTAACTGATCAGCCTTGTGTTTAGAGCCAGACCAGCATGCACATCCATACAATCTGATTTAACTCATTAAAAGACTTGAGCAGTATCCCTAGACGCTTGCAAAAATCGTGATCACAAAAAAGACAAATATGTTTTTTTTTGCCAATTATTACATTTTCATTCAGTATCATACATAAATCTGTGTGAAAAGATGATTTAGACCTTTTAAAGTTCATTCCGTTGGGTAAAAAGGCAAGATTTTAGCATTTTATCAGTCAAGCTCCTGTTTGTTGTTGCACTAAACGATTATACTTACTTGGACAATCCAATATGAAACAAACTTTACAAGTTGATAAGACTTTTCATTGAAAGAGTAAAAAAGGTGACCCAGATGTACTCCATTTGAATAATATATAAAAGAAAAGAATGAGGTATATATATATATGTCTTTACAGGTGTATAGAAAAAATATTGCAAGAACAGCTCAACAAACTGAAAGCTACGTTACAGGACATTAGTACGCTGGAGTCAGCCGAGGCCACTGCCAACGAGAGACTGTCTGTTGTCCGGGATAGCATGAGAAAAACCAAAGATGTAAGATTTTGCATAATAATTTGGCTGCCGCCATCCCCTCACCAGAGATTTTATAAGTTTTTTTATACATATTTGTGTTACACATATGATACTGGTCCATTTTGTTACGTCCCCTTCACGGTATTATACTCATAAATAAATCTACATTTTCTTTGTAGTACATAATTATCTTTGTACATGTAGTTAGATAAATGAACTGGAAAATTGTTTGATTTTCAGATGCATAGACTTTTTAATGACCAAATTTTAGTTTATGTTCTTTGTTTGATATGCGAGTCCTTATTTTCAAAGATTTTAGAAATTTGATATTCAAAATTTTTATTTTGTAACTTTCTATTGGGAATTTTTTAGGTTGTAAAGAAGCAGGTACAAGGCCCGCCAAGTCTCACGGAGGATCCAGAAAACCTGGAGGAACAAGAGAGGGTCATCAACTCTCATATACAATCGTTACGAAATGAAAAGTACGTACGGAAAGTGTTCCCTTTAAATTACTGTACAGCATGTCGTATCTAGCAGAAGATATTGTGACTTAATTTAAGTTATGATGTCATTTGTGACATCATCATCTGACACAGGATGTCAATAACAATGCAACAGAAAGTCTAGCAGAAGATATTGTGACTTAATTTAAGTTATGATGTCATTTGTGACATCATCATCTGACACAGGATGTCAATAACAATGCAACAGAAAGTCTAGCAGAAGATATTGTGACTAAATTTAAGTTATGATGTCATTTGTGACATCATCATCTGACACAGGATGTCAATCAATAACAATGGGACAGAAAGCAGCTTGATATGAGTTGATTCATTATATTTCTTTGAGCATGTGATAGGTTAAGATTAACCAAATATGTTTTAATAAATTCTTACTTAATCTTAAGCCTGCTACTTTAATATGCCTGAAATAATGCATGGAGGGGCAAAATTTGAGGTCTTCATCTAGAAAAGCGCCCTATGAAATTTTAAGAAAGTTTTTAATTTGATAATGTTTTTTTATTCAGACGATCATTAACTACCACACTTCCGGTGTTTGAGTACCGCCACAGCTCCGATGATGAGATGTTATCAGCAGACGACATTGAATCAACAGACGACAGCGAATATCAGATGGAAGATCCCACATTTGAAACGCCAGGTAAAGCAGCCTACGATGGCGATTCACACATTTTAAATGTTATTTCCATCATGTGTTTTTAGCTTTGTTTTCATACCTAATGTTGGCGTTCATTCTGGAACAAATCTAGTGTGACTTTTTTTGTAAAACAATTGTTACTTCAGCAGCTGTATTGTGTTGTGGTGTCTTTCTCAGATGCTTTTGTCTGTTGAATCTATCAAGTACTTAACAGTTAGAATCAGCAATACTTTTAACAAAATTATACATGTATTAAATTAATTAAAACTTAACAAATTCGAAAGATGGCGATAATAGTAACTTGCTGACAATATAAGAAAGGGTCAGCCTGCACTTTCATGTGGTTTGATCTGATTGCTATTTACTTTCTGTAAGTTGGTTAGAAAAACTCTGAAATAAACAAATGGACTGGACCAAATTCAATGCAGCGCAAGTCTATTATGCAAATATAGTAGGATATGGGTTAAACCAATCCTCTGAAAATATGATAACTTTGACTTTTGTATGGAATAGATATCTCTATGTTTAAACTTTATTAATAAATATTTATCTGAAGGCTACAAAATCTACTCCTACTATCAGTGCCGACCAAGAACAGCCGGCACGTTTGTGCTGTCTGATCATGATCTGCACTGTGTTCTAGTTAGTTAGTACTTATTTTTTTAAAATTTTCTCTTAAAGTGATGAATGGTCTTGTCCAGACTAAAAGATAGACAAGTCCATTTAAGATATTTAAGTGGTTTAGGGTTAATAAATCGAGTAATTTCATAGTCTATATATATGAAATTTTATAATTATTTGCACAAATTAAAAAAAAAAATAGCATTGTTTTGAAATTGTGATAGTTTTTAGAAAACATGAGATATATTCTTAAAATTATTTATGTTAAGGAAAGCAAAAACAAAAGAAAAATACTTTTCTCTTTGCTCTTATTCCCATTGTTGTGTATTATTTTGTAAAGACAGTTTGCACCTTATTGAAACATATATTTACATTATTTGAAGGTGTGTGTGTGTTAAATATTTTAGGGGTACACGTAAAACATTGACCGGTAAGAAGATAGAAGTGCTTTCCTATTGTCTGTATTTTGTCGTCTGCAACGTGACATGCATTTTGGGAAATCCTTTCTTTTCTTTTTTTCCCTTTGAGTTCTTTTTCTCATTTTTTTTTCCAAAACTGACTTTCTTTCAAAAACTGACATGCATTTGGGAAAACATTCTACAATTCTCATTTCAGTTACTAAATTAAAATGTTGCATGCATGATTTCTAAAAACTTTTTTTTTCCAAAAAGAAATGGACATTTATTATGTATTTGCTATTTTTTGAGTTCTTTAAACAGTTTGCATGCATTGAAAAGCTCAAAAAGGGGCAAGGGTGTGCATTTTATGACCAATTTTAAAAATTTAGCTTATTTAAGGTTTTAAAATAATTTAATCAGTACACTACAATGTATTTGGTGCTTAATTTTGTTTGGGATTCTTGATTCACGATTCTAAAAAAATATTTTTTCTGCATCATTAATTAAGATTCCATTAGTAGATTTACAAATAAGAGATGTAGATTAGAGTCTACTTATTGTAGATTATGTTACAGATTAGCATGTTCATGCGTGTAGATCTCCCAGAGTGCATTTTTTGGCCTTGAGTTTTGTTTTTAAACAATGACTGTGTATATTACTTTGCTATTAAGTTAATATTCTTTAATTTTTGTCACTCTGACATGCTTAGGTGCTGATTTATTTTTAAGTATAAAGGTTTTGAAATTTGATTACAAAGTAATATTTGTTTATTGCTTGGGACCTCAAAGGACCCAAAAATCTCTGGTGGCCATTTTGTTTCATAAAAATGGCAGCCTTCCCTCTCCTTTAAAATAGCAGTATTCTTGTCGGATATTTTAGGCATTGAATTTTTCTTTATAAATGAGAGCAAAAAAATTGCCCTAGCATTTTTTTACTTCTGTAGCAGAGGCCATCCCTTTTTTTGCGAAAATACCCTGTTTTTTCCCCCCAAACTTGAAAGGAAGTGTCCTTTCCCCACTTAATAAAAATAACACTTCCTGAGTGATAAGCCAGTTAGAGATTGCAGCCTTTTTGGGTATCCATTTTCAAAATCTTGTCAAAAAGCATGTTTCTGTTTGCAAATTGCGTATTATTATATACCTTGAGTGTTGTGAGCTTTAGTTCCTATAGTGCTACCTGTCAGTGAACTAACATTTCATCTCAAGTAATAGTTCACCTTTAACCTGCTGGAATGGAAAGTGAACGGCATTTGCCACCGATATAATGCCTGGCGAGTCTGGACGTGCATGCTGGCTAACCAGGTTCAATACTGTATCAGGCATCTCAAATTTTAGTATTTTGATATCTTTTGAACTTAAATATGATGTACCAAATACAAAGCAGAATGAATCGAGTACTAAAATTTCAGCAGGTTAAGGTTAAATAACCTTTTTTAAATTTTTCCGAGGAAAAAGAGGAGCTATGAACCACTTGGCAGCAGAAGCAGCTGCAGTATTGGTTATTCTTTTTGGTTTAAGTTTCTGTGTATGGTCATTAACTTCTATACTAAAGAGAGCTTTTACATTGAAACTTATTATGTGCATGCACCTTGAGTCCATTTTCGGGTCAAAGGTCCAAGATTAATGTGACCCTAGATTAAAGAACTGAGAAAAAAGGGGCATGTTACTCCTGTGACAGATCTTGTTTTCTTGAAGGTTGTTGAGTAGTGACAGTGATACATTTGAACCCTTTAGAGTTTACTCTTCCATTTTCTTAAAGTTTTAACAAAAGTTTCTGATATTTAATAAACACCATAGGCAGGTAATTAATTAAGATAATTTATAATACATTTATATTTCTACAAAATATGTGCCATAGGTTTACAATAAAATCTGTAGAATTCATGTGACGAAAGTTCATAAATAAATCAGTATGATTTATTTATTTATACTTTGTATTTAGGTTAAGATTCATCGATATCTGTTATAATGCATTTGTTCATTGCAACATTATCTCCCATCCCTGGGGCACTTCATTGTTACATTATCTCCCATCCCTGGGGCAGTTCATTGTAGCATTATCTCCCATCCCTGGGCAGCCCATTGTAACATCATCTCCCATCCCTGGGGCAGTTCATTGTAGCATTAACTCCCATCTATGGGCAGTCCATTGTAACATCATCTCCCATCCCTGTGGCAGTTCATTGTAGCATTATCTCCCATCCATGGGGCTGTTCATTGTAACATTATCTCCCATCCCTGGGGCACTTCATTGTTACATTATCTCCCATCCCTGGGGCAGTTCATTGTAGCATTATCTCCCATCCCCTGGGCAGTCCATTGTAACATCATCTCCCATCCCTGGGGCAATTCATTGTTACATTATCTCCCATCCCTGGGGCAGTTCATTGTAGCATTATCTCCCATCCCTGGGCAGTCCATTGTAACATAATCTCCCATCCCTGGGGCAATTCATTGTAACATTATCTCCCATCCCTGGGCAGTCCATTGTAACATCATCTCCCATCCCTGGGGCAGTTCATTGTAACATCATCTCCCATCCCTGGGCAGTCCATTGTAACATCGTTTCCAAACCCTTGGGCAGTTCATTGTAACATCTCTCATCCTTGGGGCAGAGCTGGGAATAGGGGAGAAAACAAATTAAATGTGTTAATATGTCATTTAGGCACTGCCAAGTCAATACAGTCTGTTTTTATGGTGATAATAGCAGGGGATATTTCCAAACCAATTAAGTGTTAGCTTTGATTTTTGTCCATCTGAATTGTCCTCACAATACTGGGTTTTTGCTGGGGGTTTCATAAAAAGAATGGGAGACAGTTGACTGGTGCATCACAAGATAGTTTGTGATCAATTATGTTCACTAACCTTTAACCTGCTGGAACCTAAAGAAATAAGTCTTTGCCACCAGTATAGACTCAGGCCAGCCTGCATGACCAAACTGTTGGCTGACCAACTTCAAATTTTCATTTTGATGTCCCCAAAATGCATTATGGGCAGTTACGGGATAAGACCTTTGTGGAATTCAACAGGTTGAGGGTAAAAAATCATATTTTTAGATTTAATGGCATGTTTGACTAACATAACATTGCTATGGTATGTTAGACATTCTTATGTCAGAGGAGAGTCTTATAGGGGAGTGCATCCTATAACTGAATAGAAAGGATGCAGTAATCTTAAGTACAAGAATTTATTTTTTGCTCCAAGTGGATTTATTTTCAAAGTATGGTGAAAAGATGATAATTAGAATCCGATGTTCTGGACAATTTAATTTGGCTTTAAAGTCTTAAAGAATACAAAAAAAAAGTAATAATAAAAAATTGTGTGTGAAGTAATGCATGTAGGGGCACCTGAGGTTTTCCTGCACCGGTAAAGCTGGAAAGTCGCCATGATTTGTACTGTGTTGGTGTGACTTAAAACCCGACCAAAAACAAACAAAACAAAAACAAAACCTTAGGGAGAGAAAATATAGCTTAGGTATTAAGGCATTGGTGGCATGTAAAACATTTTTTGACACTGAAGTTGTTTTTCATTGCATTTACATGAAAAATATACTACATAATTTTGTGTAGTAGTTTAGATTGCAAATAAAGAAAAAACAGAATATTTCACTTAGTTTTTGTACTGTACTTCTCTAGGTTTATGGTAAAGGGTGAGAGACTATTAATATACCTTTTTATTGTTTTTCTTGAAAGATTTATTATGAATAGCTGGTATTAACAATCAATCTGGTAGCAGTAGTAAATAAATTTTGACGAGTTTGATGCAAAACTTTTGTATAGTCTTCCTTACTTTTACAATAAGTACATGCCAAGGTCATCACTGTGGGTTCAAATCCCGTCAGGAACTTTGGACCTTTTCATTCTAATACACTGTCCAGCTGGCTTTCAGAGGGTTGGTTGTGATACTTGGGTGCCCGTTTACGTCTGAAACAATATACGAAAGGGCACCTCGGGTCTTCCTCCACCAGTAATGCTGAAAAGTCGCCTTTGTCAGTGTGTCTGAAAATGGGATAAGGAAAGCAAACAAATTTACAAAGTTTTGATGTTTTTGAAGCATTAATACAGATATTGTTGAAGTTGTAGTTTTGCATCAAACTCTTTGAATTTCAATGCTTTTATAGGTCATCTAAGATACATCACAGCTCATTGGTAGTTTAACAGTAGTAAAACATTGCTTTTATATATATATGATATTGAGCATTCATTGAGCAACACTCTTTTGTGGTATTTTATCCATATTAAAAAAAAAAAAAAAAAAAAAAAAAAAAAAATTGTATAAAATTTGGTCAAGTTTTGATTACCTTACAACTGTTTAGAAAGCAGTTGGGTGACAAGATTTATTTAATGAGTTCTGAGTCGTATAGATGATACAGGCTGTCCAGCAAACCTAAAATTCCTAAAAAATCCTCTTTTTTTTTCAGTTTGGCTAAAATTCTTTATACATGTAGATACAGCTTTATTAACTTGTTATGGATATTTTACATAAAAAGAGTAAACTGTGGCAGTGTTGGGATGAAATCTCTATATTTCCGGTAGACTTTGGTGAGATAGCTTAATATACCTTCTGCTTTTAGTTTTTGATTACACGCAGACGGAGAATGTTTTAAAGCTTTTTCTTTATCCAAGGTGTTGGGTTCTTTTTCTAGGTCTGTTGAAAACAAAATTAACGGGAGCTGTATAATGAAGATGTTTTCGGACTTAAATTTTTTTTTACAAACTTTTGATTAAAATTATCTTAATGAGAATAAGTCATAAGAGATTGATATAAATTTTTCATTTGTTTTAAAACAAATCGGCACTGAGTGTGTTTTCTCCTACAGTTAAAAGTCTAATGGCTTATCAGTAAAATTCATTTTTCTGTCATTGCTGTGCATTGGAATCCAGCTTCCATTCAGCCGAAAGGGTTGAATCTCAGGGGCTGATTTATGCTTGGGCACCTGTTATCTACCCTTTAACTGCTATTGAGGAAATAAAAAAGTTTTAACGCTGAAAGAATATTGGTTGGGATTTTAAAAAAAAATTAAAAAATCTTTTTTTACATATGACCCATTGACAACCTGTCGATAATATAAAATCAATATCACCGATGGATGGGCATGCAATAAGCAACCAGTGGATCAAGTAATACTTAGCATTGACTGAGACAAAGATGAGAATTAGATTTGGGATTTTGTTGGTTGAATACTTGTCCACAACTGTCAGTTGCTTACACAGTAAACCAGAAATAAAATCACGTGTGATCAAGACAGTGAGTAAATTTAAAAAGAAATGACTGATTAGGGACGGTCTGTGTAAGTTGGTTGTTCTTTTATCTCATTTGTAAAATTAATATTGTTCTGTTTTAGATTCAAAGACATATCAGTCTTATAACCTTTGTTTATTTAATTGCCCACCATTTTGAATCTTATTTGTCATAGAAATGTTGTTAAATTTGACTATAATGCTTTATTATAAAGAGAAAATAAAAGTTGGATATGGACAAAAATTGTCAGAAGACAATTGATGATTTATATAGAAACAGAAATTGTTGGGTTAACTGCCTGCATAACTTTTATAAATACTGTCCCACCCTATTCAGCATCCACCTCTTTCTTCCTGTAAGATTGCATGTATCCGAGACTTAAGATCAAATAGAGGTGACATTATAATTTGTACCGTAGAAAGCTTATTAGAACACAGTATTAAAGGGACTCCACTAAGTTTTTTTTTACATGACAGGACTGGAAATAATTTTTCTAGATTAATGTTCCATTTGATGTAGGTCAAAAGACCAATAACTTGCATGCAAAATTTCAGATCATTCATTATCAAGTATAATTATTCTAATTGTAAATAATTATCCAAATTTTAAAAATGTTGTCTCAAATTGGATTAAGAATAGCACAAAATACAATTTTAAATTTGTTTCTGATTATATTTCTCAAAATTCCTTTGCATATCGTTTTGTTTTAACTGACCCAGCTTATCTATGGAAGAAATTTAAATTTAATGTTTTTCAGAATTTTTGGACTTCAGTTGAGTTCCTTTAATGATATACAGAAAGCTTTAAAACAATATTCTAGTTTTAGCTTTATGTTTATGTCAGAACCATTGGCTTGCTGGAACTGAAGATAATAAGCCGTTGCCATCAGGCTCTAGTTCGTTGACAAGTCTAAAACATTCGTTTTGCTACCCCCGAAAAATAATAATGGGCAGCTCCAAAGATAGAAACAAAATTCTTATTAACAAATTCAGCAGGTAAATGGTTAAGAAATCAAGAGTTGACTGCAAAACTACAGTTCTTTATTTTCAATTTTATATGATATAAAGACAGCTTTCAAACAAAAAAAGGACTGTTTTAAGTATTTAAACTAAATAATGACACTCTTAAGGTATAGTTACTGAGATTTATGGACTATAGACAGTAGAGGATATTAATATAATTACTATGGTTATTTATAGATCATGGTCAGATACTAAGAGACATTATAGCTATAGAGTAGAATATCTACATGTATATAAAGCATGCAAGCACTTTGGTGGAATCATATGGGGGCTTAGCACTTACACTGTAGCTATCACTCTTAACTGTAGGGAGTTTGATCCCCTAGTAATGTGACTCTTTTATTTTTGTATTTAAACTTCAGGAAATGTTCATTAACTTTCTTAGTTTGAATTTTGGAATTATTTGCTCATTTGGGAAATGAATTTGGTGTGGGTCAATAGATAAAGAAGAAAGTTCTGACATAAAAAGTAGGGAGATTTCTTTAATTTGTGAAAATACCCCTTATTTTAAGAAAAATCTTTGAAAACATGGCTGCAGAAAGTGGGAGTCTCCCGCTCAAAGTGTTAATCTAGGTATCTTTTCCCATTAAATGATTAAATAAAAAAGCGTGCAAATCAAATAGAAACACAACATTTGAAGATTGCTTTGAGGAAGCTTAATGAATTTGCTTATTTTTTAGAGATAGCAAGAATTTGCTATTGAAATTACATAATCAAATAGAAATTTTCTTTTCTCTTACTTTGCTTACTTTGGAACAGCCTTATGCCTATTAACACATGCACAATTACTTGGGTTTTAATTCTATTGTATGTTAATTATAATGATAGCTAAATTTATTCATAGAGTAGTGAATAATACATTGAAAAAAAATAAAAAAAATTGTTTTTAGTTTGGTTGTTTATTTATTAATATTATTAATTTTGTAAAAGAAGCACATTCTGGTGATCAGGTTTCTGTTTCTAAAAATAGATTAATTGCTGCAAAAGCAGTTTAGAATTAAAAAAAAGTTATTAATTTAGAATATTTGTTAGTCTTTGTAGATTTTTATTTAAACAAATCAGAATGTATGTACATGATAAGATTGATGTATTTTATTTTGTATATTTTCAGCTAAAGCACCGACTCAGTTAACTCATTTGACAAAACATCGGGTTGAGGTTCCGGTAAATCGCCGACCGCCAAAACAATTGTTTAAACAGCGCAGCATGGACGACATGGACAAGTTAGATAAAGAGACCTTGTTACAATTACAAAACGGAACACATTCGTGTAGTACTGAAAACAATACATCAGTGTCAAAATATTCATCCGCAGAAAAAACTTCCAACTTTTCGGGCAAGCAAAGACAACTGCTGGACAGTTTGGATTTACACTCGCCTGATTCCCAAACAGTGAAAAACACTCGCAAGAAAGTAGGAGAATATTTTAAGAATGTGAAACGTAAAAATGATAGAGAACCGGAACAAGCTGTGAGGTCATCAGAAACACTTTCGTCTGCGATTGCTAAAGATTCTCTCCTATTACTTAAACCAAAGGTGTACCAAGACGCGCTCTCGCCAAAATTAAAAGCCAAATTATCAAAATCTCAGATTCAAAGTTCAGCACCCAGTAAATCTGACATACATAGATATAAACCTAATCAGTTAGCTGATAAAAGAAGGAAATCCCCTCGGAAAGATCTTGATATGTCGCACGGCGTTTCACCGCAGCCGAGACCTTTACAACTAATATCGGCACATGGAAGCCACGAAGGTCTAAGACTGTCATCCTATGATAACACAAATTTGTCTGTGATGGAGCAGAGTGATTCTGACGATGAAATAATGGTTTAGTCAATGAGAAATGAGGAGAATTGCCTGATATTTACCTTAATTTTGTATGTTATTTTGAATATATGGAGAATGTTGTGTGAAATGTTTGTAACTCCTTAAAAAGTAAAAAAAATAAAACAATATTTGACAAAGAAGAAATGCATTTGAAGCAAATTGTTGATTTTTTTAAGATCTTTGACCAGGAATATTTTGCAGTTTTCAATAGGTTTTGATATATTTATTGCAATAAACATGATTAAAAAAGTGTTTAGAGGTGTCCTTAAATGAAAAAATATTGGTTAAGAAAGTTGTTTTTTCCGTAATGTGATCGACAATTTCCGCCATGCTTTTCACTGATGACAGAGGAATATCCCTACCTACTTTTGTTTCTACCTATATGTTGGTTATAGTAAATTATGATCACTTGAAAAAGATCATGATTTGTTAGGAATGTTATTTGTTTAGGTCATACTAAAACTAGTACTACTAGATTGTAAATACAACAGTTTTACTGTGAATAAGGCTAACTGAAAAAAAAAAGAAAGAAAAAAAATACCAGCACCATTGGTCTAGAAGTAGGAATACGATTGTAAATGTATGCACATCTCCGGCTCTGAAGCTAGTATTTACTATGTAAATTTTTAGTTTTCATTCTAGTCCATTCATTGTATATCTACCTTGTTCAATTTAGGAAGTTCTCTCATTGGATTGAATATCGAGGACACTTCATTTCCCTGCATATAAATTATCGAATGCTATTGTTTTTATTATACACTTTAAAGATTTTTTTTTTACTATGCAAAGGTAAAACTAGTGCTATTGTTTATCCTTGACAGTAATAAAGACACTTTTCAGCTATATCTAGTGTTATTTGATATGCTTTTGTTTTACCACTTAAAGTAAGTGCTGAGGGATTATTGTTTATTCCATTGGTTCAACAACTCAATGTTATTAGTTAATAAATGCCTTTGGTATTGGATCAACAACTTGACGATATTAGTCAACAAATGCTTTTGTGATAGGAATTGGTTTAAAAACTTTCATGTTATTAGTTAACAAATGCCATTTTGATTGGTATTGGTTTAACAACTTTCATGTTATTAGTTAACAAATACCCATATGATTGGTATTGGGTTCACAACTTTCATGTTATTAGTTAACTAATGCCATTTTGATTGGTATTGGTTTAACAACTTTCATGTTATTAGTTAACTAATGCCATTTTGAATGGTATTGGTTTAACAACTTTCATGTTATTAGTTAACAAATGCCATTTTCATTGGTATTGGTTTAACAACTTTCATGTTATTGGTTTACTAAAATTTGATGCCGTGACATCACTTGCGTTATACAGACACAGTATAAAGATATGCTAAATGTTAACTTAAACTTATTCAATAGTCTCTATTTCTTGACCGTTTTTTCACATGCTTTGAATCTATTATTGTTTTTGCATTGTTAGATAATTATCTGATCAAGTTGTAATGTTCCTGTTACTGTTTTGCTGTTAAATATGTTTATGAATTAGAAAGTTCTGATAAATCTTTTTATATAAAAGTTAATGTGTAGATAAGAGCTGAAATTTTTATACCGTTATTATGAACTATTGTGATAAATATGTAACTATATAGTGCTGTACAAGTATATAAGTTTTTGTTTGTTGCTTATGTATTCAAATAAATTACGACCCTTATAACCTGCTGTTATTCTTTAAATGGACTTGTCCACTTGTCCATCTTTTAATCTGGACAAAACCATTTATCATATTTAGGGAAAATTTTAAAATCAGTACTGACTGAATGGCAAACACTGAGCAAACCCCAATTTGCACTGGTCTCTAGGGTAGGTTCAGTTGCGGCCAGCAGTTTAAAATAAGTTAAGAAGTTATGTTTCTGATTTAATAGAAGCATTTAAGACAAATGAGCCGCGTCACGACAAAATCATCATAATGGGTTTTCGACCAGCATGGATCCAGACCAGCCTGCGCATCCGCGCAGTCTGATCAGGATCAATGCTGTTCGCTTACCAACTCTATAACAAGTAGAGAAACTGATAGCGAACAGCATGGATCCTGATCAGACTGCGCAGATGCACAGGCTGGTCTGGATCCATGCTGGTTGCAAACCCATTATGTTGGTTTTGTCGTGACACGGCTCAAATATTTTGGATTGCAAGGTCCTTTGATACTGATAAAATTGATTAAGGATTTGTTCTCTAAGTATTTTTATGCCCCTACTTTATGTCCCTACTTTATAAGGGTATAAAGATTTGCCCCTGGCCATCTGTCATGCTGTTCATGTGTCAACTATGAGGGTTTTGATGTCCTTTGGACACATTTCTTGTTCTTTTGACACATTTCTAGTTCTTTCTGAAGACTTGTGGCATTTTCCTAATAAAAATGTTGTGAGGTATTTTTATTCTTCCGAGGAAAAGCATGTAATTATTTGCATTTATTTTCTCTTGGTTAAAAGGAAGTAGGATAAGAAATCCCTTAAAATGATATTTAGCCATTAACCTACCAAAATCACCTTCCAGTTCAATTTAAGACTTTTACATTCAACCAGTCTTGTCTGAAAAGTGTGCCTTGGCTTTACTTCTTTTGCCCTTTAAAATTTTTTGATGTATTATCAGTTTCATTTTTAAGTAAAATGTGGGAACTTTGACGTATTGATCAACAGATTTTGTCAGTATTTAAGAGAAAAAATATCAAATTTGTTGTTTTATTTATATTTGAGTGATTTATTTATATTTGAGCATAATGTTGTGTCATGTTCAAAAGAATATTATTGATGTTTTTTACAAAAATGCAGATATATCTTTTTGCAGCTTAAGTGGCCCCTACAAAGCTATGTACAACATTTAATTTACACTTCACCAGATTTCTAAGATGGGCTTGACCATCTCACAATTTGGACAAAACTATTCATCACTTGTAGGGAAAATTTCTGAAAAAAAAGTATTAAATAAGTAGCAAGAAATGCAGAGCATGATCTTGTTGCGCGGGTAAATAAATGTGCCTTAGAAGGCTTTAGAATTAAGGTCAGTGTTTGGTGGATGATTATGAACAGTACCAACAACACTGCATTCTATTTCATATAACAAATGACATGCAACATTATAACAAATTATTCTTACTGGTAAGGATTCATTTAAAGTATTACTAAAAATGGGTAAAATTTTTGCAATTTTTTATTACCTTTTTATTAAATGAACATATATTTGATACAAAAAAACAAATTTGGGCACTTGAATGAAATTTATATAAAAAAGCTGAACAAAATGTGAAGTGTGTGAGTCAATTTTCAAGAATTAAGGATTTTCATAAGTATATGTGCGGCTTACTAACTTTTCTGCTGAGTGTTGCTTTATATTATAAAGAAGTGTCTTCTTGTTTGTTTTTGCAAAACATTTATCATTGTATTCACTTTATTACTTTCCAAGGAAAAAAATATTTGTTTGTAGGCCAAAAATTACTAAAAGAACATTGTTTGAAAAAATATATATTTTTCTTTTTTGCTTTTTGCTCAAGTAAATTTTATGCTTTTATGATAGTGATTGTCCTTGAATAGGAAAAGAAGAATGGTTATGTGAATGATTAATCTGAAAGACTGGTTATGTGAATGATTAATTTGAAGACTGGTTATGTGAATAATAAATTTGAACGACTGGTTATGTGAATAATAAACTTGAAAGACTGGTTATGTGAATAATAAATTTGAAAGACTGGTTATGTGAATAATAAATTTGAAAGACTGGTTATGTAAATGTGGATAATTAATTTGAAAGACTGGTAATGTGAATAATAAATTTGAAAGACTGGTTATGTGAATGATAATTTTGATTGACAAGCAAATTAGTTCATCTCATTGTACAATGCCATATTAATTCAACACAGTTGTTTTACAATGTAATTTATAATTTTTTAATGAACAGTTATATGTTTTTTTGATATTTTTTTGTGCTGGTATGTTTAATATGTTAAATTGTTACAGAGCTACAAATGTCATATGATATATACAAATGCTCGAAATGTTTAATTGTCATGTAAGTATGTAAATAGAACAATTTAATGTATATATTATTGTATAATGTTTTATGTGTTGATCTTGCACAGAATTTGTTAAATCATTTCATGTAAACAAATACAACCTGTTAAGTAAAATGGATAAATGATGTATGCGAGTTATTTTATTTTGTTCATTATTTCCAATCAGGCCCCTTAACCTCACCTGCTACCAACATTAATTGAAGTAGAGTGGGTGAAACTTTATTCGACCATGCTCACAACAAACAAAGTGTTATCTTTCATGTGGTAATTAATCTTGAGATATTTTGGTAAGAATGTTATAACATTGACATACTTTTCAGTCTTTTTATCCCCCTGAAGGAAGGCATATTAAAATCGCACCGTCCGTCTGTCTGTCCGTCTGTGCATCCCCACTTCATTTGTGTCTGGACTGTAACTTTGTCTACATTGAGGGATTTTGAAATAACTTGGCACAAATGTCTACCACATCAAGACGATGTGTCGCTTCCAAGAACCACATCCCTACCTTAAAGGTCAAGGTCACACTATCATTTTGAAGTTCCACATGATCACAATCTGTACTGTAAATTTGTCATGCATTGAAGGATTTGAGAATAACTTGGCACACATGTCAACCACATAGAGATGATGTGTCACGTTAAATAATCAGGTCCATACCTCACAGGTCAAGGTCACACTACAAGTTTGAATTTCAATTTATCAAAATTAGAGTTTACAGGTACACACATTCGTGTCCGGACTGTAACTTTGTCATGCATTGAAGGATTTAAAAATAACTAGGCATAAATGTCTTCGACATCAAGACGATGTGTCGCGGCTAAGGCTCATGTCCTTCCGTGTGTCCCCACTTACAAAACAATCATCACTGTCCAGACTCTAACTCTGTCATGCATTGAGGGATTTTGAAATAACTTTGCACAAATGTCTATCTTATGACAACATTCTGTCGTGTCCAAGAACCATGTCCCTTCTTCAAAGGTCATGGTCACACTTATATTTTGAAGGTTCACGCTATCACAATTGGAGATTATAGGTACAATTATATAAAGAAAAATATTAAGCAATTAGTTACTTTCATTCTCTTTTTCTTTTCATTCTACCTGCATGCTTAAGAAGTCTTTTCGGGGCAGTCATCACTTGTGTGACAGCTCTTGTTTGTGCTGGTTTGTCATTCCAAACATAACAAAATTGTTTCGGCATAAATTTATTTGTTTTACCAATATTTTCTAATATCATATAACACTTTAATATCATATAACACTTATTAAATATATTTGTGCCTGATCAACATTCTAGTAGAATAAATGGAAACAATACAGGTTAAAGTTATGGGTGATTTATATGGTCGCGTGATTGAGTAACGTTCTGAATTAAACTGTTCCTAATTCAGCTGAAAAATCTTAAGGCATTGAATAAATTGTAAATTCCAAGTTGTATGCATAATAGTAAAATTGCTCATACAAGGGCATCAAAATAACTTTACATGAAATTTCTTCATCATTTTTGTTGTCGCGACTTTTGGCGTTACGTTTGGTAAATGTGTGTCCGTCCGTCTCTCTGCCCATGCAATCATCCATTGGTCTAAGAGTTTCATTCCGTCCATGATCTGAGTTAAAAAAGAAGGAACTCCCATAAACCGACTGGTTTATGTGGTAATTTTACAGGTTCATGTGGAAAGTGCCACATAAAGATCAAAGACAAAGCACATAAAGCCAAAATGATGGCACTTCCGTCTGTGCATCCGTCAGGCTTTGTCCAGTCTATATCCCATCCCTTGAAGGATTTCAAAATAATTTGGTTCACAATGTGGTGTTTCGCACTCAAAACCCAGGTCCGCCGCTCAAAGGTAAAGGTCACACTTCGGGTCAGCACAAAACCTGTGTATCCGGAGTGTAGCTTCTACATGCATAGAGGGATTTGAATATTACTTGGGACAAATATTCTCCATAGAGAGGCAGAGTATTGAACGAAAAATTCAGGTGTCTGCAGCAAAGTTCAAGGTCACACTTAGGGGTCAATTGTCAAATAACAACAAGATGGCCCAAGATTGCTCACCTGACTAATCGAACTCATCCGAGCAATTACTTAGACAAACATCCTGACAAAGTTTGATGACAATTGAGTCAAAAATGTGACCACTAGAATGTAAACAAAGTTTTTCCATATTTGGGCAGTGTGACCTAGTTTTATATTCCCAGGTGACCCGTATTTGAATATGACCTAGAAATCATCAAAACAAACTTTCAGACCAATTTCTAGGATATTTTGATCAAAGCAGTAGCCACTAGAGAGTTAACAAGATTTTTCTTTTTTGGGCTCCTGAGACCTAGTTTTTCATCTGAAATGACAAATGTACGAACTCATCCGAGCAATTACCTAGACAAGCATCCTGACAAAATTTGATGATGATTGAGGCAAAGATGGGACCACTAAAATGTTAACAAGGGTTTTCCATATTTGGGGGGTGTTACCTAGTTTTTGACCCCAGGTGACCCATATTCGTACTTGCCCTTGAAATCATCAAAACAAACTTTCAGACCAATTTCAAGGATATTTAGATCAAAACAGTGTTAACAATTTTTTTCTTATTTTTATATGCCCAAAGAATATTATGTTATACCCCCTGGCATCCGTCTGTCTGTCCGTCC